TACAATGTGACCATTATTATATTTGCCATACTTGAAGTAGAGGGAAAAAGTGGCGCCATACTTGAAAAACCTGATTTTTCGACACGTTTTCAAGGTACAAGACATAAAATCATTTGTTACAGTATGGCATCATTGTATTCGGTTTATTTGGATAAAATTCAACCTAAAAAAAGTAATCCCATACTTTAACTATGGGGCGGAAGACTGTCACACTCGAGCAAGATATGAAAAAAAAAATTGGAACAAATTGTAAAAATATGGCATTTTAAATCATTTCCAAACTTGAAAAAAACAACTAAGTTTATATTTTTTGCCGATGGCATTAAAACTCCGGTAGCACGTGCTATGATACCCGATCAAATTATCGGGAATTTCCGTTGGCAATATTTTGTCCTGATCTTTCAATTCACACGTCACACGAACCGCCAAAGAGTACCTGCACTTCTCCTAAGTCTCTTCTTTAAAGTTAATAATCGGTGCAGTACTTTTGAGGCAAACGAAACAATTTTTTTTTACTGGACTGCGAACTGCACTGTTATTTTCATCCATTTTACGCGTCAGTTCGAACCAGGGATAAACGGTAAACTGAACAGCGTCACATCTCGACCCTTACGGGCACTATAACGGTCGACTTATTCTAACACATATAACTACTTTTATTGCTATGTAGTTGTGAGTCGCCTGACAAACAGCTGCTGTATACCTGCGTTCCCATACATTATGTCTTACCAACACGATGAGCCAAGACCTCTACAATTCGAGAAATCTTTCGAGCGGTGGGAACCGCAGAATATTATACAACATAAAATCTGCTTATAAGACAAGATTGCCGCCAGTTAGGTGTTTGAAACTTTGTATTTATATTCGTTAAACCTCAAACTTACAGGAAAAATTAGTGCCATACTGGTACAAATCGTTCGAATTACGAATAAAATCTTGGGACTTTGAAAAAATATTGTTCACATTCGCCACCTCCCACAGGTATGGCATTATCAGACTTCTATTTATGATCATACGGGGAACTGTTAAAAAAAGTTTCAGGGTGGTACAAATCGTTTGGCGAAAAAAAAAATTACTCCTTTGCAGCGGTATGGCGGCCATTGGGAACTGTCGGAAAAGTATGGCAAGGTGATTTTCGTGAATGGCTACTCGACGATGATTAGCTGTGCAAAAATTAGCCTGGTACAAATGGTTGAATTGTTTTATTTAAATTAATGTATTCGCGTCGGTATGGCGGGCTGTAAGTCACACCCGAGAAGTATGGCATTACGCTACCGCCTACTTCTTTTTTTCGACTATCTGAAAATATAAGCATTTTTGTGGAACAAATCGTTCGACACTCGTTATTTATCCGACGCGTTCGATTAACGCCCACGCGATTGGACCGCCGGTGCGAGCGCTATGACCATCATTTTCCTTTTTGCCTTTACGTAATTAGACCCCTGAAGAACCGCCATACTGGTACAAATGACCAAGTATTTTGTGTCATCATCTCCCGGTCTATGACGTTTATTTTTCATGAAATTTTATATCGAAATTTCGAAATTATAAGATACTGATGGTATGTGATCCCAGTGTCCTTTTTATTTTTTGAACTATTATTCTTACAATGTTTCACAACACAAACTGACATTTTGCTGCGGATTGTGCTCTAAATTGATTAAAATATGCGGGACTAATACCTAAAGCGCAGCTGTCAATGTGACTGACACGGCGAAGGCTCGGGTATGCCCATTTCGGCATAGTATTTGTTGCCGCATTAAACAAGTACGCCGGCGGTATCTAGTCTAGTGAAGCGAGACCAATCATTTATCTATGCTTTGTACTTATCCTCCGAAGAGTCGACAGTCCTTTTGTATTTTCGCTTAAGCTCGCTCTCCTCTCCGTCGCTTTGCGACCCCATTTTTGCAGATGGGGTTCACATCTACGAAAAAATATATTTAGTAGTGTTTTTATCAGTAATTAATTAATAAAAAGAAATAAAATTATGGAGAAAAAAATCTGCGCGCCTTATTTTACTTCCCGCCAAAAAAAAGTCTCAGAACGAAATATTAAGAGCTGGCAACAGCCAGGTCTCCAGATTTTACAGCAGATCTCGAGTTTTTCTCAAATTTCTTCTGTTCTACTGTTTTACTACATGAACCTCCTGTTTTTCTTAGAATACGATTTTCTTTATTAAATTGCATTTGAGTTGCATTTTCCGCCATTAATAATGTAAACCTTAATACTACTTATGACTATTTCTATATAATGAATGTTTTTGTATTGCATTGCATTGACTTGTTGGTGTGTTGGACTTGCTCTGTAAACGAGCATGTGAAACTGAATAAATAAATAAAATGAAATATATATAAAATACATGTTATTGTCTAAAAGAAAACTACCTTTGATGCGTTCGATCTGCCTTTTGTTTTGTAATCTGAGCATACCCAAAATAAAATTCGGCACATATTTTGTAAATATTATTTTTATTTACAGGTAAGTAAATATTGTACCCTGAACTTCTTAAATGCTAAACATGTTTTTAACCAAAAAAAAATACAATACTATTTTTGGTTTGAATTCACGGCACATCAGTATAATTAGCAAAATCAAATTTTACCAAACGATTCACAAAAGTGAAGGTGTAAATGCGTACAAAAACGTTGTTCTGAGGCCCAAGCACGAATAATGACAGCTCCATAATCGTATTCCATCGTCAAAGTTTCTATTAAAATTTAGCAGCGCCCCTACCGGATGTAAGAACAACCTGGCTCCTTCCATACAAAATAAGACGATGACGTTACGACTACAAATGTGTAAAATATCGTTCTTGGGCCTCTATTCAATAGGTAAAGTGAGCATTAACATGAATTTCAGAGTATTTTATAAATAGCAGTATTTCTTAAGACTGAAAATTCAGCAAATAGGTATATTCAAGCAAGTATAATCTGCAAGTTCAATTCAAGTCATTAGCTAGTCACTATGTAATCTTATTGTCCTATTTTATTAATGGAAATTCTAGATAAAATCAGTTTTATAGACCATGGGTCCGGAGATGCACGAAGGACCATCTTTGACATTCGATGTTTGAAATGCAAATCTATATAAGGGCGTTCACTGCCTTATTCGTAACTTAGCTATATAATGGAGTCTATGCTGACACGATTCTCTAAACCTAAACTTAAATTTGACAACAGTATGTCTTTATCATTCTCTATACAGAATGAAAAGGAGAGACTGATGTCTTTACTTTTAAGTTTAGAGAATCATGCCGGAAGCGACACCAATATTTAAGTCCAGTATTTCAAATTAAATAAGTACAGTTAATCTAATCAGTCACGTAGCGTCATGTTAAACTAATCAAAAATAGTTAAAATTGTACTTTATACATTTTCACTAACACCTTTTTTACACAAGGAAAATTTCAAACCACCATACATTTTCACACTCTATAATTATTATAATATTATCCGATTGTAACCGTCATATGTCACAGAGTTTACTTATTTTAGTGGAAACACTGCACTTCTCGAAAATTATCTAAATATATTTATTTAAAAGGAATGTATTTAAACAATGTTTTTTATAGTTATAATTTCTATTATTTTTAAAGTATGTAACTGCTTGATGTTTAAATCTAAAGAAAATATAACTAGACAAAATTCCACGCTAAAGATGGCGCTGCCTTGCAGCTTAAGAATGGCTAGAGGAATTTCGACGCGGTCCGTGAGGGCCGCGGTAGCATAATTGGTCAGTGCATTCGCCCGGATTGCGAAGGGTGCGGGTTCGAGTCTCGTCTGCTGCCTGGTCTGCGTGTAATTTTTTCTAATGTTTTTTATTAAAACGCTTAAAAGTAGTATTTTTACTTTTCCTCCTTGCAATATAAAACTTTGGTTTGTATTTACTTGGGGTCCTTTTACAAACTTATAAATATTTTTATAAATCTTCTGTATCAGCTTAGGCAAATCATGTTATTTTATTACTCATAAACATAAATATCATCACGTCATTTACTGTATCGATAGAATAATTGTAAAAATAATAAATGAAACTTACTCAATAATAACAATCTATAAATAATTTACAAATTCAAGAAAATGTTTCCTTTATGGAAATTATATAAATAATGTATTATATTTATTATGTTTCTATCTCTAGTATAAAAAAAAACATTGCTTGCATTTATTTAATAATTATTATTAACATAAGAGTTAATTAACAGGAGTGCTCCTATTAATTAACTCTTTTGAGCTTAAAGCAGCAAAACAAGCTATATTCACTTTGTGCAAGCGCATTCTTTCTTTTTCAAACAATTTTCAGTACAGTTAGACCAGCTCATCTCAATAAAAATCTTTGATGTGGTGATATTCATAACAAAAGTAAAGTAATAATATAATTGAATACTTAAACGTTTTAAAACGTTTTTAATTTTAAATTAAAGTACTCACATAAATATAATGAAATATTATTATTCTTTTCAAAATTTGTTATCATTTTAATAGACAAAATTTTCCATAGTTGACTGGCTGTCTAAGACATTTTATTCTTCAAACATTAATAACGTAATTGCAAAAAAAATCCAATTCGTTAGTGCAATGCCTCTGTTTCATTTGCATTAAACATTGGCCTTGTTTTTAAATGAAAACCGCAACCGCAAACCGAATTATACGTATAACCACACGTCAAGTTATTCAAAACTGTCTATTTCCTCCAACGGATTTTGAGCTTTATCTAGCTTGATTTATGGTTCATAATATTAATCGATTGGGAATTTTGTCATTTTATGCCAACTTGATGTGTGCTGACTAACTGTACTTATCCGATATGTTACAAAATTATAATTTCAACAATCCTAACCGAAAACCAAAACTGGCAGCTTCAATGAAACTGAATTAGAAAATATTGGCTTAGTGACATAGGATCCACTGTGCATGCTCACTTATGCCTTTGACTTCAGTTACTATAGGCATAAAGTTAACTTTCGATAAATCGTGATCATCATCGTAGTGCATTGAACTCAGACTTGCACCGCCTTATTAATTAACGAAGGCTTGGATTAGTTACTTTATATTTTGTCTCTGTTCATTGAATGACAAATAGCACTGGAGTGATATGGACTAAACACGGCGTTACTACTCTAAGCTTATTCCTCGTTTATTAATAAGGGGGGCATAGTTTTAAATGTTATAAGAGAATAGAACTATAGAACGAGAGATTTTAGTGACACTCACATTAAATCGACAATTCTCTAGAAAGAGATACAAAACAACCAATGTATAAAAAAAACTATTTGCCCGGACGCTTTATCTCTCTCAAACTTATCTGCCCAGGTATACTTTTTAGTTATTGAACGCTCCTTCCATACACTGTCTATAAAGTAGGACCATAGTTAAGAGAATAAACTACGCATGCCCAACTGTAATGTAAAAAAATAGGATCAGAAAGATAAAACGATTGATCAGCCCATGCTTCGTATATGTATTGGTTGTTTTTTCTCTTTATATATAACAATAGAACATACTAGACAGCAGTCCATTATCCATATCTATGAGTAGGACACACGACCAAGTTCACGATACATCGATAAATCCATTTTGTTAGTACAGCCCCAATCTTCACATGATGATCTGTGGTTCGGGCACTGATAGAGCTATAGACTTGTGAGGCAGAACTTGTCCTCCGTTGACATACAGCTCGTCTTTTACAATAACATCTTCTCCTAACACCGTACAATTCTCCATTCTAACCCAACGGCCTACAACCGACCGCCAACCTACTATACAACCGTCCAACCATGCGTGCTGACGGACGCAAGCGCCGCGCAATATCGTACTCCTTTTTATGCAAGCACCTGAACAAACACAAAAACAGACAGGTAAATAAGAAAGCTAATTTATTCGCAGCAAATAATGAAGCGAATTAAGGAAATGTTTCGAGTAGTGAAATAGTCTGTTGAATAGGGTATTTGACAAGTTTTAAAAAACGATCTCACGTTATTGACTAATGTTTATGGAGTCCGTAAAAAGTGGATATTCATCACTCTGTTGTGTATTTCAGTAAAAATAACCAAATCAAAAACTCCATTTTCAAGTTGCCGCGTAAACGTTTTTCTGGACAATATGGCGTCTTGCTAGTGTGTGACGTCAAACGATACAATGTAATGTCACTTTAAACGGAAGTTACTGGAAGTACTTGCATGTGACGTCGTTTAAGGCTCCGCCAATCCCAAGCGTTTTGGGTCACATAACAATAGATAAGAAAACTATTATATTTTTCGTGGGTTTTTTGTAAAAATATGAATATTTTTTTTGTAAAAATAGTAAAAACCCCTGCCAATATTCATTCTAAACATAGATGCTAACAATTGGCACTTTATATTGAATACTGTCAAATACGCTATTGCTGCTATATTTTTTTATTAGCGTGGTTCGTAAGTAGTGTTGCCAGATGTCCCGATTTATAAAAAAAAAATTTAGGTAATTAATATAATACTATACTTACACTAGTAGTTTAAAACGCAATAAATTAAACACTGACTTAAAAACCCCTTGTTTTTTGTTTATTGTCCCGATCTGCAACCCTAAATCCCGATTATTTGACCTCATGTACCGATTTAAAACAAACCGGACCTGGCAACGCTATTGGCAAGCTGCCTTTTTACAAAACGTAAGCTAAAGTTAAACCTTGACTAAAATTGATGCTGTCACTTTTGTTTTCTAAAAAGAGGGTTAAGCAACATCAGGTTTAAACAAAGACTAACTTTAGTCCGCGTTTTGGAATAAGGCGGAAGTAGTCAAGACGACGTAGGGGGCAGATGTTTGTGTGATGAATACGAGTATTTGTTCAGTCATGGATGTTTAATATGTATTTCTATATAAATATACTTATATGTGTATTCTAGCCGTTACCCAAGTATCTCATAACACAAGCCTTACAGTGCTTACTTTGGGACTAGGCTAACTGGTGAGAGTGTTGGAAATATTTATATATTTACTAGTGGCCCCTCGCTTCGCTTCGGGGTAGAATTGATCAAAATCCTTTCTTAGCGGATGCCTACGTCATAACATCTACCTGCATGCCAAATTTCAGCCCGATCCGTCCAGTGGTTTGGGCTGTACGTTGATAGATCACTATGTCAGTCATTCAGTTACCTTTGAGTTTTATATATATAGATTCTGTCCGTCCGTGATCGCGAACGTTTAGTAACTTTGGCAATCCATTGGGTGACTAATAATTTATTATCTTGAGCTCTTCCATGCTCCGGCACGATGAGCCGTGGGTCCCGTGAGTGCTAACCTATCAATCCTCAATGAGTCCACGTGGGGTGGGTTATCCAACTTATTAGTATATTTGTTTTCATCGCTCGGCAAGTCGCTCAGAGCCGTTGCTCATAGCGACAAGGTCGTGGCTGAAGCGTAAGTAATTAGAGAAACGTCCATGTTGAAATTAACACCTGTCCCGCGAATGTTACGCATATTAAAACACCTCAAGTTTTTGTTTTTTCTCAGGCACAAGTTCCTTGATACTTCAGCCAACGTCACCTAATATTCACATAATTAGCCAGGTAGATTATAGAGCCTGATTCACTTTATGAACTGATATGTTATCTTTTAACAACAGAACATGTTGTTTGGTGGTTACCACGAAAAATTTTGAGATAAGATGTATTTTATCAATTAGGTCAATAGGGTATTTTACAAGTTTTAGAAAACGATCATAATATGTTATTCACTCATATTTATGGAGACCATAAAAACTGGATATTCATTATTCTGTCGTGTATTTCAGTAATAAAAAACTAAATCAACAATGCAACTTTCAAGTTGACACGAAAACGTTTCTCTGGACACTCTGGCGTCTCACTAGTATGTGACGTCACACTAATGTCATTAAAACGTCAAACGATACAATGTATGTCACTTTGAACGGAAGTTTACTAGCGTGTGACGTCATTTTAGACTTCGCCAATCTCAGGCGATTTCAGTCACATGACCATAGAACAAAAAAATAATTTCTATTTTTTATTAGCTTTTTTACAAGAGATTAATTTATTTGTTCTCTCGGGATAGTAAAATTGCTTCTCATAATCATATTAAATAGAGATGCCAACAATTGGTAGCTATTTTATTTTTCATACTGTCAAATAGCCTATTACATAACCTGTACATTACATAAAAATGTGAATGTTTGTTACTCAAACATGCAGGAACTTCGGAACGAATATGTATGATATTTGGCACGCATAATAGCTTATGACCTGAATTGAGACATAAGGACCATTTTTGTCCCGAAAAGAATTTAAATTCCTGTGGGATTTTAAAAAAATCCAAGTTAACGCGGACGAAGTCGCGAACGGCCGCTAGTAACGTAATATAAAATGCCAAACAAGCAGAAACCCTAAACAAGCAATGCCGCGGTTATGTAGAAAGCATTATTCTCGTCTTAACATTTACAAATCTGCTTCATAAAAAGATCGCATTTACCATCTTCTACGACGACATCGGGGCCAATAGTGACATTGGGTCCTATCCGGCAATCTTTCCCAATAGTAGCTGTCGGATCGATCAGTACATTTCCCACGACCCCAGCTCCGTCATACAGTTTGTTGGAGTTCTTCTGTCGTAAGCTTGTTAAGTAGAGACACATTCCTGCAAATAGAGATTTTTTTAAATAAGCATTTAATATTAAATAGCATGAGTTTTTGATGTGTAACATCTTTCCTCTCGCTTTCCTGCAATTTGTGGGAGTGATTTCGTGAAATGGGACGGATGTGTGTAGCAGGAAGTCGCGAAAGCGCGCGCTATTTTATTTGATTTTAGAATATAATGTTCAAATGGTTATTTATTCCTTTTGTAGTAGGTTTTATTTATTTTTCTAATTAATGGTGAGATTTCAAATGTTACACATCATACGCAACTACTGTAAGGCTCGCTCATATTTAATATCATGACTGTATTTCAAAAGATTTACTAATGGTATTGAAAATCTACTGCAAAGTATGACTACAAGAAAAACATGCCAATTATGCCATCCATTTAATATGAAAAATCTGTTAAGTGTGTTCAGCAGTTGTATATTAAATATCGTTTGATTGATATATATATATATATATATATATATATAGTGGATACTTTATATGTAAAGTTAAGGTGATGTTATGATAATCAAATGAAAGTGACAGGTTATTTGTAATGTAAACCACATACATTAGGCGACCATTACCTGTTAAGAAGTCCTTAGGTTGTCCCACATCCATCCAGAACCCTTGAAGTTCCATTGCATGTAACTGTTTGTCTCTAGCCATGAATGGGAACACTTCCTTTTCAATGGACATTGGCCGTAGCTCTATCCTACTCAAAACTGATGGATTTAAGATGTACATTCCTATAAAAAGTGTAAAGTAAAATGCTCAAAAAACAGTGCATCTGATGAAATTAAAAGTAATATTGTTTCCACTTTCAAGGGCTTTTAATTTTTATAGATATAATTGAATATCCATCTTTGTTGTTAACAAACAACCAAGCTATTCTTAATTAATAAATGATATCATCCTACTAATAATTTTAATAGATATGAAAGATTGTTTAATATTTGTTGCTTTATCACACAAACAATGCTAAACTGATTTGAATGAAATTATGCACATGAATCTCTTAAACCTAAATGCTGAAGAAGTTGCCGACAAGTCCACCGGCAAAAAGTTGCCAACATAAGCCAGAGGATTTGAAGTCTACTGCACATGAAGGACTCAACAATAATATCGCCATCACAGCCTATTAATATCCCCACTGCTGGAGCACAGACCTTTCCTATGAATGGAATAGGGAGATTGGGCCATGACCCATCATCTGGACCCAGTGCAGATTGGGGGGGGGGGGGGGGTAAGAATAACTTGCCAGCATTCATTTTATTTGAAATGAATTCTTGTGATTTATGCGGAAACTGTTGGCGACAAGGACACCGGCAAACAAGTTACAGACATGGCAAAAAGTTGCCAACATAAGTCAGAGGATTTCGAGTATACTGCGCGTAAAGGACACAAGAATAATATCATCATTACAGCCTATTAACGTCCACACCGCTGGGGCCTATGGATGGAATAGGAAAATTGGGCTATGACCCACCATGGGGACCCAGTGCAGATTGGTGGGTAATACTAGGTGGTTAGGTAAGTATAACATACCAGCATTAATTTTATTTGAAATGAATTCTTGTGGTTTCTCTACAAAGCTCTCAATTTCGCCACCTTCCTTGTAGACTACAACACCATATTTTGAAGGTTCTTCCACTTTTGTGACAACTATGGTCCCTTCCTAAAATCAAGCAGTTTGTGATATAATATTCAATATACAGTTAATAAAGGAATATACAACAAAAACTTCTAATATGTAAGCAAAATAAATGCATATAGATAACTGTCTTGGCTCTGCTACTGAGTGTGCCATGCAAACATGCATAGTTATGTTAATTAAATAATGAAATGCATTAGAATAAATATCAAAATATTTAAAATACACATAATATAATTATATGGATACAAAATACAATTACATATTGCCTGATAGAGATTGCTACATTAGCAATACGGCTATCACATTAGCAATATCGCCATCTTTTCTTTTTACATTTCTGTTTATTTTTGTATTTCTGCAAAACTGTCTTAGTTCAATAAATAATATATTCATTCTTTCATTATATCTATGAAATTTTATCTTTTAAATGTAGATAATTGGGGGATTAAAAGTAAACTGATTAGGAATCATAATGATAATTCACTTCCACTTCCTATAAACAATCAACTAGAAGTGTAACTTATGTAATTTTCATGCTATGACATAAGTAAAACATGTGTTTTTGGTCATAAAAACTGCTTTGCTACTACCTCGCACATACTTTATTTTATACGGAATAGATATTACTAATAATTTTACACAATATCACATTTTTTTTTATTTAAAATACTCCTTTAGCAATACAAAAGGACTTGTAAATATCCTTCAAATGTACCTACATCACATTTCCTATTTTGATTTTACTATGTGATCAGTTTATATGGATTAAATCAAGAAAGTAGTACAACAGGGATGACGACATTTTTTTTTCTTCGTTTATCAGGTAGATTATCAAAAACGTAATGGACACGTATTTTTTCTTTTTCCAATAATATAAACATTGCAGAGATTATATTGATTTGAAAAGTCGCATGACGTCACGTTTTGGTACAATTTTCACTTAAAAGTGACGTCACGAGCCCCTACTCCTTACTTTGACGCGATTTATCTTTGTCACTTTTTGGTTGATTGCCCAAAGAAAAAAATACGTGTCCATTATTTTTTAATCATCTAACTGATGGACTAAATAGAATTTCGTTTACTTTACCCCGTCGTCACCCCTATTACAGATACATGTAGACAGATATAAAATCCACCCACCCACCACCATCATAATTTATTATTTAACCACAATTACAAAAATGGACAAAAGGGGGACTTAACGCTAGAAGCATTCTCTACCAGTCAACCTTTAGGCATAAAGATATCCACGAAAACGGCTATAATAAAAATAAAGTGATTACTATTAACATACACCAAGCAAAGTAACTACATAAATATTTATTTAAAAAAAAAATTAAATATACATTCATAGAATACATTTAAATATATATGCACAATATCTATAATATATATATATATATCCGCATACCGAACGCCACTTTTTTTGCCAATGGCACTTAGGTCCTATTGATCATAGCTAGCCGTAGTTCAAAAATCGATGGAAGGCAAAAATCGTATTAAATGGCTACAATAAAATATAGATTTGCATTGCGCGGCGGGTTTTTTTTGTTTTGATTTAGTTTAATGAGACACTGGGCAGCATAGATAACGCTTGTGTTTGGTATTGGTACATGAGTTTAAAAAAATGTTTACAAAGAAGTTTAGTAGTGTAATTTGGAATTATTTTGTGATAATAAATGATGAATGTGCAAAGTGTAAAATTTGTGATGGAAAGTATTTTCGTAAAGGTAAAGGCACAACTTCCTTAAAAAATCATTTACGAAGAAAACATCACACACCACAAAATGTGGGATAATACAAACCCCAAATCAATAAAAATAGACTATTTGATTGCTGAAATGTTAGCTTTATCAGATCTACCTTTTCAACACGTAGAAGAATTAGGGTTCCGCCGATTGATGGATCATATTGTTCCAAATTATGTTTTAAAAGGTAGAAAGTATTTTACGGACCTTGTTTGTAGTGAGCTTTACGATAAAATGTCATTAAAAATAAAAAACATGTTACAAGATTTTGAGAAAGTTTCCTTCACATCAGATATCTGGTCTGACTCTTCATCAGGAGTTTCATTGTTATCCTTAACATGTCATGGTATTACTAAAGATTTTCAACGAAAACATATCGTTTTGAAAGCGGAAGTTCTTGAAGAACGTCACACGGGAGATTATATTTCGGAAATATTTCAAAGTATGTTAGAAGAATAGGGAATTTCGAAACAAAATGTGCACTGTATGGTAAGAGATGGGGGATCCAATATGAAGCGCGCTTGTTATTTATCTGAAGTGCATAGTATCCACTGTACAGTACACTTGTTACATTTGGTGGTTAAAGAAGCAATTAAAAAAGTTAATGAAATTTCCATATTACTTACAAAATGTAGGAAAATTGCTGGACATTTCAACCATTCCACGATGGCGAAGCAAGAATTAGAAAAAATACAAGTTCGACTCAATCAAAAAGTTCTAAAAGTTTTGCAAGACTCACCAACACGCTGGAATTCCAGCTATTATATGTTGGAAAGACACGAATGCATCAAGGATTCGTTGTCACTTTATTCTTTTAATAATAAAATAGAACAATTTGATGCCGATGACTGGATTTTAGTTCAAGAATTAATAAAAGTGCTGAAGCCTTTGGAAGACACTACAAAAAAATTGAGCTGACAAAACACGTGTATATCTGACGTTATTTCTCTAGTACGAGCATTGAATAAAATCTATGACGAGATTCAGAAAAAAATGCATGTCAGTGTATCCGCATTTATGACTTTTGTGTCTGCTTTGAAGAATGAATTAGAGTATCGTTTTTCTGAAATTGATAAAAATGTTTTGTTTCAAGTAGCCACATTTTTAGACCCACGTTATAAAAGGGAAATTCTTCAGTGAGATTCTCATAAGAGAAATAAAAGAAAAATTGCTTACAGTTTTAGAAACTGAAGTAAATCTCACAGCAACTACAATCAGTACTAAAGACAAACCAATTACTGTTAGAAAAGAACATTGCACGAGCCTAGAAGAGTATATTGCTAATATGTTAGATAGTGATGGTGACGAGCAATCTGAAAATCAAATATCAGATACGAAAGGTAATTTGCTCATCGAATATGTCAGAAAAAAGATTACCAAGAGATCAAGACCAACTAAAGTATTGGCAAATTAACAGTAAAAAGTTTGGAGGTTCTTAGTCACATTGCTCGCATATATTTATCATCACCTGCAACAAGTATTCCAAGTGAGCAATTTTTTAGTGCAGCAGGAATTCTTTATGATCCTCATCGTAACAGACTTTTGGGGGACAAAGCTGCCAAGTTACTCTTTTTGAAGTATAATTTACCATTACTAAATTTCAATTATGACTTATAATTTTTTTAAGTTCCTCTAATTGTCATTGTGATTTTTATCTAACATTAACACTGTATGTGACACGCAGTACTAGTTTACTTGATTAAAAAATTATTTAATTCGAATTTAAAATATTACGAAGATCTAAGTTTTGTTTTCTTAATAAAAAGTGATCTTATAACTTTTTATAATAGTGATCTCATTAAAAAGCTAGTTGATTTAGTACCTTGTAGTTATATACTATTGGAATGATAACTAACTACGGCAAAGATTCCAACATAAAGGAGCCAAATATTTGATTTTAAGAAATAAAAGAATATCTGTATTGAATTTAATAGTTTTTTATTGCTACCTAATCACCTATTTAAGGCAAAGAGTAAGGCGCACTAGCGACGCCAATTGCTTTAAATTGTTAGCTACTAAACCAGATCTATTTCAAATAATTGTGGACCGTCAGAATCTCGGCAATTGGCGTCGCTAGTGCGCCTTACCCTTTGCCTTAAAGAATTTTATCTATAAATTTAAAAATAATAAGGTAAATAGATCCGTAAAAGATCCCCCAAAAAGTAACGGATACGGACACGGATACGGATCTTTCTTCTGCCTCGGATATCCGCGGATACGAATACGGATACGGATATCCGGCACATCACTAATATCTAGGGGAATTTCTGACTACGAACTCGCGTATTTGGCGTCCACAATTGCAACGTTGCCTGGTCGCTCAAGAAATTTGAGACAATAACGCAAATAATAACAAATACAATACAATATACAAACAAACAATTTTGTACCAGTGAAAATATTGAATGGATCGAACTAAAGGAAATAAGTTATTTTAATAAATACTTTGTTCATAAATAGATAACTATCCATACTAATAATATAAAGTGTATCTGTCTGTCTGTTACTTTTTCACGCTTAATCTGCTGTACCGATTTAGATGAAATTTAGCATGGAGATAGTTTCAGACCCAAAGACGAACATAAGATAATTTTGTACCAAAAATCATCTCCCAAAGGGGTAAAAAAGGAGGGTAGACGTTTGTATAGGGAATCTATATCCACTAAACGGATTTAAATCAAATTTGGTATGAAGATAATATGACATAGGATAGTTTTTATCCACGAAATCATCCTAAGGGAGTAAAAAGGGTTGGAAGTTTCTACAACGATTTGATTGTGATGATCTATTGGTACCGGTATTGGCTTTTTACTTTGTACAGACTCCCAATAGTTGTATACGATAATTAATAGCCATAGCCATATACGGACGCCGAATAGCTGTATACGGACACCGAATAGCTGTATACGGACGCCCAATAGCTGTATACGGACGCCCAATAGCTGTATACGGATGCCGAATAGCTGTATACGGACGCTCAATAGCCATATCATATACTGACTCCCAAACGCTGTATTCAAACGTTCAATAGCCGATCAATGATGATCTTGATTGCAGGCATATGGTTCTATATTGCTGCAAACTCAACTGTATGAAAAGATGAAAGCACTGTTCCCAGTAAATTATTCATTTTATTATTGACTATCATTTTATTAATGTAAATGTGACAATTATAGATGGATAGATATTACTTTTTCTTATTATATACAGGAAAAACAAAACACATTAGATGACAAATACATCAACATTGTTATAATGAGCGGTCTTGTTACCAAGAGCGATTTCTTTCAGGCAACAAGGCCTTTGGAAAGATTGATAGGATATTAAGTTACTTTATTATTTTATTAATTAAGCTGCAGATACCAGCTCAAGGTAGTATCTATTATTACTCCCAGATTTTTACAGTAAAACTGAATGAAATATCAGACCCCCCCAATTGTATTTTAGAGAGTGTAGTTAAGTCAATTTTTGCTTAAAATTGTGAACTACTTACAACTGTGCTCATTCTAACATAACAGACATTTAAAAAAATTAATTATAAGGTAGTTAGTTACTCATTCGTGTATACATATTATTACGCATTGGGCATCCGTCTATCTATAGACCTAACGAATGTTTGAAAGCTAGCAACGTAGCACTCCCAAATACAATCCATCCAGTAAGGATGTCGCGACAGTGGACAGGTCGCTGGCTACTTTGAGGTGCAAAGCCTTAGTGCTAAAATAAATGAAGAGACATAGGTAGCATTTAAGTCGCGTCGCGAGGTAAATTACGATTAATATATCTAGGATGCATATAATATATCACCATGGTTGGGGGTTCAAAAATGTTGCAGCATGACTGCAAGATGAATATCGCGAAAATTAAATTATCGGAAAACTACGTATCTACCTACAAGGAGCTACGTATATAACTACAAGGAGCTGGAAATAAAAAGCCATATTAACATAGTAACTATAGCCGATTTACTGGCAAAACTCTTTGCGGCTAACTCCCGAATCGATGATTGCAATGCACTGCCACCATTATTACCTTATTGTGGCACAACGATGCCTGATATCAAAATCAGGCAGCGTGAGGTTCGTGCCGAATTGCAATCACTCGACGTCCGGAAAGCTAGTGGACCTGATGGCATCCCAGCAGTAGTATTGAAAAAATGTGCAGCGGAGTTGTCTCCCGTGCTCACGCGTTTGTACCAGTGCTCGTATTCTTTGGGGCGTGTGCCGGAGACTTGGAGAGATGCTAACGTGCAACCGGTACCCAAAAAAGGGGATCGCTCAGACCCGGCAAACTACCGGCCAATAGCAGTCACCTCAGTATTATGTAAAGTCCTAGAAAAGGTCCTTAACAACCATCTGACCCGCTACCTAGAGGATCACTCCCTGATTAATGATCGTCAATATGGTTTTAGACCGAAACGATCGACGGGTGATCTTCTAGCGTACTTGACTCATATCTGGGGTGAGGCTATCGACAAGCGGGGCGAGTCGTTGGCTATCAGCCTAGACATTGCCAAGGCATTCGACAGGGTCTGGCACAAAAGCCTTCTCTCCAAGCTTCCGGCATACGGTCTGCCGGCCCAGTTCTGTTCTTGGGTAGCTGACTTCCTGCATGAGCGTAGAATTCGTGTCCTTACGGATGGTAGCAGTTCGCGGTTCATGTCAGTGAATGCCGGCGTTCCCCAGGGCTCCGTCCTATCCCCCACTCTCTTTCTGCTGCATATCAATGACCTAATTCCTCTTGGGAATATTCATTGCTATGCAGACGACAGTACAGTGCATGCGGGGTATCTCGGACAAGCAGCGGCTGGGCAGGCGGTAACCAAGGAGAAACGGGAGAATCTTGTCATTGAACTCAATCAGGCTTTGGACCACATTTCTGAATGGGGTACCAAGAACTTGGTTGAGTTCAATGCTAAGAAAACCCAGGTCTGCGCTTTCACGGCAAAAACGTCGCCATTCCTTTTATGTCCTTCTCTTCAGGGCACAACACTGGAACTAGAGAGCAGTATCACCATGCTCGGTATGGAGATTCGCTGTGACTTAAATCCAAAAAATTACATCGAAAGTGTGATAAAAACAGCCTCACGCAAACTCGGAGTCCTGAACAAGGTGCGGCGTTTTTTCACGCCCGAGCAACTATGCTTGTTATATAAGACGCAGGTTCGGTCTTGCGTGGAATATTGCTCGCACCTCTGGGATGGCTCCGCCAAGTACTTGCTCGATGCTTTGGATAGGTTACAGCGGCGCGCAATACGCATCATAGGTGATGAGGAGGTGTCTAAACACCTCGAGCCTCTTCAATTACGCCGTGACGTGGCGTCACTAAGCGCGTTCTATCGTCTGTACCACGGCGAGTGTTCTGAGGAGTTATTCTCTCTTATTCCACCTTCCCCTTTCCTTCAGAGGACCACGCGCGCTGGCTTACGTTGTCACCGTCTAACTGTGGCTACAATTCCAACACGTACAAAGAAATTTGGTGACTCATTTCTTTGTCGTACTATCCGTAAATGGAATGCTCTGCCCGCTCACGTGTTCCCTCCCTCTTACAACCTGGGATCCTTTAAAAGAGGCGTGAAGAAGCAACATGCAGGCCGGCAGGGTGAGGATGGCTGGTGTGGCAGGTAGAACTGCTGTATCAGCTATCTTCGCGTCTGGACTTCACCTCCACTTAACATCAGGTGGGGTGGAGTCATTTGTCGGACCTATCTATAAAAAAAAAAAAAAAAAAAAAAAAATTAAGGGGAACTGGGGAACGTCATAATGATGCACGACGACCATGACGCCAAAAGATTTTAGGATGTAAATATATATGTATATATACATACACATACATAATCTTTATTTTTACATAATGTGTTATGAATGATACAAACATGTACACCCTTTTTTACATTACGCTCAGTGTTTCTCTACGTGATCAAATTAGAAATCAGTTTTAAATTTTGTATTAAGCAAATTATTATAGAAGATAAAATGAGGTACCTTAAATGTTTTAAAAATTTAATTTAATTTCAATATTGATTCAATAATTTTTTTTGTTGCAAAACTAGATTTTAGATTCTCGTCAAAATTATTCATAAATTATTATAAATAAAAACCACCCTACTTTTTCAATTGAAAGTATAGCAAGAGCCTAAAGTCAAAATTGTGTCACAGAATCTGATTTGGGTTGTTTTGTGAGGGCAAGCGTGGGGCCCCTTCAAGCACTGCGCTGCGGTCGGTTGGCCTGTTGGGCCCTCTAAGGCCGATTTGATTAAAATATTAACATCATTTGAATAAAGTAGACAAAACAATGCTTAAATAGCCCAAGCTCATGCTTATTATAAGGTAGGAATATTGCTAAATACAAATATTTTTAATTAAGCTAAACATACCTTGCCATGACTTCTGTGATATTTGGCCAATTCTTTAAATGGAAAGTCACAAATCACATCAGAGTTAAGAACAAAAAAAGGTTCAGGGCTTGTGCTCAGCAGCTCCCTAGCAAGTGCCAGAGGCCCTGCAGTTCCAAGTGGCTCTGTTTCATGAGAGAATGTTAAAGACACTCCTAGTTTAGACACTTGCTCTGTTAGCTCCTTTTCCATATCCTCAGCTCTATATGAAACTGCCAGGATGACCTTAAATGATGATCATTATTATTATATTTAGTATAAATTAATAGAATTATAATTCTTTCTAAAGTTTTCAAAACAAATGCTTTATCACACCCATTAAATAATAAATAAGATTATCTCAATACTAATTAGTTAAAGGATTTCAAATATAACAAGAGAAATATAAAATAGTTAAGCAAACTTTTTATGAAAATTTAAAATCAGTGTACCTGAGTGACACCAGCATCTACTAAGGCTTCTATCTGATGCATTAAAATTGGTTTATTAGCAAATTCCACAAGTGGCTTAGGCCTACTCAATGTCAATGGTCTCAAGCGTGTTCCATAGCCTCCCACTAAGATAAGAGCTCGTATCTCTCCAAGTTTCTTGTCAGTGCCGCACATCTTTAATGTATTAAATTTTCAAAGAACAGAATTACGTGTTTAGTGATTAACATACGTGGCAGTAAGAGTTCTGATGTCTGTAAATAAAAATCACCTTTTACAAAGACACGTACAGTAACTAATGGAATAAATAATAACTCAAGTTATAATTTACCGTGTGTACTAATTTAGATTAAAATTTGTGTAAAAACCGATAAAGAATATATTAATATAATGGAACACCCGTCAAAGTCACAAGTCAAAGTTTGTTTGATTTTTTCTGTTGGTTGTTGATTGCTTGACCGGCCGACGTGATACTGTGATACTGATAATTTATTGACATAAATGTGACGATGTCAAAAATATTGACGTACATCTAACAGTGTTGCCATTACCATATAAATATTTTTTTCCTATATAGTGAACGATATGCTAGCGTACTCCAGCCCCTCTAGCATGAGTACCGCGATATGATATATAACGCGTTTTTATCACAATCATTTGTCAAATTACTATAGAGTTTGACAGTTAGACGCGATAAAAAACGTGATATAATATTAATTGTGGTGCTCATGCTACGGGGACAAGGGGCCATTCGCGTAGCGGGGATTGGTATGGCTATCGCTATCGCTAACGATTTAGCTCGCTAACGCTTTTAGCGGTCAGAAATAACAAAATGAAATCGTAAGTAGTAACGTTAGCCATAGGAGATTGACCCCCAGATCAAACTTGAGTCTGCTACTTATGCTACTTGTATATAGTCGCGGTCCGCTATGATGGCCGTTTTGACACATACATATAATATTATTTGTATTATATCACTTCTTATTGATAATAATAAAAATACAAATAAATTAGTTTAATTACATAATCCTTTTTAACGCTCTTTAAAATGGCCGGTGGTTTTATGATTAAACTGACTGATTGCGATAGGTGTCTGATGAAATGAGACTCAACTGCTGGATAACTATTTACTTGTATTTGTATTAATTATAAAATATACGTTATAATGATAAATTAGATGTTGCTATGATCGATCTGCAATGATTTGAAGTATTAAATGACGTGCCGTTGTTCGAAGTTGTTGCCGCTGTTTTTCACTCAGGCGTTGTGTGGCCTGAATATGTTCCCCCCCTCGAAAGCTTCAGGGTTTCGAAGTCTGTTCTGATGCGAGTATGGAGCAGATGTTGTGGATAGCTCGGCGCACGATGCCCTTCGACGTGCTGATATCTGCGACTCTGGATGTTCCGTCAGAGCCGGGATAAAGCTTGTAGATGCGCCCCATGCGCCATTTCAATGGAGGTAGGTTAGCTTCCTTGATCACGACCAATTCCCCTTCTTGAAATCCTCTTTCTTGCTCTCGCCATTTGGATTTTTGTTGCAACTCATTCAGGTACTCGGTCCGCCAATGTTCCCAAAAGTGCAGGCGCATCTTCTCCAGAAGTCTGTATCTGTCGAGTCGGTTCAGGTTGGCTTTCAACAGGTTCTCAGCAGGCAGAGATGTGAGTGTTTTGCCGATCAGGAAGTGCGCAGGAGTCAAAGGATCTAAGTCTTTCATCATCATCATCAGCCTATTAATGTCCCCACTGCTGGGGCACAGGCCTCCCCTGTGGATGGAATAGGGAGATTGGGCCATGACCCACCACGCGGGCCCAGTGCGGATTGGTGGGTGCTAACGACTGCATATGCAGCTGGGACCAACGGCTTAACAACAGCCGAACGCGCTAACTATTTGCGCCATCGAGCTCCTCAAGTCTTTAGGGTCTGAGGAAAGAGGAGTTAAGGGTCTAGAATAAGGGATGCCTTCAATTTGCGTAAATAAAGTTGATAGCTCCTCAAACGTTAGATGTTTATCGCCTAAAATCCTAACTAAATTTTGTTTTGCGGACTTGACACCAGCCTCCCATAATCCTCCAAAGTGAGGAGAGTAAGCCGGAGAGAATTTAAATTGGATTCCTTCGTCGGAAGCGAAACCAGTTATGTTCCCACTATTTCATTTTAGAAATTTTATAATTTCGTTATTCGAGCCGACAAAATTTGTACCATTATCGCAATATAGTAGCAAAGGTTTACCTCTGCGAGAAATAAAGCGTCGTAAACATAAAATAAAAACCTCAGTGGACAGGTCGCTGGCTACTTTGAGGTGCAAAGCCTTAGTGCTAAAACAAATGAAGAGACATAGGTAGCATTTAGTTATTTTGCAACCGCGTCCTTTGCGATCGGTAATGTGGAATGGCCCAGCGAAGTCGACACCGCTGACGTAGAAAGGTTGTTTTGGAGCAGAGGTTCCCATACTTTTTTGTGTCGTAGATCCTTTGCATGTTTTTAGGTTTTGGGTAGACCCCTACTTACCTAATATTGATTTTTTGTAAATTTTTATCTGGAGGGAAGTTAGTGTAGCAACATGATACTGGTTTATCATTATGTGCAGGTTTATACACCTTCAAAATGTATTGCGACCACAAAGCGAATGCCTACATCTTACAACTTACAAAATTTTATAAACATATATAATATTTTTTATTATTTCATAGGTACTTTTATAAATAATGTATGTCTTTTTAATAGAAGATAGCATAATGTAAGTATATAAGTACTATCAGTGTATGTTGAAATCCATTATTATGGGCCCCCAAATTTTTTTTCGCTGACGTAGACCCCTAGGGGTCGATATAGACCACTTTGGAATCACTAGTTTGGAGTCACTCTGCCAGACGGTAAGTTTCCCATTATGGGATTGAATGATTTCGCTTTCATTAATTTACAAAGTTTGCAATTATTGATTGTCCCTCTTGCCCATACTCTGCCTCTTAAAGGCCAAAATCTATTGCGTATATTACTTAATAAGAGTTGAGGTCCGCAATGGAGCAGTTTTACATGTTGATGTGCAAACAGTATCTTGGGGAAATTATTATTAGAATCTAATAGTACAGTTTGTCTATAAAGTCGTGACATTAATGTTTGAGGAACTAACATTATTCATATGTCTGGCAACACCAAACTTATGTACATCAGCTGTCATCGAGTTTCAGTTGTGGAACTGTTTTCCTTTTGTATTTTTTATTGTTTGGATTAAACTGTAATAAATTCAGACGAAACTACGCAGAAAGGTATAAAAATGAGTAAGGTAAATCGGAGTGGCACGCGGGAAGTGATTTTTAAAGTTTTCCAGCGATGTTTCGAAGACTACCAAGCTGGACGAATTTTGTGGGATTTGGATAATGTTTATGGGCGAACAGCATCTATAACGGGTATGTAATCGTGTAACTATTTGTTTGTAATCTGACTGAAGTTACAAATTTACTCAATTTACGATTTTGAGACCAAAAAAGGCATTGTTTACATTGCACATTTTTAGGTTAGATTTACATTGTAAATAGGTAATATTGTAGTACGACCATTTCTTTTGATACGTTATTATGGTTCAACTCGGTCAGGTTTTCTACCAATTTTGAATTAATTGCTTCATGTCAATAAGTTATTGTTTCTATTCCGTTACATATTTTTTTACTTTTTTTTTCAGGAAAATCAGAGAGTCGAATAGTCAACGAAGGTTTTAAGAATGATGGAAAGTTTGAAACTCCTGGAAAACAGGCAAGGCCGACCAAAGAAAGAAATGGTCACATAAAGAACCATGGTCAGATGCTTTTAGTGAAGATACCTATCACTAATTTTACTAACTGCATTTACAAATTGTTTCTCTAAATAAACTTTTTATATACTATAAAATGATTTTTAGTATTATTTTCTTAACAAGTGTGTTAAAAAACGTCGTATGATGATACTTGTGTGTATTGATGATTGCCTAAGGGCTCTGGTCTCAATGGCACCTCAGCGGTAATCACCAACATTACACACTTTTACACCATAAAGTACTATTTTATCTATAATAATTTTATTCTGATTCAATTAAATATGCTTGGCTAAATTTTTTATAAGCATAGGTACCTACTATATATAAAACAGAAACAAAATACGACTGAATAGTGTGTCTTATTAATTACCTATTTTACTTGAATGAACTGCTAGTTTCAAAATCATTTTGGTCAGACTGTACAGGGTTGCTACATGCATACTAGTGGCGCCATCATTTAATGTCACGACTTTATAGACAGACTGTACAGGATGCTTCCTTTCATAAGGTTCATCAGAATTTTGCAAACGTCCCCCTACAGAAAGAATGCCATCATTATTGAGAAATGGACTGAGTGACAAGATTCGCGATTTTGAAGGTAAGCTTTGTTTGTTTTTTATTGTTTTTATTTCGCTTGCAAAACATTCACTCTGATGTTGTTTTATTAAAACTTTAAGAGCACTGTCTAGTTCATCAGGATTTAAGGGACCGGTAAATTTTGGTTTGTTGTTTTTTGAATTGTGTATGAAACGCAAGGTGTATGCAGTGGACCTCTGAAGTCTTGTGAAGCTTGAATGTCTGTCAAACTCCACAACACCGCAGACATCCGCAGCCGGTGGTTGGTTTATATATTGTAGGTTAAATAATTTAGAAAAAAATATTTTAATGGATTTGTCAGTATTTATTTCAGGGAGATCCAGAATGTTTCGTGATCTTATGTTCTGAGGCTAGCCACATGGGTCCTCCGTAAGAAAAGATGAACCCTCCCACCATAGACGAGCAGATTGAATAGATCTGGGGTTTACTCCTCGAGATGCTAGATCTGCTGGGATTTTGTCTCCAGGAACGTGTCTCCAAACACCGCGTGTGGTCAGGTCTTGGATCTTACTCACGCGATTCGAAACAAAGGTTTTCCGATCGTATGAATGAGATGATAACCACCCCAAAACCACTGTTGAGTCGGTCCAATAAAATACAGAGCCAACTTTGCAACGCAGCGCCTTTAAAACTTTGTTGCTCAAACGTGCTGAAAGCAATGCGCCGCAGAGCTCGAGTCGTGGAATGGTGGTTGCCTTAACTGGGGCGACCTTAGTCTTGGAGCAGAGTAGCCTAACTAGGACCTGACCAGAACTGTCAATGGATCTAAGATATCGTATATGCGTATGCCAATTGAGACGCGTCAGAAAATGAATGTAGTAGAATTTCTACAGATTGACGAAGGAGAGTATGTCTTGGTATTTGAAATTCTTTAATGGAATCTAAATTATTTGCAAAACTTTGCCATTCATTTTCTAACGCATCATCCACTGGATCTTCCTATTCAAGCTTTGACAGCCACACCCTTTGTAAAATCATTTTAGGAATGATGGTACATGGACTAAGTAAGCCTAATGGGTCAAAGAGTTTAGCCGAGTTAGAGAGAATGGTTCGTTTTGTTACTGACTGGATTTGTTTCATATCGACTGAAAATTGTATTGAAGGATCCCATTTTAGCTTGATTGTGAAGATAAGTAATTTTTTTTTGTTTGAGACGTGTCGGCGTCTTCTAAAAAGATGCTTGGTGCATTCGTTCGCCATTTTGACACAAAATCGACCATCATCTTCACGACGGGTAGTAGAAGGGAATAATTTTTCGCAATAATCGTCTTTATTAAAATTTAAATTTGATGGTATCTTCCCAAGTTCCCAAAATTTGCTAAGTTGTTGACTAATTTGTTTTGAAAAATGTGAATGAGTTTTTTTATTATATTTGTTAGTGGCATAGTAGCTGCCTGCAGTGGGACCAGCCACTATCCACCCCAATTCTGTTTCTTGTAATATTGGCCTATGTGGCTTTAAAATTACCTTACTTGGTTTTAGAAGTTCCCAAAATATATCTGCGCCTAATAACATATCAATGTCAGATGATTGTTGGAAATTCGGGTCGGCAAGTTTGACAAAACTAGGAATTCCCAAATCTTGTATACGCACTGTAACTTGAGGTAATTTGTCAGTTATCTGAGGTAATATAAAACATGTAACGACCTCCGTGGCCGAATGGTTTGTACGCCGGGTTTCATGGCTGTCGCCGACTCGAGAGGTCCCGGGTTCGAATCCCGGTGGGGGCAGATGTTTGTGTGATGAATACGAGCATTTGTACTCCAGTCATGGATGTTTAATATGTATTTATATAAATATACTTATATATGTACAATATATGTATTCTATCCGTTACCCTAGCATCCCATAACACAAGCCTTATAGTGCTTACTTTGGGGCTAGGCTAATTGGTGTGAGTGTCGGAAATATTTATTTATTTATTTATTATTATTTGATCATTACGCTAAATGAATTGTGTATTGACTGAAGACGTAGCTGACAATGTTCTGTTACATTTAAAATAGAGTTCCATATGCCTGAAACACATTTATAACGATTATCGTTTCGTAGCAAACCAATTTTTCTCTGAGCCCTTTCGCTGATGAATGAGGACTGGCTTCCACAGTCCAAGAAAGCTGTGAGAGTGAATGTTTGGTTATTATTATTAATTTTGACTAATGGCGTAGAGAGGAGTGCTTGACCACGGGAGGTAGCAGACATAGCCACAGAAGTGGAGCTAGGTAAAGAATCAATGACAGGAGTAGGTAAGTTGCATTCATTTGTAGTGATTGTACTTTCATTGTTGACATGATTTGTGATGATTGTAATGAATTTTGTTTGTGTATTAATGTATTATGTTTTTTATAGCAAATTCTGCAGCCACCCAGTCTACAAGAGTAAGCCTAATGGCCACTACGGAAACAATTATGGCAATTGCTGTGTTACAGCAAGATTGAAATGGCAGATCGGTGGCTGTGTTACAGCAAGATTGAAGTGGCAGATCGGTTTTTGCGTGGGAAAACAACATAATTTTCCATTTTTGTGGGAGCTCCGACTCACGCTGCGGAACGATCCAAAATGGTAATCAAAAATAGTAAAAACCCCTGCCAATATTCATTCTAAACACAGATGGCACTCTGTACATCTAACAATTGGCACTTTATTTTTAATACTGTCAAATATCCTATTGCATAGTTACATAGAAATTGTTTGCATGTGTGCGTTTTTTGTGCGTTCGTTTGACAGTTGTCTTTTTTTTGTGTTGCCATATATTCAAAATTTGTAGTTCCGGAATAATTAATTTCTACTATTTTATGTCTAATTTCGTAGAAAGTTTCATTCTTTGGCAACATATATTGTGAATGTCAATAAAACGTCAGTTTGTTACGTAAGTTGTAAATTGGCTGGCAGTTTGTCAGTCAGTGTCACAAAATTTTCTCTCTTTTTTCCATCTTTAAATTATAGTTATACAATGGCTGTCCCGGCTCGAATTTTGGCTAGATGTAAAGGTAAAAGAGTACTTAATTAAATAAGACTAACGCAACAATAACTTCACTGCTTAATATGTAAAATACGCAACTGAGATTAAGGCGCCCTCGGTAACAAGTAATTTTTACAAGTCGTTATAGTTAGTTCACTGAATTAACCTTGTATTTATTTTGACACTTATTTCATGTCATAAAATCTCGTCGAAATTACATTTTCCAATTTTTTAATACACAGAAAGTTAAGATCACTTTTCCATGTAGTTGTAAAAATTTACTATGATAGACGTATCATTAAAATTCAATGCCGATTTAATTATGCTTAGTTCGACCGAGACCTTCATCTAAAAATATGGCATCTACATGTTATATTATGTAAACCAAATTTGCAATTAAAACAGTATCTTCATTAACAGTGATCACAAAACCCTTTTGTACCAATCATACTTTTGACCTTTGATACTGTACTGTAATAGTCAATCTCTGTTCAATAAACATATCAGTGAGTTAATTCTGAATAGTCAAAACTCCTTTTTTGCTTCAATTATTCCATTGCTTGTTATAAAATATGTGAAAACCATATTAAGTTATTTTTCCCACAAATGTTAATATAACATAAATATAGATTAACCTTATCTCTCAAACAAAATAGTTATAACACTTGTTACCATTCCTTAAAACTAGTGCATGAATGACTAAAAAACTGTATATTTCTATCTTTAAATATATTTATGGTTGCAGTTTATAATTAAAAATGTTTGTTATTGCTGCAACAACCAGTATGGTAGATACAAAACATGTTGTTCTGATTTTAATGTCTCATTTTATGACTCAGACCCAAGTTTGTTTATTAAAGTAGAACTATTATCTTAATTAGAATTTTTTCTTTTTAATAAGATTTTTTAAATATTTTTAACATCATTACTGAAAATTAAAACTTTATTTAAAATTTCGTTTCAGATGGTTTAAAATTAAGCAATGTTAGATTCCAATCGGGCACTCCTTATGCAGAGACAAGGAAGAACTTGGTCCTCACCAGTGAAACTAAAGTGATTGTACAGGGGTTCACTGGGAAACAGGGTACATTTCACAGTCAGCAAGCTTTAGACTATGGTACGAAGGTGGTCGGTGGAGTATCACCAAAAAAAGCTGGTCAGGAACATCTTGGGAAACCAGTCTTTGGTACGGTAAGGGAAGCCAAGGAAGCTACTGGGGCACAAGCCAGCGTGATCTATGTACCACCACCAGGGGCAGCTCAAGCTATCTTAGAAGCCATTGAGGCAGAGATGCCTTTGATTGTATGCATCACAGAAGGTGTACCCCAACATGTAAGTAATAAAGATTATCTGAATAATAAATTCATTTGTAATCAACTTATTAGTTTTTATGATCAATTTCATTAGTACATGGTCACATGATTATTAATAAATATTAAGAAGGTAATAAAATATACATTTTGTTGTTGTGGTATAGAAGAAAAATGTTTATTGTGATTCAAATATTGTTAGATGTCATATAAAAATTCACTTACATATTTCAGTTCACAAAATTTTGTTGATGTTAATACATCAACAAAATTTTTAAAACAACAATAATTCATGTTTTTTTACTTTGTTCAACAAATAAACTTAGGTTTTCATTCTAATTTTTTTGAGATTAAAGTATTTTTGAACTTATTTCTGATTTCAACTGGATTTCAGGACATGGTGCGTGTGAAACATGCTCTTCTTAGGCAGAATAAGTCAAGGCTGGTAGGACCCAACTGTCCTGGTATCATCGCACCTGAGAAATGTAAAATTGGTATTATGCCTGCTGCTGTTCACAAGCGTGGCTGCATTGGTGTTGTCTCCCGTTCTGGTACCCTCACTTATGAAGCCTGCCATCAAACAACTGTTGTAAGTGTTACCTTTACATCTTAAAGTAAATAACTAAATCTTTCAGTATGCCAAAAGTAGCCTTCCTAAAGTTTTTAATCTACAATGACACAGATCAGTAAACATGGGCTGGCTTTAACATCTCCCATAGTCTTATAGCTACCTAGCCACCCACCCTGTTATCTGTGTTAAAATCTGACACCCTGGGCCATTCATGACTTGCAACCTGACCCATACGATATCTATCTTTACTGGTATTAGTATATAATCTAAAAAGATTGCATTCAACATAAGCAAATTCAATATAAAAAATAAATTTAGTGCTTTTCTCATGCAACTAGAATATAAAAGGTGATCTAAGGGGATTCATATTGGTAGTATTAAGTTATTTACACCATATATTGGTGTCAGATCCCTGACAGATCTTGCCTAAAAATTGCCTCACTTATATTCTTACTGTGAGTATTAAAAACCCGACTTTAAAACGGACAATGGAATAAAAGTGTAAAAAATAATATCTGTTTTATGATTTGGAAGTTGGGCTGGTTCAAGATTGAAACATTACATTTACATTTAAAAAAAAAATATTTACCCTTTTTAGTGAAAATTACATAACATAGTCCAAGTAAACAATAAACAAAAAAAAGAATTTAGGAAATCTGTCCATAATTGATTGGAGAAATTGGTGAACATGCATAAAAAATGGTGCGTGCCTTTAACATTTTAAGGTTTCCCTCAATTTGCCCGGATTCTACCATCAGCTCCTGACTTGGTTCCAATGGGACCACCCCGGAAGATCACTCTTTAGAATAAAAAAGAATTTTGGAAATTTGACCACAATTGATGGATAAATTGGTGAACATACATAAAAAAAATAAAGAAATATACAGTCGAACACAGAACCTCCTCCTTTTTTGAAGTTGTTTAAAAAATATTTTTTCAGATTACATTCAAACTTTACACAGATTGCATTAAAATTTTTGTTCTTATTATTTTCAGACTGGCCTTGGACAAACTCTGTGTGTGGGTATTGGTGGTGATCCTTTCAATGGAACTGACTTCATTGACTGCCTTGAAGTCTTTTTGGCTGACCCAGAAACTAAGGGCATTATCCTTATTGGTGAGATTGGTGGAAATGCAGAAGAATTGGCATCGGAATACCTTATTCAAAATAATACTGTAAGTGTTTCAAGTTCTTATTAATTATTTGCTTTGCTTTTTATACAAAGAATATTTGTTCCTGTTTATAGTAGAATGTGAAATCACTTGTAAAAAATATGTTTACTTAATTTATGTAACTTAACTATGTCACAGAAATGCAATAAATTATTATATATCAAGTGATTTTACTCTTTTTTGGTTTATTTTTAATAAATTAGGTTGTAGATTTGTGATCTCAGATTGTTAGGTTTTACTTGTAATTAATGAGTTTCTGATTAAAATAAAATATGTAAACAATCTTATTTTTCCTTTATTTCCATACAGAGCAAAAAGGTAATGCATTGAGTCTTCCTGAAAGGTTTATTCAAGTTATCTATTCATTGATGTACTGCTTGTTTCGTGTATATTATTTTACACATTATTTATATACCTATAAGGTTAACTTCATTGTTGAATGGATAGTTTAGTTAGTTGTATTGCATCATGCATCTTGATTATTCTTCTTGAATTCATACATCTTGATGTTTCCATAAAGTTTATTATACAAGTATTATCTTTTAGTTTATAAGAATAAGTTGCTACTACACCATAGTTTTACTATATTTCTTAATATTCATTTAATTATCATAAATGTTTGCATTTCCACATGATTGTAATGCACTTGTCAATTAAATAGATATAATTTGTCTTTCTCATTATTAAATTGTTTTTTTAATATAATTGCAGGGCCAGAAGGCTAAGCCTGTCGTCTCATTCATTGCAGGGTTGACTGCACCACCTGGTAGACGGATGGGTCATGCTGGTGCTATTATTTCTGGTGGCAAAGGAGGTGCCATGGACAAAATAAAAGCTTTAGAAAAGGCCAATGTCATTGTAACACGTTCACCTGCTAAAATGGGTGTGGAATTGCTAAAAGAAATGAAACGGCTAGAAATTGTTTAAGAATGTTATAATGGTCATATTTTACATTATCATTATGCCTACTCTGTATAGTTTTAGAAATTATATTGGTACTATTTATTTACCATTGTTGTTTCAGTCTTGCACTGTGTTGTACCCAAAGACAAAGTTGAGATTGTAAGAAAATGGGTTTTGAAATTTATTGTTCAGTAAAGAACCTGTAATGTGATTATGTTTACATAATTCTATTTTTATGATTGCCAAATGTTATTTAAATTCTCACGAAATCTCAGTAGTTAGCACCCACAGTAGAAATTAAGAATATATTGTCATTATTATTAATATGAATAAGTGTTACTCAAAAGTTTGATCAAATCATAAATATAAACTAAGCTGACATTGAATTGTTTCCTGACTCGCTTTGTCTGTTGTATAGTTAAAAAAAAGTATACACAAAATACATGCATATGACCAAACATTTCTTTTTATTGTTATGAAACAAGTCTAAGGTAAAATGATAGATATCCTATCATTTTCAACTATTTGTGAACTAGCCACTTTTTCAACTTATAATAATAATAGAACAAGCAAGATAACTTAATAGATACTCAAGTCTATAATTAAATACCTTAACAACAGATATGTTGCGATTCAAATATCACAGCTTAGATATTCATCAATCAATCATAAAAGTAGTCTTTCAGATATACTGAGGTAGTATTATGAACCCTAGGTTACTTAGCAGAATGCTTCTACTGTGGACTGTGTACCTCTTATGTAATGTCAAGTTGTAAGAACAAGTCAACACATATGCACAGGTAAAGATATTCTGCTTGAGTTGCTTTTTTTGCCTGGCCTTAAGAGTTCATAATATCGCCTCTGTTTAATTTAACAAGCTATGCAAAAACAAAAAAAAAAACAAGTTTTTTAAACTACCAACGATCCCTTCTGCCGCCACCTCCCCGTCCCCCGCGTCCCCCTCGGCCGCCCCTCCCACCGCGTCCCCCGCCTTCTTGCTCCCTCCTTAATTTCATACCTTCAAATCGCTTAGCCATTAGCTCTAGTTCTTCTGGGACTTCTTGATTCGCCTCCTCCAATATTTTAATCAGTTCTCCAGCTTGTGCCCAGTCATTCCTAGTTACAAAAGTCAGGGAGACCCCTGTCCTACCTGCACGGCCAGTCCTACCAACTCTGTGCACATACTCCTCAATATGACGAGGGAAATCAAGATTTACGACATGAGTGAGATCCTTTATGTCTATGCCTCGGGAGGCTACATCTGTTGCTACCAAAATGTTCACAGTACCATCCACCATTTCTTCTAAAGCAGCTTCACGGTCACTTTGATCTCTATCACCATGCAAAGATTGACATTCTATTCCTTTAATACAAAGTTCTGTAGTGATATGTGTAGCAGTTGCTTTTTTTCCACAAAATACAATCACTTTGTCATTTGGATCCATATTCATTAAGAAGTCAAACAGAGCTTTTTCTTTATCATCTTCTTCTACAAAGAGAAGTCTCTGTGTGACTGTGTGCACAGCAGCAAGGTCCAGTGATCCAACGTTGACTTGAATGGGATCTTTCATGTAGGACTCTGCTAGTCTTCTCACACCAGGTGGCCAAGTTGCAGAGGTCATAACAGTCTGTCTGTCAGGCCGAACGTCAAAGAGGGACTTCCTAATCTGTGGTTCGAATCCCATATCTAGCATTCTGTCAGCTTCATCAAGAACAATGTATGAAAAGTTTATTATATTTAAATGACGAGCCATGACTAAGTCATTTAGTCTTCCTGGTGTTGCAATCACAATATCTACACCCTTGGATACAACTTTGATCTGTTCACGGCGGTCCCCACCACCATACAGACAAACTGATTTGATGCCACGATATTGATACTTTGAAACTTCTTTATCTATTTGTAAAGCAAGCTCTCTGGTTGGTGCCATGATTAACACAGTCGGCCCTTCTCGCTGTTCCCTCGGAGTAGTTTGTCCATCTATATGTATGAGAGCTGGTAACAAGAATGCCAAAGTCTTACCTGTCCCTGTTTGTGCTATGCCAATCAAGTCATCACCTCTCAAAAGGATTGGCCATGCTTGGCTTTGAATGGGAGAAGGTTGTTTGAAGTCTTGTTTATAAATTTCATCCAAAATTTCAGGGTAGTGTTGAAATGCTTGTTCAAAAGTTAATACTGGATTTGGGATAGGTCGCAGACCTGGCTTGTCATCAAATGTTCTCTTGACTTGTATGTCATGGTTAGCACGGCGCCAACGTGTCACTTCAGATGGTGGCATGGAAGCGATTACAGGGTCTTCTTTATAGAAATCCTTTATAATTGGTGGTAAATTTTTCCATCGATTTTGCTGTTCTTGGTCATAAAATGCATTAAGTTTATCCCAATCAATAATCTCAACACCAGATTCATTTTTCTTTGTAAAGTCACCAGACCCAGAACTACTATTGAGTTCTTCTTTTGGACGTGCAGGTCTTGTATCTTCAAGCAATTCATTAATCAAGCCCTCAACTTTGGATACGGCATCTTCAGAACCTATTAAAGTGACTGTAGAGCAATTGCCGTCAGAGTCACCAATTTTTATTCTGGCACCTGAATCTTGTTCCAATTCACGGATTTTGGATCCCCCTTTCCCGATGATACGACCTACACTTTGAGAGGGTACTGTTATATCTTTTTTGTTACCGTCGTTTTGTTGATAATTACGTCGTTGACTTGTTCCCACATCGTCGTTATTGCCACGGTCGCGCCAATTACCGTCGTAACGTCCTCTGCCGCCGCCATCTCTGCTGCCACCACCCCTGCTACCGCCACCTCTGCCTCGACTTGGACGGTATTCACGAGATTGGAAAGTATGAACTTGCTGTGGTGCAGCAGTGACTGTTACCGCTTCAGTTTCTTGCCATTCGTCTTCAAAATTCATATTAGTGACAAAAATCAATGCTTTGAGAAATAGTTTTTTAAACCGCTAACCAGAGACCGGTAACCAACCCGTGGAATCAGCGAAATCCTTGCCACCACAGACCAAATCTACCACAGACTACTTAGATTGATCCAGTGCTGCCAACCCGAATTTTAGAAAATTAGTAGATTATGTGCCAAATGTTGGTAGAAGTTGGTAGAATGTAAAATGCAAAATTGGTAGATCTACCACCTCAATTTAGAAGATTTTTTAAGATTAAAAATGCATGCAATGCAATCCAGAGCACACTTCAGATCACACCTACATGATTTGCAATAAAAATATCCGTCACCCTGAGTAATTTCTTGAAGCCAACCTGCAAATTCCTTGTCTTTCTCCCATAATTTCGAATATTTTTGGTCATAGTGCCTTTTTCTAGGTTTTCGTGGCGAAGTTCCTAACCTAGAACTATGTGCATCGCTTTCGCTACTGTCAGAATCCATTATATAAATAAATGCACGCAACATAGAACAAACAGCAATCAGCACCGTTAATACGCAGTTAATTAGTTTTTACAATAAAACAGGAGCAAAGATTCAACATTGATTCCGCAACAAACCAAGCGAGAATAGGCCACAGTAGGAATAGTAAAATATGGGCGCAAAATTGTGCGAATGCCGAACTGATGGCGAACTGTTGCTGACGTATTTTCTTTGTGATTTATGGCCTGGACTCTATGTATGCTTGACGCATCGTTGCATGGCTCACGCAATACATCGCAACGTCGTTCGTCGATATAAAAATAATTCAAAGTGGTGATATGCCAAACTAATTAAAAAATAGGTAGTTTTTAGGTCTAGGGTGGTAGATAGGTAGACTGAAGTGAAAATTGGTAGATCTACCAAAAAGTTGGTAGATATGGCAGCACTGGATTGATCCCTACACGCTTAAGCTGGCTACTGACATCCCTGCCGCAGGGGCAATCTAGGGTGTAAAGCCCACCATTCACTACACGCACCGCGAGCCAAACCCGGAGCCGTACCCATTTGTGGACAAATCCGTCATTGCCCACACACTACACGAGCGCCGAGTTGCAGTCCAGTCGCTTGTGTACTTTGGTGAGCCTCGCGCGTATCGTTCTTCCCTACCCTACCATGCCACCGGTGCTTTCCAAACGCATAAAAGTCGCTTTAGTAGCCGGTGCAATACTTTTAACGGAGAAAAATCGCGTCTGGACAAAGGAATGGCTGAAACAACGAACAAAATATACTTGAAAATTGATGCTATGCATTCAGTCCTATATATTCAGTCCTAGTACGCCGCTTGTTTCAGTTGTTTATTGTGGTACCCTTTACTTTTTACTTTCCACAAACAAGTTTTCTCTTTAAACAACAGGATAAATTCTTGCCAAAACTCTTTATGATCGTCGAACGACATGTTATTATTATTATACACGTCTACTCGTTCGTGATACAAACAAACAACACAACTGCGTGCACGCACTACAAATCAATCACTGACAAGTTCACCGATAAATCTGTGCAAGCACACACACGTACGTACTTGTACGGCGCGGCTGGGGTGCGGCACGGCACTCGCGTCTCTTGACGGCGAGCGCCCGGCGCCGCGCCGAGCCGCGAGCCGCGCTCACCAATACATTCACACGCGTGTTTGTCTGCGGACTTGTCGCCAGCGACAAGTCCGGCGGATGGGCGCGCCTGTGAATAGTAGCCTTAAGAGTGGGGATGACCCTTAATTACTTCGGTAGTTTTTCAATTCCAGAGCATAATGCGACTCAGTGGCGCACAATGCCGAAATAAGCTGATGCTTACTTGGAACGTGAATTAGTTTTCAAATGCACCAGCAGAGTGGACTACAGTTTGTCTATAAAGTCGTGACATGAATGTTTGAGGAACTAACATTATTCATGTGTCTGGCAACACCAAACTTATGTACATCAGCTGTCATCGAGTTTCAGTTGTGCAACAGTTTTCCTTTTGTGTTTTTTATTGTTTGGAATAAAATGTAATAAATTAAGACAAAACTACGCAGAAAGGTATAAAAATGAGTAAAGTAAATTGGAGTGGCACGCGGGAAGTGATTTTTAAAGTTTTCCAGCGATGTTTCGAAGACTACAAAGCTGGACGAATTTTGTGGGATTTGGATGATGTTTATGGGCGAATAGCATCTATGACGGGTATGTAATCGTGTATCTATTTGTTGGTAATCTGCCTGAAGTTACAAATTTACTCAATTTACGATTTTGAGACCAAAAAAGGCATTGTTTACATTGCATATTTTTAGGTTAGATTGACATTGTAAATAGCTAATATTGTAGTACGACCATTTCTTTTGATACGTTATTATGGTTCAACTCGGTCAGGTTTTCTACCAATTTTGAATTAATTGCTTCATGTCAATAAGTTATTGTTTCTATTCCGTTACATTTTTTTTTACTTTTTTTCAGGAAAATCAGAGAGTCGGATAATCAACGAAGGTTTTAAGAATGATGGAAAGTTTGAAACTCCTGGGAAAACAGGCAAGGCCGACCAAAGAAAGAAATGGTCACATAAAGAACCATGGCCAGATGCTTTTAGTGAAGATACCTATCACTAATTTTACTAACTGCACATTTACAAATTGTTTCTCTAAATAAACTTTTATATACTTTAAAATGATTTTTAGTATTATTTTCTTAACAAGTGTGTTAAAAAACGTCGTATGATGATACTTGTGTGTATTGATGATTACCTAACGGCTCTGGGCTCAATGGCACCTCAGCGGTAATCACCAACATTACACACTTTTACTCTATAAAGTACTATTTTATCTATAATAATTTTATTCTGATTCAATTAAATATGCTTGGCTAAACTTTTTATAAGCATAGGTACCTACTATATACAAAACAGAAACAAAATAAGACTGTATAGTGTGTCTTATTAATTACCTATTTTACTTTAATGAACTGCTAGTATCAAAATCATTTTGGTCCGACTGTATAGGGTTGCTACAGGCATACTAGTGGCGCCATCATTTTATGTCACGACTTTATAGACAAACTGTAAGTTCAGTGTTGAAAAAAATATATATTCATAGAGTTCAATAACCTCAATAATGTGTAAATAAAGTGGTATACATAACAATTGGCTGAAAACTATTTACGGTTATCTTAAGTAATTTGGATTTTGATTATATCATTAACAATTTTTTGTTTATAGTAATTTTTTTAAATGAGTTTTAAAAAGTTTTTTTAAATGATTTCTAAAAGAATTATATTGTAAAAAAATTGTATTCACATTTTAAAAGTGGAATATAAAAAAAAAATACGTGTGGCACTCGGGGACTGCCGCGGTAAAGCTATTGCATAGCATTTTTTATCAACTTAAGCTATTATAATTATTTATTTATGTAGTATTTTTTTTCTTTTATATTAATTCAAGTATCAAGTTACACTTTTTGAGCGTGGTGACCGATAAGAAAACATTTTTGGAGTTTACTCCTTAAGAATCGATTTGCATATATAAGGGGCCCGGTATGAGAAAAATGTGAGGAGTAAAATCTATCGATAAATGACATTAATGACCTCGTTACGTTTTTGTGCGCAACCTCATCTGCGCACCTTTCACTTTTAGCCATGGCAACGGATAAAAAACATTAAGTTGTCACAAATGTCAATATTGTCATTTATTATAACAAAACTGCAATGAAACTAAAGCTTTAAAATTTTTTCAACAATAAATAAATAAAACATTTCAATGATCTGTAGTTGAAACATTCAACGTTAAGCATTATGCCGCATAATGCGCTCTAGTGCTGTAATTGGAAAACTACCTGTATGAACGTGGGTGTCATTTCAGGGAGGGCGCAACTGTCTACGTACAATAAATGACCTTTAAAGAAATAAAAAATATGACGTTTTCTTAATCGGTAAAGTTAATTCCAATTTATGCTACATTCATAAAGATCTTGGTCGCACTGTATTTATCTTAATAGTTCAATCGAGTTCACTGATTACAGAGAGTTCTAGTACACCTCATCTTTCATATCACACGTTCCCGTTAGTTCTATCGGTCTAAACCCTACCCGAAGGAAGCGAAGTGGCAAAAGTATTTGCTATCTATGGGGATATTTTTACAGAAATTAACTTTTATTAATTTTTATTACAAAACTTCGAATAAAGTTATAGCCAGTCTAAAACTGACGCTGTCATTTTTTTTTTGCTAAAAAGAAGTCAGAGGCAGCATTATGGCTATTTCGATGCACGAACGATATTACTTGAATTTGGGCATCCGAAGCTATATTTACACTGGAACACTGGCTGGAAGGCAGTAAAGTGTAGTAACCAAAACGCAAACCACCTGAACACGGGCGTACTCTATTCCGTTTATTTAGACTTAGTCGTTTACCCAAATTCCATTGACACTCCTTGTAACAATTTTCGCTACCACCGGCTACTCAGGGCTTTGTATGAGACTCAAAATTGAATTTATCTACCCGGGGCGCCTTACTCTGATTTGTGGGAGTGAAATAAATTTTTTTTTAGCAGTGAACAAGATCTTTATATTGTCACTATTCAGAGGAAATTTCAACATACAGTGACACACTTAATACTACTAACTAGCTTTAATTTTTAAATTTTACTAGCTTTCCTCAAAGGACCCGTTAATCTGGGGAGAAATAACAGATTAACACGACTTTCGTGTTATTTTATATTATTAGCGCACTGACCACAGCCTTCTCAACAGTCTCGGTGCAACTACCTTGATCTACCAGGATTCAATCAGCGAAAGGGCCCTAGTGCTGCTGCGCACAGCTATTTATAGTGGCGATTGTCACGTGGACACTGGCAGAAGATTTCGATTCTATTACCTTACAAGGAGCGAAATGCTATACGTACTGGTTAAGCAAACCACACCCCTTGCGATTCCTTCCAGAACATTAATATGACGTCACACCCGATCATGTAACTTATTCAAAAAAAATGGGTGCGTGTACTTATGTAGGCGCGTGAGAAGTTATCCTTCTTTGGCATCGTTTAAAATTAGTTTTTAATTGCATGCAAATAATTAATTACAATAAATTAATAAAAAGTCTGGAAAAGGACGAAGTCAATAAAGTTCAGTTTTAATTTGAAAAAATAAATAAATAATCAAAATATTCAATTAAAATCGCTACTGAATATAATTTATTAGAACATAATTATGTGATTTGCACTTGTATGAAACTCAAACACGTATTCCGAATATACAAACTATAAACATGTGGATAAATATTATAAATATGAATACCTATAACTGTTACTTTATTACAAAAAATAAAGATGTGGTTTTTGGTTCTACTACACCAATGGTCAAGAGATGGCGCTGTAGTCTCCTGAATCGCGCTTTGGTTCCGTTGTTCCAGATTAATAAATACTTTTTGTTACTTTATTACAAAAAATAAAGATGTGGTTTTTGGTTCTACTACACCAATGGTCAAGAGATGGCGCTGTAGTCTCCTGAATCGCGCATTGGTTCCGTTGTTCCAGATTAATAAATACTTTTGATAGGCCTTCACAATGCAGTCGTTAGCACCCACTAAATAGAGATTCTATTTCTATTTTGTTGGTAGATTTTCTTAATGTGCGGTAAACACAAAATTCGCTAAAGTGACCAACTTCATTATGTTAAAATTTTGTGTTACAGTGATGCGCGCGCATCTTAAAATTTCACTCTCATCATTTTTTCATAACGCGCCTAAAGAAGTATAACTTCAAAAACTATACATCAACTCCATCTATCATACATTCCAAACGTATCTGCCACACTTGGCGCGCACACGCCTCTTGCTATTATCAAAACGTCCTACATTCGATGATATATGTGAATGACCGTAGATGGCGCTATATAAAAAAAAAATATTATCAGTTAAAATTATTTACAAAATTATGATGCTACATCCTATTCGGGCTAATGATCAAGTGTAATAGCGCCGTTAGATTTAAACCAATACTTAAGTCCGCGTTTTGGAATGAGGCGGTTAAAGTCTTAGATCAACAATAGAATTGTTGATCAATGGATAAAGTATATTATAATATTAGTGAGCCATGACATGGGTAGAATTCATGTAAGTACAGTGGGCAATACAAGTATTTTATAGAGAGTTAAATTTTCTCAAACTATACCTTCTAAACACAAATAAAAAAAACGATTTAATTGAAACAGGTGAATAAATTAATTAAGTTGATATTTTGGGCTAATTCATCTAGCGAGATAGATAAAGAACCTAGAGAAAATAATGAACGCAATTAAGTACATCTTTCATCAACTAGATGAAGTTAATTATAGTGACATAAAATGCGCAAGGCTATTTCAATGTCATGCCAGCACTTCCCTTGGTGTTTGTTCTTTATACACTTGACAATAGTCTGCCTTTATCATGCTTTATATAGAAGGAAAAGGACAGCCTGATATCAATAGCAAACACGAATAGCCAAGTAGAGTGCCGGCATAATAATTTTATAGTAATTGTCTATGATCATGCATGTGTCCAGGATTTAAATTAATTTGCTCTTTGGTCGTGAGCATGAGTGCTTGCTTGGTGCTTGGTGCTGCCGCGAACGAACGAAATTATATCCAAAAGCACAACACTAACAAAAAAAAACTAGAACGGGCTTTTGTACACCTACCTACCAAATCATTAATTTTTCATAAAAAACTTGGGTTTACATTACAAATGTAAAGAATATTTTTGCGAAATTTTCAATAGTGGCCAGTGAACATGGTTTCACTCAAATGCTCTTTAGAAACATAATTAGGTTATGCTTCTACTATAGGAAATTTGATTGAGACTCACACCACCCTAGAAATATGAGCAACTGGGCACGAAGAATGCACCGGCGAGCAGCTACATTGAGTAATGTGGTAACCTCTTGCGGGCACCCAAATTCTTTGCCATATCCACGAAGACTAGAAAAAGTGAAATTTGGTGTGCCATTACACGAAGTCTGCAAGGATGATATACCAGGACCTCTGCTTGTTAGTATCCAAGTGAGCTTTTTTTTTTACTGTGTCTGTTCATGTGATAGTGGTTTTCAGCGTGTGTTGATGTTTAGGTCCTGATTTTGAAGTTGAACAAAGAAGCGCCGTTACGTCGTGATGTGTTCAGGGCGCCTGGACACCAGGGTGCGATGAAGAAACTTATACATTTTCTCCAAACGGGAAGACTGGTGAATGTGGATAATTATTCTGTGTACACAATTGCTAGTGTGCTCAAGAAGTTTCTCAGGTAAATTAAAATTTATTATAATAGTAGTAATTTATTAGCTTGAGTAGCAATAAACCCACAAAAAAACAAACTTAATTTATCTTCTATTTTGATCAAAAAGTCTTTCATTTAAAGGGTTGCAGGTACCAATTTATGTCAAACTAAAACAGTAATATTGCAAACAAATTTGGATCATTTTGAAAACTTATTTATTTATTCAGCGCTAATACATGATATTATCTTTTTATTAATTTATTACATTATTTTAAAATAAAGATCAATAAAGAATATGCACTACAAGAACTATGTATGTAGTATTTACAATAAAACAATAAAAGGTGGAAGAAAAAACAACTAACTCTATAATTCCAAACACATACCATTAAAAGTTTAAAACATGTAAATGTTTGATCAAAATAATACAAAAAATTGCTTAGAACTATTTAATTTGTTGTTCTAGGAAGTCACTTTAAGAATCAATTCCTAGCTAGTGTCTTAGCTGTATGAATGGTTGGTTTTATAGCCCATTCCAGTCTAGACATATTTTTAGAAATTTGTAACATTAGTGGGATGATTTTAACTTATCAACATTATTAAAAATCTGAACAATACCATCTTTTGAACTTGAATAACAACTTTTATCAACAGTTACATGGAGTTTTATAATTCTACTAGTAGCTGCCTGCGAGCATTAACTTTAGTTTTTAGTGAATCACAGGGAACCTAACATGTTTCCAGGATAAAAAAGTATCTTATGTCTCAATCCAGGTCATAAACTATATACATACCAAATTTCGTTTAAATTGGTTCAGCAGTTATTGTGTAATTGAGTAACAAACATACAAACTTTCACATTTATAATAAGGAAAGGTAGGATTAACAAATCATTTGATTTTACTGTTCATAGGAAAATACCTGGTGGAGTGTTTGGACGTGATGGTGAAATGCATCTATTTGCTGCAGTCGAATTACCTGAAGAGCAGCAAGTGGATGAAATACGCAGGTACGCAAATAAACACTACCATGAAATAATGGTGGGGAGGTTGCATGAATCATTTAACACATCTATAAAAATTGTATGATAGCATTAAAAATGCCTAAAATAGGTAAGAAAAACAGATTTGTTTTCATAATTTTCCCTATAATTGACTGCAAATTAATTCTGCTATTTATTTTGGATCAAGAACTATTCAAAGAATAATTATTAAAATATGTTGTTTACTGAAGGGGTAGTAAAAAAATAACTAAATTATTTGTTTGATATATCTGCTAATTAATATAAGACTTTTAGTCATAAATAGACTATTGTAAAAAAAAATAAGGAATTGAAGCAGTCAATTATGAATGCTTATTCATATAACAGGCATAAACAATTGTTCAATTATGTTACTTAGCATGCATGCTACAAAAAGGTGAGCTGGCTCAAAGCCGCACACATGACTATAGAATTTATTAACATTAATTACTAACATGCTTCAAAGAAGTACTTTGTTTTTTTATAAATGAGTTTTGCCGAAAAGTACTTACTAAAGTTTGTATGTACTAAGTAATCGATTTTTTGGAGGTGTAACTTGGTAAACGTATTTATTTTTATTTAATTTAAACGTTTTAATAATAATAATAAATGAATCAGCTCAGAGAAAAAGCGCCTTTTCGTTTCGACACTTTTGTCACGTAAACATTCTTTTCGCCTGTAAAGTTTTCCGAATTGTCTTTTTGGCACCTATGGTTACTTGGCGCCAAAGTAACCATTTCACTCGCTCAACTGTAGCGCCGGCGCTTACGATAGACAAACGGAGCAAAATAAAACAAATTACAGATAAGCGGTTTTATAGAAATAATTAATAAAAAACATTATTAATTACAATTAATTAGACACGGTAATTAGACACATTATTCTCCTGTTAACCCAACGCAATGTCGCCGTCGTAATTTAAATTCGCTTGTGCTATACGAGTAGGTAATTTAAATAAAATAATAGTATACGGTAGTCGTCTCCACGGGGTAGGGGAATGGGTTTACCCCAGCAATAGGCTAGTTGACTCATGTCGAATTGTATTAAATAAATGTTTATTTCTTACAGTATTTGGTCTAAGGAACCTAAATATATCGATTTCACTCCATAAAAGCAGAAGATTGCTGTAGAAATTTAATTTAAAAAAATATTTTTTAGTCAATTTTTTTTAAACACTAAAAACGCTGTTCGCTCCATCCGCCATGATTGTGACGTCTCTTTCAGTAAACAACTCAATGTCATTCGCGTGTTGTTATGGGTGGATTCTTTAGTCTGAATAAATTTTTCTTAAAACACTTTTAACTTTAGAAAAGTTTCCGTTTACTGTTTATGAAAGCAGAAAGCACAAATCTGCCAAGAATTGACGCATTGATGGTTGGTGAATTTTTTGCACTGAACCCCGATTTCTGCTCTGCGGAGCAGAGAAACGACAAGGCATCTATGTAAGTAAAGTGCATTTAGTATTACAATGTAGTAATAAACATAAAACTGATACAACATATGAATTAAGTGTACTAAAGTTGCGTAGGTTAATTTCTTTCGGCACTTTAATCCACAACATTCCTGGAGTCTTCAAGGATGTGTTTTTATATTCTCGTACAATACAATAATGATAATTACTTTATTTTTCGTGGTATTTATTAGAAATCATGTTCTTTTTATTATAAACTCAGATAAGTTATTTTCTACGTGCTTACGAGTTTTTGTTTACTACAGTTGACATCATAGCATAGACAATCTATAGACTAATGGCCGACAGCGTTTTTGTATGTCCATGAAAATTCTATTTTAAAATTAAAGATTTGTAGCTTTCTAGGTCTCTAAAAAATACAATACATTTTTTTTCGGTCTAATAGAACATTTATTAACCATTTAAAACCTTATTCCAAAAAGGGTCAACTAGCCTATTTGGTGATATATCGGCACTTTTTTCTGCCGGCTCAGCTATCCATAAGATAGTCCTCCTCTTACACTAAACATCAGTTATTGTAGGATAAAGCCTTCTGCCCATAGATAGGGGCGTTATTATGTTTTGATAATATCAGATGCGTTATTGCGATATTTCGTCATACTTCTATTGTATCGTTATTATCGCAGCAGTGTGTGACTTCGTAGCCGATCTGATACATTATGTACGCAACAAAAACAGATATCGCAATAACGCATCCGATATTATCGACCGATAATAACGCGCCTATGGGTGGGTGGCTAATTTGCCCCTGTTCTATGCTTACCTTCACGTACAGTGCAGATAGTGAAGACCTATCGATGGATACGACAATATCGGATATTGTCCTATGGAGACGCATTGAAAATGTTTTGTCGTTCACGTCATTTCTCTCAATCAATTTTTGTAGACTTATAATTGACTTGACGGATAAATGTTAACATTATGTTTCTCCCAAACCTGCACGACGAAGCTTTGGTACTTAATAGCGCTAAAATTTGAATTAATCCTTTCGTTCGTAAGTACGATCCTTCAGTTGCACATACAAATTTGTTGATTCCCACAACTAGTGGTGCCAGGTGTCCCGATTTGTGCGGGACGCGACCCGATCTGTAACTGATCGGGGCGCTAAATGTCCCAATTAATCAAAACATGAAATTAAGGTAATTAATATAATACTATGCATGCAGTAGTAGTTTAAAACGCAATAAATTAAACCCAGACTTAAAAACCCCTTTGTTTTTTGTTTACTGTCCCGATCTGCAACCCTAAGTCCTGATTTTTTAACCTCATGTACCGATTTAAAACAAATTGCACCTGGCAATACTATACACAACCTCTGTTATGCTCCAAGGCCTGAATAAATATATATGTATAAAAAAAACCTCTGTTATGCGTGTCGAAAATTGCGAGCCAAGCTATCGTTTAGCGTCTATCGTAGCGCAGCTGCTCGATACATTCGTTACAATGGAACTAACAGAACTAACGCGCAGGTGAGGGACAGGCATGAGGGTTATTGAAAAATCAGCCTTATCAAAATGCCGCTTACGTATTTTGTATACACTTATCGCTTCAAGCTCGCTTCTTTTACTAAATCTGAATCATCTCTCATTTCCAAGTCACGCCTGTATTTGATTTAAAGTTATCCCATGCGATGCGGTATGATAAATTGCCATTGTTTTGTGTAACTCGAGGTTGTATTGAACTTTCTTAATAATGGTCGGTTACCTCAAGTAACAATAGGTGTTTACATCGAGACCTTACCTGAATTTCGATGCGCGAAGTTTATGCATAATACCTTACCTACACATTGAACCATGGTATTCGTAAGACAAAATGTGCATAAATTAGTTTTAAAACAGGAAAAAGGTCACTGCGTAAAACTTTAATCAGAATAGATTTAGCTACATATACCTAGCTACATTTTTTTTTATAGTGGGGGAGCGCAAGTGGTTAGCGCGTTCGGCCTGAGATCGGGAAAGTTGAGCAACTCACAATAGTCGGTCATTGAATGGGCGACCAATACTCATTATCTCGAGCTCCTCCGTGCTTTAGAAGGCACGTTAAGTCGTTGGTCCTGACTGCATCTGCAGTCGTTAGCACCTACCAATCCGCATCGGGCCCGCATGGTGGGTCACGGCCCAATCTCCCTATTCCATCCATAGCTGTGCCCCAGCAGCGGGGACATTAAAAGGCAGTGATGATGGTTGTCTAACTATTCTTTTTAAGATGAACTTTAAAAGCTGCAGTAAGCGAATAGTCAAAAATAATATTTGAATAACTAAACTTAAAATGATAAAATAAGCGATTCTAGAAAGTTGATTCTTATACAGGGAAATAACGCTACCTTTTTTGGTTTCGGGTGTCTTTTGACGAGCAAGGAAGCTCCTTGAGTTTGGGATTTTGGTTTAGGCCGGTGATGTGAGGAGGCCTGAAGCAGAACATTTTTCTTACACTCAAAACGTAATGTAAACTAAGGTTAATGTTATTTGCGAAACTTTGTGCATACATTGACAAAATATTTTCATCAATTTTTAGTAGATAAAAAACTAATCGGAGCAGTATTACTAAACAAGTGCTCATATTAAGTTAATAGCGGTCGTCTGCGAAGTCGTCGCCGTTAATTTTAGTTTGTCGAGAATCCCACAGGAACCTAAAATTTTTCCGGGATAAAAAGTATCCTATGTCTCAATCCAGGCCATAAACTATATGGGCGCCAAATATCATCCAAATCCGTTTAGTAGTTTTTGCGTGAAAGCGTAACAAAAACTCACTTTCGCATTTATAAGATTAGAATAGGGTGTGTTGTGTGAACATGTGATTCTATTGAATCAGATTTAACCGCACAATCAGTCCGTCACATTGGGCGTATATAGCTGCGTCTGACGATCCTTGCGTATCCGCAGTCCATCGCTCATACCATGTACTGTGACCACTATAAAGAACATGGCATTAGCTCTGCAAAAGTGGTCATTATCCACTCGTAATACGGACGATACGATAGCAAATATTAAGTGTTCCCAGACGCCAATTGAGGCCATTGATATTAATCTGTACGCTTATTCCCATGAATGTATTTGGTTTACTGTGTGCTTTGAGTTAGTTAATTCAGTTCGCAAAAGCAATTTTCTATTTAGTTACGAGTTCTGTACGATTTTTAGGGTACCTCGGAAGGAAAAATACGGAAGCCTTATATGATTACTTAGTTGTCTATCCGTCTATCTATCTTTCAAGATCCTTTATCTAGAGAATGCGTGCCTACAAAATTGCTGTGTATCAATTTATAAGCATGATGTTGTGCTTTTATTAAAAAGCAAACTCTTTTAGTTGATTATCGTTTAAACGCTCACTTCTATCCATGAGGATTTCACACCTGCTCTGGGGAGCCTGGGAGGAAACAAAAAAGAAAATCATTCGTATTTAAAAAAAAATATCGAATTGATTTGGAGTTTGAGAGGCAGTTTGACTTTGATTTAGGTATTTTAGTTGATATACATAGAATGATATTAATTGGTTTTTCCAATTTCCGATATAGAAAATAAAGACATCTGCTCAAATATATTGTGGTAACTACAGTCAACTACGGAACCCTACACTGCGCGTGGCACGACACGCACTTAGCCGGTATTTTTTTATCATAAAATTAGGTATTTTGAAACGAAAAAATATAAGTTTTAAGATCATTGCATGATACGTAGCACCATTAATCAACATTTATTAAACGAGTAGGTATGGATAATTCTGAAAACATGTGTATTTGTTATTTTCCTGTTTTCCTTAACCTAAATAGGTTATTGATAAAATTTATTGTTTGTAATGAAACCTTTATATTAATTGTAATAATAACTAATAATAACAGGGAAAGCATGTAGTAAAATCCTATATTCCAAATTATTTAATGAAGTCGACTACTTCAGGAATCTTTTCATATTAAAGTAATTTTTCAACAACGATTTAGTATATACTAATAATATGGGGGAAAAAAACCAGCCCTGATCTTCCTGCCGGTTCTTCTCAGTACAAAGTCCCCCCCGTAGATTTGCTATCCGATGGCGTAGTTTTTTGGCATTCTTAAGTGCTTGTAAACCTTAACCGAGTAACAGCTAAGCTGAGTAGTTTTCGACGACCAGAACCTTCTGTTAAACTTGATCCTTTGGCTTTGCTTAGAGATGTTGCTGCACTCTGCATCTTCTATCGCAATTGATGGAATGTTCAGAGGAATTGTTCGGATTGATTCCAGCTGCTGCTTATCCGTGGCTTTGCTTAGAGATGTTGCTGCACTCTGCATCTTCTATCGCAATTGATGGAATGTTCAGAGGAATTGTTCGGATTGATTCCAGCTGCTGCTTATCCGTGGCTTTGCTTAGAGATGTTGCTGCACTCTGCATCTTCTATCGCAATTGATGGAATGTTCAGAGGAATTGTTCGGATTGATTCCAGCTGCTGCTTATCCGCAGTCCATCGCCTTCATCATCTTGATGCGTGGCTATCCTTTGCGATTTTAATTTTTTTACATGTACGATAAAACTGTGGAATACATTGTCACTAGCAGCATTTCAAAAAAAGAGCGTACTCCATCCTCAAGGGCCGGCATCGCATTTGTCGTGCTTCTGGTTTTGCAGTTGTCTATGGGCGATGGTAATCACTTACCATCATGTGAGATGCCAGCTCGTAGGCCCCTTAATTACTAAGAGTTTGTTTACTTTGGGTTTTCAACAGGTGTTCTTGTCTGCAGGTTGCTTCTGTCTTTGCCGGTGTGCACGCAGCGGTTGTTGGTGCTTCTCTTCGGCACATTCAGGGTGATGGCTTCCAATGCTGATAAAGCTGGTAAGTTTAGTTTTCTTAAGAGGGTAGCCAATGCATTACAGCCCCAGTTAGAGCGCCCGGTTTAAGGAGGTAACCTGCTTTTTGTAAAAGCCAAGAGCAAAGTACACTGCCTTTTTGAAGTGTTGTTTTTCTGACGGTATGGTTCCAGGGCTAAGTTAAGGATGGCTGGAGCGGTACATTATTGCCGCATCATCTATCTTCGCGACATAATTTTACTTATACTTACCAGTATGTAGAGTTGGGAAATATGCTGTAATATTTTTCAAAGAGTAAACGATTCCAAAGTTTTTTGCACCGAAGAATCTTGGTCATAGGAATGCCCAAAGTTCCGAACGAAATCTGAACGCTTATCTTAGATCATTGTGTTATAAGTGTTATCAATTTATTTATTTTGACTTTTTACTTTATTTTGATGTTAATCACTAGGCGTAGTGTAATTCTCTTCAGTAGCTGACATAGGGAACTTCGTACCGCCATTAAAATAAGGACTGGTGGTAGAATGGTGAAAATTTAGGGTTGTATGTATTTTTTAATGACGAACCTTAAAAACTTAAAATTTTGTCCAAAAAATTAAAGAATAAATGGTAGGGGTGGACAACCCTTATCACTTAGGGGTATGAAAAATAATAAATAGTAGCCGATTGTCAGACTTACTGAATATGCATATAAAATTTCATAAAGTTTCAGAGGACTATGGTAAGTAACATTGTGACACGAGAATTTTATGTATGAGGAGCTGGCGAACAAAACAGTATAATTAGATAAAATTAAATTTTACAGGAACTGTATAAAACTGAATGACAAACCTACAGTGAGCTTTCAGCATGGTTTTTAATTTATAAATATAGTAATCTTAACACTGTTTAGGCGGTTTTGCTTAAAAATTATTTGAGATTCAAATTCAACGGGCCCGAAACTTCCGTACTGTAAAAAAATATAATTTGACCAGATGTGTAATGGGTATTTGACAAGTTTTAGAAAACGATCTCACGTTATTGATTAATGTTTATGGAGTCCGTAAAAAGATATTCATAATTGGTCAGTGCATTCGCCCGGATTGCGAAGGGTGCGGGTTCGAGTCCCGTCCGCTGCCCGGTCCGCGTGGATTAATTTCTAGTAAAACTTTTAGATTTAAACATCTAGCAGTTAAATGCTTTAAAAATAAAATAAAAACATAATTATTCCTACTGGTTATGTGCTTTCGCCCCCCAAACATGAGTACCTCGATATACCTAATAATATAACTCGTTTTTATCAGGCTCATGCTCAATTGTCATATTACTATGTTGTTCGACAGTTAGACGCGATAAACAACGTGTTATTGGCCCCCTAGCCGCAAATTTGCTAAATCTTGATTCAACTAAAACTAGATATAACCCATAGAAAAATGACAAAACGTCAATGTCAAATTGACGTCATTGTATGAGATGAATCTAGTTTTAGTTAAATTGAGATGTAATAACATTGCTGCAAGTGGAGCTTGACATTTTTCTATGAGTTATTTCTACTTTTAGTTGAATCGAGATGCGTCAAATTTGCTACAAGTGGTGTAATGTATATTGTGGTGGTTAAGCTACGGGGATCGGCAGAAGTTATTTGGATATGCAAATGGATATTTCATGTTTTATAAATTCAGCTCTATTAGAATCAGTTATTAGAAAGCGTTTTCAGCCAACGGAAAAATTAGGCTCGCCACGGATAAATGTGTTAATGTAATTTTGATTTAGCATTAAAGTTTCTGCTACACTAAAAGCAATGGCATTTGAGTTGTCCATGATATTTGCAGAGGTTGACATTCGGATTTAAGCCGGTGTAGAGGCCGCGCGAGCGTTATCCAACTGAAAGTGAACTCCGCTAATTATGCCAATTACTCGCGGTGCGTGGGCGCGTGTACTACAATACAATGATGCAACCGCTACTCATCGTATGATTGTTTAATCTTTCTTTGAATCGTCTCGGTGCATGCTCGCCCTACTTTCGGACCTGAATTGACTGCTTAGACGTCTAGACAATGACTTGAGATATGCTCTAGATTTAGATACTAAAACGTAGTAGGAAGATCACCATATTGCTTATTTATTTACTATTAAATAATAGAAGATTATTGTAATCGTCAATGACGTGATCTTTCATCACTGATAGCACAGAGTACTTGAAACTTGCTGGCTTATAAAAACATATCTGTGTCTTTTTATCGGCCGTAGTTTGTTAATATGAAGCGATGGTTATTTTTTTATCTTCTTCAATGAAATGGTAGATTACTTATTTGTCTACCGATGTCGAATCGACATACATATATCTCCGTTTATAATCCTATCACAAATATGTGTCGTCTATACGATAACCTGCGTAAGGATCATTCTTTCCTGGACATTTTTTGTAGTAGCCTTCTTGAATTTTGGAAAGAAATCCAAAGATTAATACTTCATTAACTGGGAAAAATCTGTTAATTTGTACTTTTGTTTATGTGTTTTTTTTGTGTTTAATTGTTGAAATTCGATTTGATTTTTTTTTGTAAATTCAGACCATAAAATTTTATTATTTTATGCCCACATATTTAGAGTTACAGTTTGGTTTTATATTATTGTAATTGCTTTGTTTTTTAATATTTAATAGTAACTTGTTTTGTGAGCTACTAAAAAAAACATACTTGCATGTTCCTACTGATCAAGAACTTGATAAATTGTCGGCCGATAATAAATTTGCAGTATGCCAGAGCTTTTAATGATGCCATGCCGCGCTTTACAACTACATATTTACAACTCAGAAATTGTTTATTAACTTAATTGCCGCAACAAGTGTTTACTGAAGCACCACCAAAACTTATTCAGTTACTTATTTACAGAAATATTCAGTAAACAATATTGTTTATTGTTTGTTTGAAACGAAACAAAGTACAGACAGTAAGCTTAGGAAATGTTTCGGAAAGAGGATTTATCAATCATCTGATCGACAAACATTTTAGGGCGCTGTCATCACAGTGGCCGACGCGTCACTCGCGAGTCGCGTGAATGATGGATTCTATACTTACTTCTGTCTGTACGTAGCATTTCCATAGAAGCCACACAATGGGAATCGCGAAGGAATACTTCGTACATAATAATATGCGATTGTTACCTTACTTTTATGTAAAGTCCGGCGACTTACTTTGCGCAAAATGTAGACTAGCTTACAATTTTGATAGTTCAGACGTTTGCCAACATTACAAACGGTCACCGTATAAAGAACCCTTACAAATTAAATAGTAACTTAGCTCTGCTGTTTATCACTTCAGTACAAGTGATTTGACTTTAGTTACCGATTAGAGTAATAGTGTTGTATATTTGCACTAAGCAAACTTCGAAGAGCTATATATCTGCTTAAGCTTAATGTAATGCATGCTGAGTTCGCCTATTAGTGGTTTCACATTATATCACTGAATGTTTAATTGTATTAAATAAGATGTATTGATGCAGTAACTGTTGGTGATCCAATAAAGAGAAAAAAAAGAGCTCTGTAGGATAAGGGATATAAGGTAAAGGTCAAATGTCGTAGCAAAGAGCCGACTATGCCCATTGGCATCACCCGTTCACGAGCATGGTGCATGATCTAGCTGTAGTTCCGATTTATTATATTTAAGGTTACAATCAATCACATTTTACGACACACAATGTCATTTTTGCTACGATTTGCATAACGGCAAATCCAGCTAATATTTGTAATATGTAATAAAATACTACTGCACATTTGCGCCGTTTCGTGCGTATCCAGTGCCGCATACCGAGGGACAAGACATTGCGTTAATGTGCACAATTAGCTGTCAACTAGCCAAATTAAACGTCAAATTGCTTTTAATTACTGTAGATTTTAAAAAATGAAACTTTGTTTAACTTTTTTCTTGAGCAATGAGTGTTTTTACTTTTCGTTTTCTTGGGATTCAATGTCGCGTGCACTGGTATTATACCAGTGCACGTTTGTTATTGCATTAAGAATTTTCCTTCATCATATCGTATTCATACATTTTAATTAATCGGTTAGATTGTAATGTATTTTCTTCTTCGGTTGTTGAACTTGATTAGGTAAGTTTTAAGACAATTAAGTTCTGTCTTGTTTGTTTATATTTTCTTATGTATACTCATCAAAAGATTTTAAAAACCATACACGTTATTTTTGAAATTTTAATATTGTAATTTTAATAGATTTGTATTATCTGTGTTTACCTACCTTCTAATGTGAGCATAAAAATTCAAATGTAATATTTTAGTCCTTATTTTCATTTTTTGGTAAAATTTAGTATTGGTTTGTAATAATATTGATAAAAATGCACTCGGACATATTTTTTGTTTTGAAATTACCTTCGATGGATTTTAAATTGTGGATATTTTTGTCTCATTTTAATTTTCTCTCTATACAGATTGTTTTAATTAATTTTATACATTGATAGGAACACTGTTTCATATTATACGGGAATGGGCGTTAATTCTGCAACACAGTTTTTGTAAAACTAAAGCAGTTTTAACGATTCATAATTTTATGTACATTGCACTTGTTCCAAATAAAGTTATTATTATTATTTTGACCGATGTTTCATGTATTATTATATTTTCAATACTTTTGATAATAAATAATTTGGTTTATTCGTGATTAAAGCAAAAAACCTTGAAATAAATTACACAATTCATAACGACGATATAACTTAATTTTACAAACATTTCTTCGAATAACTTAGCATTAACACATGCAAATAATTTTAAACACGGTTACCAGGAGCCAGGAGCTCATTTGATGATGATGGCCGCGGTAACTGTGATGATTATGATTCGAAAAAGAATCAATGTTTTTTTTATATCTCCGTACTACTACCACAGATTACTTAATAGTTACTACGTACTACTACTTCTAAAGAGCGTTCAAAAGACCTAGAATAATGTTTTCAGGGATTATGGAAGCGACAGTATTTATCTTGTAAACTTTACTCAAAAGATTAGTTGATCGTATAAGTGCGTATGAATTTGTAAATCTTATCATGCAATTCAGTAACATTAAAATATTACTTGCTCATTATTAAAAAGAAAAGAAATATTTTATTAATTATTGGAATAATATTGAGGTTAAATTCTTTTCACCGTTCGAGTTTGTCTGTCAATTTTGAACCCATGAAACCGGAACAACCGATGTTTTCCAATGAAATCGTGAGAATCGGTCGTGACCCCTTCAAGTTTATCGACCTATTCTTTTTATCCGTTAAGTAAATTGGGAAACCGATTGTCGTTGCTCATTTGTCAAGATCATTTTTTTTATTATTTGAAATAAAAGGAGTTTCTATTTCGTTATTTATTTGAAGTAGATACTCTATAGTACTAATTAATATAGCATTGAAAAAGTTTTTGCCTCTGTTAGTACTTTTTACTGTTTTAGTGATGATTATACGCGAGTAGTGTCTGGAGGTTAACGACCTGATGCCCCCTTGTAATTTTGGTTAGTGCTTGCCACAGTTAACAAAGGCGAACCTATAGTGAACACGCTATAAAATTTCAAACAGGCCGTAAAAAAGTTAATTCCTATTACCTATGTCAAGTAGATACGATAGCATTGAATATTACTTTTTATTTGTCTTCCCATGGAGTTTTGTAAATTATGGGAATAATATTGATGTGAATTATTGTTGTTGTTGCGAGAATTCGATTTGGTATAGTTTAATGCTTACTTGCACTAAAGTTTTTAGTTCAAATTTTAAAGCTTATCGTTTAAGCCTCATTCTATCTCTATTTAACTTTAAATAATTGACAAAGATGAAATGATGCCTCAAAACACGATTGCACCATAATTTGAATAAGAACTTTGGTGAAAATGGGTCTCAGTTTAGTCAGTCGTTTCTTTAGCTATATGTTATAACAATTTAGTTTTAGTTTTTATTATACCTACTAGCTGTGCCCTGTGCGGAGTTACCCGCGGTTTATTAGTGTGATTTAACCGTATACTTGCGGCAAAATAAAACACTAATTTCGGTAATATTTTTATTCTAGGCACATTTAATTGCACTACCCCTCCTGATATTAAGCTTGAAAAGAGTTATGCGAGTTGATTTATTTACAGATTTAGAGACACTAATCTCTAATAGGCATGCTTTCGAGTGTCGACGCCAATATGTCGAAGAATAGAATACGTCTATAAAATGACACGATTTTATAGAATGCTGAGAATCGCTAATAAAAATATGCCGATCTGTATAGCTATTTTCGTTTGCTGGCTTAAACCCTAATGATTCTTATCGAAGAAATGTAGGTACTCTTCTTCATGTTCTAATTTTGGGGTGTCTCGTGTCTTCGCTTTCTGGTAGCTCTGTGCGTTCCATAGAGGGAATCCGACCACACAACTGAAACCCTGTCTAGAAAAATTCCCACCAACAGAAATACCACGCAATCAAAATATACTGGTAATTTACTGTGGCCTTTTGTAAGTGGCAGGTTTAGTTCCCCAGACTGGAGTCTCAATTCGAGCGGAAAAGCCGTTATATCTATGATTCAAACTTATATCTATCACAATCAATTTGATCTTGGTCTCCATCCCCGGGCTTGAAGCTGCCTTATCAGAATAGATCCAAGAAAACAAAACATTGGGAGTGAGACTGATTACGACAAGATTCTCTAATTATGTTTTTATTTTTTAAGCATTTAACTGCTAGATGTTTAAATCTAAAGAAAACTTTTCTACAAAAAATTCCACGCGGACCAGGCAGCAGACGGGACTCGAACCGACCATTATTATATTAGGGCCGCGCTAGCATAACGGCATTCGCCCGGATAGCGAAGGGTGCGGGTTCGAGTCCCGTCTGCTGCCTGGTCCGCGTGGATTTTTTTCTAGTAAACTTTTCTGAAGGTTCTCTAAACTTTAGACTAAACTTGATTGGATTCACTCATTTTCAATTTGTTTTTGATCATGACAAGGATACACTGTCTATAAAGATAAATTTAATTTTGGCTTCAAAGAATCACACCAAAATCGGGACCATTGTGTATGCAATAATAACAAGACATTAATGATATGACAAAAAAAAAATACTGATATGCTTGTTTCAGGTACAGGTATGACTTCTGAAGCCCTGGGCGTGTCTGTGGCACCATCCTTCTTCCACTCTTGCGTGTCGGACGGCAAAACGGCCACCATGGAGGACGTGCAGAGATTCAAGGTCGGTCTACATGTACCTATACACCAATACACCCATTGTACCGCCCGCCTGTCACGCGAGTTAATGAGCCGTGCCTGCGCGTGCGCAGCTCACGCGGTAGGCTAGTGTTTTATTCGACTGGTGTTTTAAAATAGGAATGCTGTAAAGTTGGAAATTAGGATCGTTAAAACAAAAACGGTTCATCTTGTTTTACTGAAAGAAACGTTGTAAAGTCAACATCAAATCAAGTTGTCCAAAATTGACAATTCAGTAATAAGGTTAATTAGTTTCAAACAAGGTCTGAGACAATTATGAAATTGCATAATCTTAACTTCCGTTGCCTAGAGCTCAAACATCCCTTCTGGGAGGGCACCGATTATTTTATATATATTGGCTCTTAATAAAGAGCAATTCTTTAAAGCATAACGAATATCATATAATGATGATTTTGTATTTAATCAAGACAATCTTTATTGCTTTGTAGACATTACTATTCCTAAAGAAATCCTAAAAGAACATAGATTCCATACCTTTAACATTAATTTTAAATGCGATTTCATTTTCATAATCTAATTATTTACCATGTAAAATGTCATGTTTGATTAAAACTTTGTAGTGTTTTTATAATGTATTGCACTTGATAGACACTAACAAATATATTGACTTACTGTTAAGTCTGAGTTATTATCTAACATGGACATGTGTTGCATTATCACATTGAAAAAAAAAATGATTAAAACGACAACTATAGGTATGGTTATATTAAAAAAAATCGTATATAAACAGTTAAGAGATTTAATGTAAATTGCGCGCTCAATTTGTAACTCATGTTTATTATTATTTTGTTTCATTAGAACTATGTAGGTAATCAATTTTCTCTTAAATTTACATTAACTTTGTTTCATATAATTGTTGCAGCCCAACATTTAGTGTACTAATATGTCGTGATTATTGTTATATTTGCTAACATTTTTCCTCTGCAAATGGTTTCCACAATAGTTTTCATAAAAGTATTGCTAATCTTATTATCTAAGTCGTAAAGTCAATAAACAGTTTTGCTATCGGTGAAGTGCCTATTGCGGTGTGTTATTAACATTTGCTTATCAACAGAGATTACAAGATTTTGAATTGAATTGTCAATCGTGCAATAATGCAGTATTAATTATGAATTTAACTTTTATTAAACACCAGAACTATTCAACAAGGGTTCAATAACCTTGTAAAAATAATAGACTTTTGTTCATGATGATATATAAACACATGGAAAGGTAATTTTTTCAGTCAATATAAATGTCCCATGATGTCGATTCTGGCATGATTCTAAACCTTAACTTAAATTTGACAACAGTGTATCCTTGTCATTCTCTATACAGAATGAAAAAGAGAGACCGATGTTAAATTTTGTTTTAAGTTTAGAGAATTATGCCAGAATCGATACCACTACCTTCTACGTAAAACAGTAGTAATATTTTATCGAGCGTGATTTTGACTGGGTCTGATAGTAGCTATTAAAGTATTCTTTTAAAGTAATAATGTACTTATTTCACAACTTAGCGGCAAACATTTTGAACATAATCATTGAGAACGTCATCATTTAGTAGTTTCTGCGAAGTTAGCTGTTTATGAGTACAAGTAGATGAAGTTAGTTGAATATTGTACAAATTTTCTTCAGGGCATTGGTCATTTCAAATGTGCTCGCTTTTATTGTGACAACTTAGCTATCGCAGCGCCTCACTTATTTTGCCCATATTTCTGGGACACTATTTTCTACAGCGATCGTTCTCCTTATCTTTAACCTCCATGGTAGGTAGCGTCAAATTTCTTGAGCAAAACCACAGTTAAATAGACACTTTTTGTATGTGAAATTTGCTACTGCGCAGTATTCCTTGTCTATGGTCGATGTTCAGGGGTGTATACAACTCTTAAATCTTTTAACATGTCCACGTTAGATGACAGCTGTCGATTGTCGACGACTTATTTATTATTTTAGAAAACACATGTAAAGGCGTGTGTACCATGTAAATAGCTTATACTACATGCAATTGTCTAAAACATGCGACCCAAGGCTGAAGTATGCGTGAGTACTTTATTATCATCTAGAGTCGCACACGATACATTTAATAATATGGCTACTGCAATTCTCGCTTATCCTCATAGGCTTTAAGTACGCTTTTAGTTCGCATCTGGAATGAACCCTTTACACGCACAAAACTGTTTATATTACACAACACATTGAATTATTGTTATATTTTTATTTTTAAGCATTTAACTACTAGATGTTTCAATGTAAAGAAAATTATGTTTGAAAAAATATATTCTTTAGATTTAAACATCTACCAGTTCTATGCTTAAAAAATAAAAATATAACAATTATTGTTATTTCTTCTTTCAAATGTTTAATTCTCTGGGTTACCTACAATGCGAAGAGATGGCGCTGCCTTGCAGCCTAAGAAATTTAGAGAAAATTCGATACGGCCATAAGGGCCGCGGTAGCATAATGGTCAGTGCATTTGCCCGGATAGCGAAGGGTGCAGGTTCGAGTCCCGGCTGCTGGCTGGCCCGCGTGGATTTTTTTTTCTAACATTAAATGCTTAAAAAATAGAAAGTCCCATATAATTGTTAATTGTAAGAAATACTAGAAAGAATTCGACACGGCCATTAAGGCCGCGGTAGCATCCAATAACATCCACCCGGATAGCGGAGGGTGTGGGTTCGAGTCCCGTCTGTTGCCTAAACCGCGTGGATATTTTTCTAGTAAAATTTTCTTTACTTATTGAGGGAGGATGGAGTATCCATCAGCAGTAAGATGTAATATTTCAAGATTTGGTTGTCTAGATTGGTAAATATTGGTTAATAATAACTTTTTCTGTTATTCAATTAAATGATAGTATGGCTACAAAAGGATTAAGGTTATTAAAAATATGTATATATATAATTCGTCAACTAAGCACTGGTAAGATTGCTCTGGCTGATGGTATTTTATTACAAATATTTAAAAATGCCTTTGCCATATAGTTGTAAGCAGTGTAGTATATGAGTCTGTACTTCATTGTATGCACCATACGTAAGTTTGCTTGTGAAATATTTTTATCTGGCTGCACTGGAGCATTACATTTCCATATATATTTTTTTCACCTACGTTGTTTCAGACTATCGCTATAACTGATAACAACTTGATTCACGAATTCAACTTAGTCATATCCTTTCGCAGTTGACTTTGACTCACGTTTGCCAACTTAATTGAATTAGATGTCTAAATTCCAGTGCAGATAAATATTTCCAACACTCACACCAATTATCCTAGCCCCAAAGTAAGTAAGCACTGTAAGGCTTGTGTTATGGGATACTAGGGTAACGGCTAGAATACATATATTGTACACATATGAGTATATTTATATAGAAATACATATTAATCATCCATGATTGGAGTACAAATGCTCGTATTCGTCACACAAACATCTGCCACCACCGGGATTCGAACCCGGGGCCTCTCGAGTCGGCGACACCATGAAACCCGGCGTATAAACCACTCGGCCACGGAGATCGTCGTCGTCGAGATGATGCTTATCTATACCCATTTGATTAGAAGTGTTGTTTAACTGTGTTAAACAAGCTTTTTAGAACTAAATTAGACAGTAGTTTCTGGGAACGTAGTGCATACGCTTGAAAATTCATTGAGTAAATACGTAGTCCTGAAAATATGAAGTTCTTATAAGTGATAATTAATATGTAATGCTTAGACCCGCCATCAACCTCCGTTAACAAGAGAGCGACTTGTACTGTTAAAATCTTTCAAATGTTAAATTGAAAAGTATTATGATAGGAATTGAAGTTACACTGTTGGGGGCTGAATTCAAGTCTCAAGCAATATGACAAACGGCAAACATATAATAATGTCTATAATAAATATGTATATTTTGTCTGTCTTATGTTGATGCGGCTTTGATGCTCTGCTTATCTGCGGGCGTAAAGCTATTGATCGGCTTTTGTATATTCATTAAATGAATTATTGTAAGCTTCTATTTTATTTAATATCAGTATTACGAGCTGTTTTACCATGCAAGTAAAGCAATATAAAAAGGCTGAAAGGTGAAAAAAACGAGTGTGCTTATGACTACACTACTGCAGTGAAACTTCGTTAGCTCCATCTGTATGTATATACAGGGTGAAATTGAATGTTTTAATGAAACTTCGTGGGATTGTTGGGTTACGTATATTGAGTATCTCTGAATTTTTTCGTATTTTTTAAAAATGATTTAAAATAAAATTTCGTTTTTTTGTTATATTTTAAGTCCTTTCCTCCTTTTGGGTACTAAATAATTATTCTTTTTAAACACGCATACAGAGTAAGTAAAAAATAACTAATAAGCACTACTAAAAAAATCGTAAAAACAGAAGACGAGCGGCCGGGAGCAATGACCGCTCCCGCCGTTGAATTGGTTGAATACCTACCTATGCGCGGTGCAAAGCGCAGTGAGCGAGCGCAGTGTCAAGTTTAACCACCGCGCGTGCGTATCTTTTAAATTTGTGACAAGAGAAGATTTGCAAATAATGCCTTGATTAGTTCTTGTTCTGTGGCCTCAATATAAGAAGTTGGATATGGTGTGTTGTTATTGTAGTGTCACGGAATACTCAGCAGAGCCACAAGGCTTTACGAAAGTAGGTTTGGTGATTGATTGTATTTACAAAGTGTAAACGGGAAGTTAAAGTGAAAAAAATGAATAGGTACATCGGTCTCGTAAGTACTTTTGAATACCTGGTTATAAATTTCATTCTGACCCAAGTATTGAACTGCAATAAGTATTGCTTTTAGTTTAACATTTGCCTATTTCTAATTGTGACAAAATTATTATTAACTTTTAAAATTTTTCTCTGCTTAAGAGAAGATGACATTTGTGCTTATTATTTCAATAAAGGCATCTAAGACGACTTTATTGTATTGTGTGGAATCAAAGGAGTCAGCTGAACTCTGTGTAGAGGTACCTACTCACTCAACGGCTGGCGGGCGCGGTCGGTCGTTGACCCGCGGTGGAATTTTTCCATTTTTTAGAACTGCTTATTTATTAGTTATTTTTCACTGGATATGTAAGTTTGTTTGTTTAAAATGAATAACTACTCAAAAGGAGGAAAGGACATAAAAATACACAAATTATAAATAAATACATGAAAAAAAAATACTTCAAAAAAATCCGAAAAAAATCAGGCATACTCTAAACACGTAACCCAACAATCTTACGAAGTTTCATTAAAACATTCAATTTCACCCTATATACATATTGGTTTCGATTCTAGCGTGATTCTCTAAACCTAAACTTTAATTTGACGACAGTGTATCCTTTTCATTCGCTATACAGTACAAAAAGGAGAGATTGATGTTAAATTTAGTTTTAAGTTTAGAGAATCATGCCAGAATCGACACCAATATATACATGTACATATTTCATTTACTAGCTATAAGAGAAAGAGAGAAAGAAAATGTGCGCGGGCACTGCTTTCTCTTGCTTAAATCCCCTCTCAACTCCCGTTCGCCGCGCCCGAACACACTTTTCGTAACGTGTAACGCATTCGTCAGCTTATGCCCCAAGTCAAGCGTGCGTAAAGAAATTTCACTTCAAAAATACAAATTCCATATAAAATTGCCTTGCCGTCCACCAGTGTGCGCTAGCTACCGTTAGTGGCAAATCTCTTACACTTGGCACTGGTTAGTGCGTAGAATTTTCATCTACTACGGAGTGCGGGTTCAAGCGATTATCACCCTTATCCTACCCTTATAGTATTACGCTTATCCTTCTCTTAAAATAACTAGAATTTAACACGTGCAGCTGTAATGATCGCAAACTACTGTTATTTAACTATTGTATTAAAAGTAGCATAGTATTTTTTGCATGAAACTTATTACAATCGTTCGCGTTAAACCAGATTCTTAGAGCAATATCGTGACATGTAGACAATTAGTTGGTAAACCTAATTAGCAAATTCTCTACAATTACAAAGAGAATTGACACTATTTTGATTTCTCTGCATTGCACTGCTATGCTGTTACTAAATATAGTTTTATATCTTTTTGTAGGTATTTTTTTTATTATGATAATGAGCTCCATTTTGGCGTGGCAACTCAGATGATTAGATGTAATGCTATCATTGTTTTATTTATAAATAGTGTGACGAATGTACAATGTTTGTTTTAGTTGTCACACCAAGATTATTTAACTCAATAGTACAGTATAAAAGTATCTTATGTGTTACTTGTTTTTTTATACTGTGATAATTAGTAATTTTAGGTGGCTCAAAGAAACTTGGAGATTTTGTAGAAGCCCCTGTAACAAATCCTAAAGAATAGATTAATGGTTGCACTGAAGTATTGATTAAAGTTAATGCTACCACGTTTTTGCGATACCAAAAAAATAAGACAACACAACGTGTAACTTTGAAAATCATTGAATTTAATAGTCGTTTCGGTAATGAAATTTTTTCATTCATAAATTTATACTATTATCAAAGTACATGTTGCTGTGCACGTATTTTTTTGTAAATGCTAAAATACCCAACTGTATCAGCAAAAAAAAATCTTTCTTACAAAAAATAGCGACATCAGTAGAGTGCGACAAGGATCTTTATGAATGTGGCGAAAATTGAAACTAATGCCGCCGTCTTTGTAAACTCCTATTTTGTATGTCATTTACGTATAGACAGTGGCGCCCTCCATGGACTGTGACTTACATTTATAAAAAAAATTGTCGCGCTCTATTGATATCCCTAAAAGGTTTTTTTCTAATATCAGGTGGCTACGAGAATAATGCGACAGCTGATCGAGCAGTTCAGCGCCGGCGATCTATTCGGCCGCGACAACTACGAATACTATGCGCGCGTCACCGGCCGCATCCTGCGGGTCAAAGACGAGTGGATATGTTCCTTCCGGGACCCACCGCCGCCGCGTCACCATAGAGATCAGGAGGCGTATGCGAGTGAGTACTATACTAGTTACCCTTACGAGTATACAGCGGGTCAAAGACAAGTAGATACGCTCTATCCGGGACCTACCGCTGTCGCGTCATCATAAAAATCACGAGGCGTATGCGCGTGAGTACCATACTAGTTACCCGTACGAGTATACTGCGGGTCAAAGACAAGTAGATATACCCTTTCTGGGACCCACCGCCACTGCATCACTGTAAAAATCAGGAGGTGTATGCGAGTGAGTATCATACTAGTTACCCGTACGAGTATACTGCGGGTCAAAGACGACTTAATATGTTCTTTCCGGGACCCACCGCCGCCGCGTCACCATAGAAACCAAGAGGCGTATGGGAGTGAGTACCATACTAAGTTCTTGTACGAGTATACTGCGTCACCGGCTGCATTTTGCTGGTCAAAGACGAGTGAATATTCTCTTTCTGCGAGCATATTCTAGTGAGTGAGTACCATAACCCTACCCTATTCCTTCCATAGGAAGGGCCTGTGCCTCAGCAATGAAGACATTAATAGACTGATGATGAGTACCATACCACCCATACATCGATCGATCAACACCAATAGAATTATATTGTAAGCCAGAGAAGTTCCAGTGAAGAAATTGCTTTCATGTGTGTCCTGTAGGTGATGGAAATGAATCGTTGACTTAAAAATTTCGAGTTGTATTGTATTGGTAAACGGAAGGTTATTGGAAATCTTATATGCAAAACACTAGCAAATATGTATTTGTATATTCATAAAAAAATCGATAATCGTCATTTATTAAAAAATATTGCCACAATTAACAGGAAATTGAGTGAGCACTATTATCTTGGAACAAAGTAAGAAATATGCGGAAATTGTCTTTGTTATGTTATGTGTGTTATGAGAAGCTTGAGTGTCGTAACATAATGTATTGTGTTACTTTTATACAAGAAGCGTCATTCAAGCAGTATTGGGAAAGGGACTGAGTTTTAGAGTTAGAACACACTTGCAATAATTGCAGTTCGATAGTTGTGTGGACCTCAAGAAAGTATACATTTTGCACGTGCGCCCACACTTGCGATAGTTTCAAAACGATTTAACTACTTTTTTAGTTGCATGGCCCCGCAATTTTAGTGCAACGCGATAGTTGCACGGCGACGCGATTATTGCACAGCGATTAGTTGCAAGTGTGTTCTAGATGTAAGCGATATTCTGTTTTAATGATATTTTATGTCATGGTAAAGGTCCACTTCCCATCACTTGTTTTAGATTGACAAACAAAGATATCTCTAAATTAAATGTGTCTTTCTATATTTAGAGATAATTGTAAGGTCATTCTGTCTGCAACTGTAACCAATTGAGTGATTAATTAACTGTTCTTAAAATAGCCATTACAATAACGAATGATTGTGTCCTTTCTAGATTCTACAAAGTTTTAGTAAGTCTGTAATGGTTTAATGTTAAAACCATGAAAGTATAGTCCAATGACGATATTGTTCTTAAAAATAGTTGTTTAAAGTAACTATTGTGAAACAAATCTTGAAAGGTACTTTGGGCAATTTCAATTAGCCCAAATATATCTGCACTAGATTCAAAAAAGTATATCTTTATCTTGTATTTCACTAGGTTTTATTTTATCTTTTATCTCGTTAACATACGAACAGTGGCAGTGTATAAAACGAATAGTGTATAATGCGACAGCATAAGACAGATAAACCCGTCAATCTTAATAGTAATTTCATGGAAACGCCTCTACAAAACATTTAGCATTGGTTAGGACTACGAGTTTATGAAGGACTAACAAACAATTGTTTGGCAATGTAATTAAGTATCTTTATTTGTAAAACTCGAGTACATATCTTGATATTAGTTAACTCCAATCTTTTGTTGAATATATCATGAAGGTAGCAAACGAACCATCGGCCATAATAGTTTCCGGTGTCATCCTGTCCGTTGATAGAATTTATTGCTCAATAAAGACTTCTTTGCAACTGGTCTTCATTCCCACTTAATATCACTTGGGATAGAGTTATCTGCTGCGCCTTGTAAAAAAAGTTACAAAGGGTTCAATCAATCAAAACTTTATTGCGTTGTACAATGTTTTCTAAGATCTTAGTAGGTGCATCGCTTTGATCATTGTAGATTGTGTTTATTATGCAAACACGAAATATATTTTAATCTTTCTTTCGTTAGAAAGTTGTTAATATGAGAATAAGCAGTTTTTCCTTTTATTTGGTGATCACTGATCACTTGTATTTATGTAATATTTTTTTACAGGACAATTATCTTTAGAAGCTGAAAAGACATGGCTCCAATGCGAATGTGATCGATGGGGAAATAAATTCAATTTAGAAGGTATGTCATATACATTTATTTTGTGCACTCAATAACAGGCAATGATGTCGATTCTGGCATGATTCTCTAAACCTAAACTTAAATTTGACAACAGTGTTTCCTTCTCATTCTCTATACCTACAGAATGAAAGAGTGAGGCTGATGTTAAATTTAGTTTTAAGTTTAGAGAATCATGCCAGAATCCACACCAATATACAGCTAAAAATAAATCTTTCGCAGGTCATCGGAATGAAAATCGTTTAAGTTGTTAAATTATCGAGTTGCTAAGTTAGTTTACGTTTCGGTGAGTCTAATAGGAGATTTCGTGCATTCGTATACTTAACTGAACTGTAATAAATTGATTCATTATTACGTTTACACATGGTACACTATATATAGAGATCGTTCTGTTTTGTTTTGGGGTTGGTAGCACCATGTATAACGAGTTGTAGATCACCCTGTCTATCTATCGTATGTTGGTTGGTTATATTCGTTGTTCCCATTCATTGTAACCGTCGTATACTAACAAATTAAAGTATTACATCATTTACGAATCTATACACACTGAAGTAAGCGGGCGGGTGTGAGCCTTTTTAAATCTCGGTTTCATCCATGTTGAAAATTAAGATAGATATTCTAATTAATGATTGCTGTTGACTTCCTTAACATAAAGTTTATTTAATTATTCATTCCACATTATTGCTAAATATCAGACAACGTAGGTACCTTCAAAAAGTGGTTTCACGTATCTTCCTTTAATCAAACGATATTATAATAAAGATAATATATATTTAAATAATCACCAAAAAATGTTAATGAACATCAAAAATAGTACAATCGGATAGGAAAGCACCTGTTGTTTTTTTTTTGAGATCTTTTTCTCTTATTGTTTTTTGGTGTTTGTTACTATATTTGGTGATCAGTTAAACATAAGCCTTATAATATTGTTTACTATATTTCTGCGCATACAATCATTAAAGACTTTTACCCTTAAGCGTCTATATTTCGAATTTATTTCTCGACATCTTCGTCTTTTGTCATGTTTTGTTTTAAATTCAATCAAATATCGCCCTTCATAACCCTTTCTGATGCTTCTCCCACATCTGCGCGACGAAGCTTCGGCTGGCTTTGGTACTTAATGCGCCAACATTAGTGTTCGAAATATGAATTAGTTCTGTAAAGTAATAAATTAGCGGGCTGCGTGTCTATAGACGCTAGACGATAGCATAGCTGGCGATAATTTGTCACACTAAAAGAGGTTTTGGAAAACCATAAATTTGTATTTGCAGCTGATGGAGCGTACTAAATTCAAAGTTCGAACGCTAATTTTAGCGCATTTTCGTACCAAAGTTATCTGAAGCTTCGTCTCGCAGGCTGGTTGCTTGTCCTCTGTAGCGGAGTAATGCTGCGGAGCGGAGAATAACGGAGAAATATAAACCAATAGGATTGCACAAAATCTGTTCACTGGGAAGGAGCGGAGATTTCGTGCAATCCTATTGGTTAATATTTCTCCGTTTCTTCGCTCCGCAATTTTGCTCCGCTACAGTGGATAAGCAACCTAAAAGGTTTTATCAATAGGCGGGTTGTTACACTAAAATGGTGGTATGAATCATCAGGTCTGACCAAATCCGAGGAATGCCAGTCGATGCCCGCCCTAATGGGCGTGGTTGGAAGCGGCGGGGCGGGCGGAGTGCTGGGCTTGGGAATTATACCGGAGCACAGTCTCCTAGACTCCTGCACCAGGCTGTCTATATCCTTGGAGGAGAGCGTTTTCAAGGTAAACTCTATGATATAGGGACTATCGGATTCAGATTGCAATCTCTAATTGACGTGGTTTGGGAATTATACCGGAGCACAGTCTATTAGAGTCCTGTCTGCATCTGGTTTTCTATATCCTTGCAGGAGAGCGTGTTCATGGTAAATTCGATTATATAGGAACTATCGGATCCAGTTTGCAATCCCTAATGGGCGTGGTTAGGGAATTATACCGGAGCACAGTCTATTAGACTCCTATTAGTCTATATCCTTGCAGGAGAGCGTGTTCAAGGTAAATTAGATTATATAGGGACTATCGGATCCAGTTTGCAATCCCTAATGGGCGTGGTTGGAAGCGGCGGGGTGCTGAGCTTGGTAAGTATACCGGAGCACAGTCTGTTAGACTCCTGCACCAGGCTGTCTGTACTCTTGGAGGAGAGCGTGTTCAAGGTAAACTCACTGATATAGGGACTATCAGATTCAGTTTGCAATCCCTTATGGGCGTGGTTGGAAGCGGCTTTCTGGGCTTTGGTATTTTACTGGAACACAGTCTGTTAGATACCTGCCCTTCTAGTATGAGTACCCGGATATGATATATAACTCGTTTTTATCACGCTTAATTGTCAAACCACTATAAAGTTTGACAGTTAGACGCGATAAAAAAACGTGATATAACGTGAATTGAGGTGCTCATGCTACGGGGACTAAACCAGGCTGTTTATATCCTTGGAGGAAAGCAAGTTCAAGTTAAATTATAAGCAGTACCATGGCACGCCCACATAGGATTGGATTCAGTATGCAATTTAGGAAATTAAACAATGGCCCGTTAAATTAAATTAATCTGTGTGCTTCAGATGGCAGGTTTAACTAAATCTCCCAGCAACTTCGCTAATCTGCATTCAACATTCGTAGTCTATGTAATATAAGGCTCTTACTAGCGATACTTCATAAAAACCACCCTTATGTTAATATGATTTTTAAAATCTAATCGGAAACGCTGCTTAGTTGAGTAATGTTGTTGGTATGGCTGCCAAGAACTGTTAGGTTTTTTCAGTGATTTAATGAACATTATCTTGTTTAACATAAAGCTCCAAATCAATTAAAAAAGTATAATGTGATATGACGTGTTGTTGACTTAACTTGACACTTTTAGGTAGTATTTACTTGTTTATAAACAAACCAATTGAAATGAAAACAGCCATGTATTGTGTATATATTTGCAGGTGTCTGTCAGTTCCTCATCGCAGTCCTCCCGGAGCAATTCCAGTCCGCACATGACTCTGGAAGAACTTCGCGCAATCAACAAATACGCGGAGAGCACGAAAAGCCTATCCTACTTACCTCAGGTACGTTTAAGTCCATATCTCCTTTAGATTTACCAAAAATGCCCCTTATGTTCAATGTTTATCTTGAATTCATACGACTTTCTAGAACAAACTTATTAAGCACTTCTCGTCGACAAAATATTTGATCAAAGATTAAAATATCAAGAACACTATTCACAGTGTAATCTAAATTTAGCTCGAAAACATTGAGTAGTCAACCTTCAACGTGTTTTTAAACATGATAATAATGTATAATTAGCAAATAATTGCATTTAAATTAAAATGCTTAAATGATTCTCAGAAAGAATACTGAGAAAAAGTTTACAATAATAAACTTTTTGATACAATTGTAAACCTAAACATTAGGTTTTTAGGGTCGTTTAAAATCGACCCTGTTTGAGAAAATATTTGAGCTTAAAAGGAAATATGTCTTAAAGGCCTTACTTAAAATTTATTTTCCTCTATCTATTTACTTTTATTATTAAATAAATATTTTCCCCCCAAAAGCTTGAGATATATTCCTAGCTATTCGGTTTATAACGAATGAGTTTGAGCATACGGATTTATGTTGTGTTTCAAAGAAATTTCCGAAGTGTGTCGATTATGTTTTTGAGTAAATAGAGTATGGTTTTGTAGGGTGTGTATAAACGATGTGTGTTTGGATTCTAGCGCTCACTAAAGGAGGTTTTCTATAAGTGATGGTGACGACAGTTTGATCAGTATCCACTACCCGTAGTGCCTTCCACACCCAGTCTGTTCTGTCCTTATTGTCTGTGGAACGTGACCCGCTGAGAAATCTTTTTTTGTATACAATAAATTGATGCATGCGAATTTGTGTCGTATTAGGAGTAATTGTGAAGAGTGTTTTGTAGCTGTGAGCTGTATATATTTACAGATTGATATGTCAATTTTTGAAACTTAAATTTTAGAAGATAGTCGAATTTCACGTGTCAATTATATTTATTGGTGTCTAAATTTAAACTTCTTTATACCATAAGTTAGATTATTGTATTGATTAATAAATTTAAATGCTTAAGTGAAATTTTGTCATGAACAAATCGAAATAATATTAACGATTTAATGGTGTCAATTCTGGCGTGATTCTCTAAACTTAAAACTAAATTTAACATCAATCTCTCCTTTTCATTCCGTATAGAGAATGACAAGGATACACTGTTGTCAAATTTAAGTTTAGGTTTAGAGAATCATGTCAGAATTGACACCAATGTGTCGATAAAATAAACGAATTAATTTAGGTAAGGGTAAGAAAGGCGGGGGGCTTAGCCGCCATCTTGTTTAAGCAGATTTCTCAATGGGTTTTGTTCTTCTCTTGATTTGCATGACTGATATCTGTTCCTCTGTTATCTGAAACAATATATCTAGGCCAACTTGTGGCTGTAATGTTAGAATATTTAGTTTTCCGACTGCATTTGAGATGAGAAATCTCGATTCTGAGACTTCTATGTTCGACACGATATGCTTATAGACGTGTGGTACACTTAACGTGATGGGTAACACCAAGCTTTGAGCTGCACAAATATGAACCTTAATGTCTTAGAAATAAGGTAAAACAAACATTCTCTGGTCGAATGACATATTAAAGGACCTTCTTTAGTTCATCCCAAAGGTTATGGTATATAATAAAAAAATGTTTTTGGTTGTGTGCCGTTAATAATAATGTAATCATATTAACAATTGTAGTAGTGGATGTTTTCATTAATAAATAATTTAAACTAACATTCTTGTTTCATGTTAACGAATTATAATTAAGTTCATTTAATAACGGTTGGTTTTGGACGGTTTACAGAACGTTTAACACAATACTAAATGTTTTTTAATGCATTTTGTTTAGGTTACGTCATATTTGGTCCTATTCATTCTTGATTTAATAAAAGTGTTGTCTTAAGACATTGGCACACTAAGAGTATAAATCGCCACTACCAACATTAAATTACTTAAATTATATTTTATTTGTCTACCTGTTTTCAATTGATTTAAACAGTTTACAAAGTGTGTTTATTATATTTTTTCTATATCGAGTACTTCAAATTATTTGAGTTTCGAACGCACTTAGATTCGTTATTTAACTTTAAAGTTTCATAAAATTTTTGCTGTTAATTTCATTTCCAATAACAAAAGAAATAAATAACACGTGACTTAATGAAGGATTCATGCAATTTGTCGTCTCTGCGTGCGTAAGTTTGGGTAACATTTTATCAACGAATTAGGAATGATATATGGAAGCATTACTCTCTAACAAAGGCCGCGAAAACATGATTCCAAACTTATACAGCTAAACTTCAATACTAACGACACGCCCACAGACACAGCAAATACTTTGACAAATCAAATATCTGCAAATGAATTTGGCTATCCATTCATTGGGTACAATAATGTTAAACGGAAATCCCAGCCAATTGGCGTGTTGATCGTAGTTTTTTCTTCCCGCCCACTTTGTCGCAGTTTGCGAGGAACTACTTTTTAGCTCAAGGATTACATATTATTTCTAATTAGTTGAATGCTATATATCTATTAATCGTCTGCATATAACTGGTAGGAAGGAAAAAGAATAAGAGAAATCTAATTAATAAATATTGCGGAAAAAAGAGGAGATAATACGCCTCCTTGTGGCACGCCAGCAGAAGTGTCTCACGACGAACAGAATTCGTCATCAAGGTCACACTACCTACGCCCATACAGTTAACTGTGAAGCTAATTGCCGTTAAAGATACGTTAGGAGAGCGCAATACGGCTAGAAGAACATCCAAAATCGACAGTGTTAAAAGCGTTACCGAATTCTTTATGTTAAAGGACAGTCTGGGTCTTTCCGAGCAGAAGAAAATGGAGCTTTAGAAATGATACTGTTATAAGAAATTATAAGGAAATTAACGACAGGAAGGATAATGTCAAGAATCAGAAATTACGAAGCTCGTCATAACGTTCCGGGCCAGGTTACTTTTAGCTACTTCCAATGGAATGTTAGAAGTAGCTGAGAGTAATCTCGTCTTAACACCATCATCCGATAATTGAACAAAACAAAGGGAGAGAAGTCCAGTATGGCTGTGGGAGAAAGACAACTGAGAGTATTATTTTTAATACCAGATGAAGAAGAGAAATAATTATTGAGAGAATCGAATTTAATATAAGGAGCTCCGTTGTCTTCCTTTTTTTACCTAGAATCTGATAATACCGAGCGATCTGAGAAAATTACAGAATTTTGGAGAATCTTCAATACTGACAGAATTATGAATCTGACGATGTAATGCATACCTAACTTTCAATCTTTGAAGATTAACATTCTGCTATTTTCATAAGCTTTTTTCGTATTATACAAAAGGGTTTTGTCAAGTATTTCAAAAGTACGGTCTACTTTTGGTGTGCCAAAGTCTTAACAAATAGTTCTGGTCTTTTAACTGGCGTCGTGCATTGATTTGATGAAGAAACTGTATGGATTTTCAACACACTTCGAAAAGTTACAAACATTTTACTTAATCTGATTATCTTGTGTTCTGTTGCCCTTACCTGCAAACATTTTCACGTCGATAATTTTTGAGTTACCGTATTTTTTTATAAAATATTAATGTTTTAAGCAACTTTAAAAAACGGAAAAGGTCGAAAATATCTCTTAATTGCGAGGTCATGGCTGAGTAACTATGTTAGTAACCTTGTCACTAAAGTTAATTATTTGGTTCAAGGTTTCCATGAAAAGTGGACAGTTAATATAGGGCTGTGATCTTGCTTGCATGACCGTGTTAATAATTAATGACTCTGTCTAACTTGCAATGATTAATTTATGAATATGATAATAATATGAGTGCATCCACTGAAAGAATGAGCTCTAGGCCTACTACAAAAATAAAAACGCTTGAAGTTCGTCATTCAAATATTTTTTGTAAGGTCTACTGCATTTAGAAACAAGGTCGTAAATTATAGTATTTTCGCGGCGAGTTTCGGCCTATATTCGTTTATATTATTGTAATTTACCCTATGACATTTTTTTTAGTGAATCTCAACCCTATTTCATAGTGGAAGGCAGTATTGCCACATAGTAAAAATTTACTGCGTCAGGATAATCTAGCACCCCCTTGTGTAAGATAGTTTTTTGTAAATCACTTATTCCTAATGGTAACAGCCAATTCTTTATCAGATTAAATACCGACATTTCTACATATTGCTTTCTTGCCGTTTTCTGTTTTAGTACCAACAATCTAGTGAGCCATATGGAATTTTTATTAATAGTACATAGCATAAAACCATGATGGATACATACCTACATTATGTTTTATAGTCTCCTTCCAAAACGGGCACATACATTTGAACTAACATCTTTCGTAACCTTGTGTCGACGCACCTTAACTGCGAAAATAATAAAGATAGACCAACTGAAAGCATAGTAAGATTTATCGTATAGTTTTAAAGTTTAAACTTTTCCCTAACGTCGTGTCAACGCACCTTAAGAGCGGACGTGAGCTGAGAGACATTCGAGAAATGGGTATTTGAAAAAAATATTGCTATCACGCATTGGCAAACACCGTGTGATAGGGACAACAGTAGTTAACGCTGAAAATTGCGTAAATATTGCGAAATTCGAGGTTTGGCTCTCGCCGATTTCCTCCTTGAAAATTAGATATATGTAAAAGAAATTTTACACAAAGATTAATAAGTAGTTATACTATGCCTCTATGTTTTGATTTTTGTGTAAATGCTTGTTAAATTTCCACACTAGACGTCTTTAGTGGTGATAAAAATTTGTTTATTTTTGGTCTTTTTCGAGGGCTTCTAGTTTCTTTAAAACACAAGTTATCGAATAAAAGAAAACATAGGTGCATAGAATGAGTAATATTATAATTTATGTATGAAAATCAATTCTTTGTGATTAAAATCAAGGAGGAATAGTCGAGAACATTTGCATGCGCGCCTCCCCTCTTAATGGTCACCATAGTAAAGTCCATCTGAAAGCATAGCGAAATCACAATGGTTACCAATAGTAAAGATAGATTAATAACTGAATAAAAGTATACAATTTTTTCTAACGTCGTGTCGACGCACTGTTTACCATAGTAAAGACAGATCAACTAAAAATTAGTATAGCTATAAAGTATAAGATTATCGCAGTCGACACAGTTAAACAGACAGAAACAGAAAAAGGTCACCATAGTAAAGATGAACCAACTTAATATTAGTATAGCGTTAAAATATAAGCCGATATCACGGTCGGTGGACACAGTAACACGGACAGGCATATGAAAAGGCGGTATGGGTGGTTACGTAGGTGCACGAGCGGCAGCGGGCGCGGATGCGTACGCGCTCGGAGTGGTTCCTGCAGCCGGCGGGGTCGCTGGAGGCGGCGCGGCCCAGAGCCGGTACGCCCGTAACCGCTACCGTCACCGTCACCGCTACCGCCCCCGCCACCGCCTGTGCCACATGTGCCCCCCCCGAACGCAGCGAGAGCGCGGCGCTCTACGTGCTTGTCGCCTGCCTTGAGTTTCTGTTTTGATCCGTTCAAGTTAAGCCCGGTACTGTGCCCAAGTGTTCGTAACGCTACGGTGCGGTGAACTAACAGGCGATAAAGAAGACTTTATACTTTCCGGATTTTTTGAGTTTGTTTTTTCTGTGTAGTTGCGTTTCGGTTAGATGGCGTAAGAAATGCTGTCACTTGACATGGCTATTTGTATTTGCCATATTATGCAATCTTGAAAAGAGTCTCTCCTTTTTACAAGCTTTTATTTAACTTGCAATGTATGTTTGTTTGGGTGGAATCTTACAACTCAATTTTAAGGCACTTGCCCTCCACCGATTGAGCTGAAATTTAGTATGCACTTCAGTTCGGATGACAATGCATGATTAATTATTCTTATATATAGTCTTTTTATTTATATATAGAGTATGATAAGGACAATTTACTGCCAAAATGACAAATAGCAAAAACGAATAGCCATATGAAGTTTAAGCCATAAGAAGAAGAAGAAGAAGCCATTACGATTGCAGCGAAAAATTATCCTAAAAGCACCTTTAGTTTAATTTATAACTTTTCTACATTATTTTCTCCTCAGTATCAGTTTTTACTTGTTACACTTACGATTCTTTTGTTTTTCGATTCTTTTCAACTTTCAAATCCCCTGTTGTATATTTTGTTTTCCCAAATGAAACTATAAAGTCTTCCAAACAATTTGTATTAACACGGTGTATAATCGCTACGGGGGCCCGCTTCCAGCTTCACGCATGCAACTTGTGTTTTGTTCGTTCCATTTCACCGCACGACCATCCAACCATCCAACCATCCACGACGCATGTAAACCTAGCTTTATATGTATGTACGCTATTATTATTCATCGTATGTACGCGGGTGAACATATACTTAACGATGTTTGATGTAATTAGGTCTTTATTTGCTACCGAAACCGGTGACGATGTAAGTAAAGAACTGGGGGCATTGTCGCAGTGTGTCGGCTCGAAACATTCCATATAAGCAACGGTACAACGCTGTCATTATTCACGGTTTTATTCATTGTTACGATCACTATTTGTTTTTTTTTTTCTATCGAGTATCAGTGGATGTTTTTTTACATAGGTCACTTTTCTATCTGTTTGTCGATGTTTGATTGTTTTTTTTCAAGAATACGTTCTCGAATTAAATTGTTTTGGTGGAAATCTCGTGTTCGGAGCTTATGCGATGAATGTAGTTATGGTTGTGCAAGTAGAGCATTGAACATATTGCTTTTGATTGAAATTGGTCATTTTTATTGTTATGAGCTGATCACGTCTTCAATCATTAAGGAAACAATCTAAAATGATGCGAAATACGAATGGAATCCTTTAAATAAACGTTGGGATTTATAATATTTGAAATTTTTTGACAATCTTGATTGGAAACGTAATTTTGCAGTTATGTGATTTTTTCTGTTGTTTTTTTTATCGTTCCGTCACAAACATCATGCCAATGTCGCATCAATGAGCATTTACACATTGAAAGGCACAGTTTGTAGCACGTTTGTTTGTGACAATTTCTAACATGTGCACGGTTGTACTGTCACTTTTAATGATGATTTAATATTTTTTTATTTTAAATAATCTTGTTACTGGTGTCCCGAGAAAAATACATATTATCTCCCTTATGTTCTGTATTTATTCTGGTACTTCTACTTTGTTTTTTAATAAAAAATGGGACAACAACTCGTGAAATCTTGGGTATGGTTGTTGTACTAGTTAGTTGGATATCTATAGTGAGAACAACACGGATTTCCCGTTGTCCCCTATGAACGTGACTTTGTTGGGGGGTCAGCAGAATACCATTTTGATCCCACTAACATTGAATAAATTATTGTTTTAAAGTGACAGTACATCGCCAATGGTTAGTTTTTAAATTAATTCAATAATTCATAATTTAATTAGTGTTGTAAATATGTGACACAAAAATGGATGATACAAATTGAATGAGTTTATTCATATGTTATGTCGCATCAGGTGCCACAAACAAATTACCTTCCTACAATAAAATAGATAGATACAATTATCATTAATTATTTACAAATGTTTTGTGTGCCTTATGTGTTGTAATATTTGAAACATATTTTTTACTCTTAAATTGTCTGTCTTAATTTCAATATGCAACTAAATTACTCAGAACCAGATCAGTATCGCTTGTTGATAAATACAATAAAAATACTACAGAAGAAGTTTAGTATGCCGCCCGGAGCATGATTGCATTTATTCGTTATGATATTGTTTAGGCTCGGGTTGTAATCACATGAAAATTAGTGATAGTGAATATATTATTAAAATGTTTCATACTTCTTCTGTAGATTAAATTTGGATTGAATACAATTTCTATAACTGTATAGCGGACCTGATTAAAAAACATCAGTGCATGTTTCTTGTTATTGATGAAGTATATGGTTAAATATTTATGGGTCTCAATGAAAATGGGGATATTGCCAGACGCTATTGCTAGAATAGTCAGAGTGATAGAAATATCAATACAAGTAACAGTTACAGAAGTTGTGTGATATAATCTTTTATTAATATCCCTTTTAGAGTCCTGTCAAAACCTGTTTTTTTAATGTAAAGTAATTCCCGCTTAGTACTGGTTGCATTGAGTGCTACGGGACTATCAACCGTTTAAGTATTACATTAAGTTTCACTATACTGATAGCTGTTATGTTTGCGTAGCGCTGAATGCATCAGTTCGTATCCTACAAATCCAAATGATGTTTTCGCTGACTTTTTCGACTGTACAATCAACGGAAAATCTCTAAAACATAAATCTCTCAATATTCAAAAATATTCAGCAGAATTCTGTTAATAAGAACTGGATAAAATAACTTCTTTATAAAAAGTAAAAGAATTGGAATCCGTTACGGATTGCCGATGACAGTACAGTCGAAGCCACGGCGCTAGACACTCTTGCAGCGTGAATACTGCTATTGCTACTTATATTATTGAAAAGCAATAAGTTTTTCCTTATTCTAATTCTTTTATTAATAAACAAGAATAGCTTAGGATTATTACTTTGTTTATTAATAAGAGTTAACGGCCACACTCACAGATGTCAATTAACTTTTACCCACTTGTGTCAAGACTCTAGAGAGATCGCTCTTGTTCCATTATCGAAGTAGTCCATGAGAAAAGGATAACATCATTTAAAGGAGCATTAAGTTTGAGTGCGTTCGTTAGTCGTTATTGCAAGCACCGAGAATAGACTGAGAATAACCTGCAAAAAAGGGAATAAAATAATTTAAAATTTTGAGTGCTGAAATTGACCACGATTAGGTAGCGAGATTGCGTTATGTCTTTGCGAACTATAGGCCTCACAATCACTGCGGCCACGGTACACAAGGATTGCCTTAGTGCGGTTGTAACGGTACCCAAAATTGGTTAACAAACCTACACAGTGTTCTTACCTAACTGAGGACCGAGCGTAGACCCGGCGACCTCGATAACAAGCGGCTATACGCTGTTTCCTGCCGTGGGCCTGCTGTTCCGTTGTTAATTTTATCTCGTGCCTATAGCATAAAACAAAACATATACTAAAGTTAAACCAGGACTGACGCTGTCACTTTTGATTGTTAAAAAGAAGACGGAGACAACATTAGGTTTGAACCACGTTTTAGAATAGAGGGGAAAGAGTTGCATAGGGAACGCTCAGTCCATTCTCTATGCCTACGTCTGTTATTCACGTGGCAAGCGTATGCATGTATAGTGCGACAAGGATCTTTATGAACTAGCGCCCCTGTCATTGTGTTAGCGTCATATTTTGTTTGTCATAAAAGGTCATTTACGTAGACAGTGGTGCCCTCCCTGAACAGTCGCTTACATTCATTAAGATCCTTATCGCACTTTACAACTTGTGATACTGCGATCCAAGTATCATGATAATATTGATCAGTGTAAGATACCAATATATTGTTTTAAACTTTCATGGTCACTAACATTATAGTAATATAAGTTATTTACGGTTTTAACTCGCTAAAAACAAGGAACATGGTAACAATCCCGTAAATAACTTATGCAGGCAGTCCTCGACTTACGTCGTTTCAAGTTACGACAATGTTTTAACACTATTCCTCAAGCATACGTCTATTGTTTCGATTTTCAGCATAGGAGAATTCACTTGTCGCGAGGTCAACCCTTGAGTTTTACATGTAAGCGTATGAAAAAATATGCCTCGACTTACGTCGTTTCGATTTACGTCGCGCATTTCGAGGACCTAACATGCCGTCAGTCCGAGGACTGCCTGTACTACTATAGTGTACTATAGCGTAAGATGCCTCCTGCACGTATGCACGAGTGAGTGTGAGAGGTTTAGTTAGTCGCGAGCAGTGAGTGACATTGTCCCACCGTGATATAAAGGTGGCGGCGAGCGGCGCAGCTCGCGGCGTCGGTCCCGGCGCGCGCGCGTGTGCTCCGGTGGCGCCGCGTGCCGGCCGCTCGCCCACTCCGAGCCCGAGGTGCCGCTCGCTCTCCAGCCTCGTGCGGTGACCGCCTGACCGCCGCACTCGGCGCCTGCGCTCTGTACTACTACCCCCGCTACCACCTAGGTAACTCCACCACCCACAGCCGGCGGACGCGCACAGCGATAGCGTCTTCATCTTCAAGCTATTTTAAGAACGCGGCCGCGTTTTAATTTAACACAGAAATTACGTACTCTACGTATCTGCAAAACGTGTGACTACAAATTTAGTATCTTAAATCAGACTTTTAAGGTATTCGCTCAGTTTAATATGCTCTACTTAGAATGATCATACTATCTGAGGTGTTCGTACCATACGTACGTTAACGTACTTACAATGATCGTTTTGTATCTTGAGTGTTCTTATTACGCGGTTGCTAGGATGAGTTAGGAGTGACGTTTACGCTCGCCCACTGCGAGCCCGAGGTGCCGCTCGCTCTCCAGCCTCGTGCGGTGACCGCCTGATCGCCGCACTCGGCGCCTGCGCTCTGTACTACCCCCTCTACCACCTAGGTAACTCCACAGTCGGTTGTCGCGCACAGCGATGGCGTCTTCACCTTCAAGCTATTCACCAAGCTATCTTCAGAACGCGGCCAATTTAACACAGAATTTAGGTACTCTAATGTATCTGCAAAACGTGTGACTACAAATTTAGTATCTTAAATCAGACTTTTTAGGAATTCGCTCAGTTTAATATCCACTACTTAGAATGATCACACTATCTGAGGTGTTCGTACCATACGTACGTAAACGTACTTACAATGATCGTTTTGTATCTTGAGTGTTCTTATTACGCGGTTGCTAGGATGAGTTAGGAGTGACGTTTACGCTCGCCCACTGCGAGCCCGAGGTGCCGCTCGCTCTCCAGCCTCGTGTGGTGACCGCCTGACCGCCGCACTCGGCGCCTGCGCTCTGTACTACTACCCCCGCTACCACCTAGGTAACTCCACCACCCACAGCCGGCGGACGCGCACATCGGTAGCGTCTTCATCTTCAAGCTATTCACCAAGCTATTTTCAGAACGCGGCCAATTTAACACAGATTTAAGGTACTCTAATGTATCTTGTTTTATCTTTAAATTTGTGACTACAAATTTTGTATCTCAGACGTATCTTGTGTAAATCAGACGTTTTAGGAATTCGCTCAGTTTAATATCAACTACTTAGAATGATCACATTGTATCTCAGGTGTTCGTATTGTTTTACAAAAAACCCGAAAACTTACAATGCTCGTTTTTACGCGGTTGCTAGGATGAGTTAAGAGTGACGTTTACGCTCGCGCAGGCCGAGTCCGAGGTGCCGCTCGCTTTTTAGTCTCGTGCGGTGACCGTCTAACCTCCACAGCCGACGAATCTCTTCAAGTTATCTCCAGAACGCGGCCAATTTATCGCGAAATTTAGGTACTCCTATTGTATCTTCAAAACAAGTGACTCCAAAATTAAGACTCCTTTAAGAATTCGCTTTGTTTGAAATTGAATCAATACCGAAAGGTGTTTCTGCAAGTATTTTCATAAGAAAAAACAAATCTTAATAAGTACGCTTTACGAAACAAAATTTACAATGATTGTTTTGTATCATGACCCTTAAAACAATTTTTGTTCTTGTAACGCGGTAGTAAAGATTAGTGTCATATACGCTCGCTTACTCCGAGGCCGAAGTGCCGGTCACTCGGTGTTACCACCTAGTTAACTATGTAGTCGGCGGATGAAGTTTTCTCAGTTCGTTGCTGAGTCGCGTCACATTAAAAGTATCTCTCTGCCGCGTTACCCACTAAATGTGTCTTTGCAGCGATTTATCAACAGAGCGTAGCCGGTTTTACTCAAAATTTGGGTACACTAATGTATAATTAAAACGCGTGACGCCAAATTTATAAGTGTTAAGGGATTCGCTTAGTTAAAACCCTTAGCAACTATGCGACTTCCTGCTTGTAGTCTCTCCGAGTTATCTAGAACGCGATCAGTTTATCGCAGAACTTACTCTAACGTATATTCAAAACGCGTGACCGCAAATTTACTAGCTATTCTAAATCGAATGTATTGAAGATAAATATTCCAAATCAGACGTTTTTACGAATTTGCCCAGCTTAATTAAAATTCAATGAAGCAGCTAGCGGTTTCTCGAAATATCTTCTCAAGAAACGACGCATCTTCATATAACGCCTTCCAAATCTTTCACCTCTTCAGAATGCGGGTAATTTTACATAATTTGGGTACTATAATGTATCTTTACATCGCGTGACTCCAAATAAGAATGTATTTAAAAAATCGTTCAGTTGAAAACGCAATTACAAGCTACTTTTCTGGAAGTGTCTTCGCAACAAGCGACAGGTCTTCATAATACGCTTTATAAAACCGTCTAAAAGTTTCACTCGTTTTGCGATTGCATCTCGGGTTTGATTTTCACAGTAGTAAGGATCGCAACACTTCGCGATCGTGCTCTAACTTAGTACCACTGGAACTAGACAACTCCAGAGCAGACATATGGATCGTGAAACATTCGAAACCCAGAATTATCTGCTTTGTCACAAACAACACAAGCACTCTCTTTAAACGACTCGTCGCAAATTAAAGGTTTATCAGCGTTGGTATGAAAATACAGGAGCCACGAGGCAAAAAAGAAATCGTAAATTCCTACTCAAATATTAGATTATACACTATCAATGTTTAATGCTGAATGCAGGATTAATATGTAAGGTTGATAATCACACAATGGCAGTAAAATATTTTATTTATTCCAGACATTTAATGATTCTGATTATTATTATTTTATTATACCTGTGCTTTGTATGGCGCATATTACGTGTAGTATTGCTTTATTTTTCGAGACGAACTTTTATGAATAAACAATTTAAGGATTTTATCCAATCGAAATAAAAGCCTGTGTCATCACATCAAACTATAGGCGGACGTTATGTAGATGATGATACTTTTAAAAGTCACAATGTTATTAATTTCTTTGACAGTTGAAATTAGGTTTAGTTTTAAATATTCAAGTATTAAAATTTTGATGCTTTTCTTATTGCAATACTTAAATCCTTCACCCTGTAAATAACAAAAGAAGTATACTTAGTGGACGATAATGTTGTTTATAATGTTTGTTAATAATATTTTAGTGCATTCCAGTTGTACCCCCATAAAACAACGGATAGAATAAATAAAGGGCAGAGGTTTTAATTAAAATTACTTGTTTCCTACGATTACTGGGGACAATTGGAATACACCAAACATTTTTAAAAATCACACATGCATTTTGTTAATTATGTATTCGCCTAAGTTTTGATTTGCAATACATATAATACTTAGTTCCCTTTGTTTTCGTTACTTTATTCTGCTACGTTACTCAACGAATATTCAGCGATATTCTCAAAATTTTTAAACGTGCTATTTTTGCCTTTTTTAATGGCGACCAACCAACATTGAGGTTTGCTGTTTTCATGTTAAAGTGCGACCGCTAAAAGAAAGAATGCGTTCGTTAAACGTCATTTCAGTTTCTTATATTGATGTTGATTGGCCACCCTAATGTTTAAACAGATTCGTTGGTAACTGCTCTCTATTCGTAAAAATTAGAACATTTTGTTGAAATTTTTATAAGCATTTATATGAATATGGTGGTTAACGAAATTTATGCTAAGTGTGAAAGTAGCTAAAATTGTTACATTCTTGTGACTCGTCTTATAAATTGCTCATCGAGCTAATACTATAGAGCTAGTAAAGTAATTGAACTTTCGGTGTGCCATTAAGCTTTACCGAGGATTTATAGCAGAATAGGAATTAGAGACTATGTATTTACTTTCAAAATTGATCTCTCAGTTGCACATTTCAGTATTTAGCAATAGTATGAACAAAATGGCGTCGATACCTTGAATATTGAGTTAACATTCCTGTGTATTATTTTTAAGATAGTTTGGATAAGCACATCTTATAAGATAAATTGATGTTTTCACCTTAAATTATGCGATCCTTCTAATTCAATTTAATAATTTGCTCACAAAATCACTTTATAAATTCCAAATTTAATTAAAAGAAAATACTTTTAGGTTTTTTATTTACTTATCGAGTAGATAAATTCATCATTTAATTAGATTAATTTACACGAATATTCGCGTTTATTTGATAAAAATACAATTAATTATATAAGAAGTCAATATTAAAAAGCTTCTGCCAAAAATATTGCCACATAGAAAGACTGAAATATTAAAAAAATCACAAACCATTTTCTATTCATTGGGTCAATTTCGAAGGGATATGCTGTCTCACATTGAGAAGAAATGTCGTCTATTATTAAATAGTACAAATTGCGTTTCACAATTTAACACTTTATAAAGTTGATTTATTATCCTGTAAATATAATTACTGATCTTAAAACCTAGGTGCTAGTTGTGAAATCTCTTATGAAAATTGTCATGTGTTCTTTTTTGACATATGCATGATGTCCTTAGACTTCTATAAATTGACCGTTCGAAACATCAATCGTTTCGAATGAGCAACTTATTGAATTAATAATTGAATTATATTTTTTGTTTCCTGTAATAATTATTTCGTTATTAAATAACTTTAAGACGTTTCATAACATATACTATAAGTTCTGATATAATAAGCACATTAAATCGCACATACATACCTTGTTAATTAATGAGTTTATATTTGGACGTGTTTATGCTAACTGGAATCAACCATAAGTAGGGAAACTAAATAAAATAACAGGTTTAATTTTTTTTAAAGTTCACATAATAATCACAATACACTAATACAAGGAAAAACTTTGGTACTAAAATGAGTACGATGTGTACTTAATGTTCGTTTAATTGGATCCAATTTACATAAATATGTCCACTTTAAGACTGTATTTTAAGTAAATTTTAGGTGAACAATGCAAGGTACAGGTCGCGGCACGTAACTCTAGCGCTGAACAAAACGCATCAGGGATAACTGCGCATGAGTATGACTGGAAAGCCAATCGGCGCAACGCACGCCCACCCGCGCACCTCGTTTCCCCCCAAGACATCTTAATTTTTACTTCTGCGCAATAACTGTCAGCGCTAGTTTCGTGCCGCGACTTATAAATTAGTTAATAAATCACAATTTATATAATTTGCTAGTTAATCTTGTTATGGTGTTGGTGTTCGAAGAAGGCAGCTCAAATATTTGTTTCTAGGCAGAAGCGTTCTATAGACACCGCTATACGAGGCTGTTTTGTGGCCATAATATAAAAGTACCTTATCGTTACTTTTAAATTAATTTTAACCCGAATATTTTACAGTTTAGATTTATTGGTCACTAAATGGTATGACGTTTCATATAACTTTCATTAACGGATTTCAGTTAATCTTATTTTATATTTATCGCACATTACAATATTGTTACGGCTAAAGTAACGTTTATACTGACTCGTAGAAGTTAATGTAATCTTAAAGGCTACCTGGAACGTCATAATTATTTTATGTATATGATAGCTGTATTATGTTTATAGTGGAGTAATTGATAGCTGGCTTGCATTTCTTGGATTTGCTCGTCCAAGTCCCTGTGTTCATTGATTAGCGATAAGTAAATAAAACGAATAAAGTAAATCTAAATTATTGTCTAGTGAATTTGAGATGGATAGACTTGCTGTTTTTGCCACCACAGTGGATGTACGAATTATTATAACATAACAGTCCATTGGATGTGATAACAAAAGCAGCAAACATTTTTTTTTTAAAGTAATGTTACTATTTAGGTCTATATGTAAAGCATAGTTATTTTTTCTTTATTCAAGTGCGTCCTATTTTTACTTAAGTATATTGAAATTTAATATTAACTAGTAACGAATATAAGGTTTTGTACAATAACATAAGTTGCTATAATGTTTTAGATTTATATATTTATAATTTTACAAGACTGTTAGTATGTTTATTGTAATTTATTACTAACACTCGAATAACACATTATACTTATCATTCCACCGACTTGAGTATTTTTAAACTAACTACCAGATGCATTTGAGTATTATTTTTTCTTAAATATTTATATAGATCTCAGAGCTTTAACAAAATTAAAACAGTGTTGCTATGTATAAACTTTATTTGATACCTACAGAAGTAAGGACTGCTACTAGTTACTAAAAATTGGGCGACGTGTTATTATGTGTCGCCCATTTTACATTGTTTGTTATGTCGGAATTGATTATATAACTATATAATTCTTTTAAGTATTCGTGTATTATTCGCTTGTAAATTCAGTTGTAATTGTCACATTATATTTGCACATTTTTCTATACAAATTTATTGATAATTTCACGAAAATAAAAAGTGTAACAAATATTTATATACATGTTTTTTTCTTCCAACTACTGTGGGGAGGGGAGGGACTTGTGTGGTCATGCATGTCAGTCCTATTCTCAGCACGCAGAACAATAAGTATAGAAGTAAAGCTATGACGTTTGAGTAAAGCAAAGTTAGCTCAACCAAAAAGTATTAGTGGCGTGTCGCAGGTTGACATTAGATCGCTCTTTGATTCGGTATCGTAAAGGTATCCAAGGTATTCACAAGGTATCGAATTTGAAGTTTGTTTAGTGGTACGCACGTTATTCATAGCAATATAAATTTGTCCCCTTTTTTGGTCTATATGTAGAAATAAGATAACTTTACGAGTAGACTATATGAGTTTTTTATTGAAACTGTTTCTATGCTTTAGTTCTTGTCCTTGGGTCCCATTATAACCATAAAAAAAACTAAAATCTATAATATAAAAATGAATCGCTGAATGTATTGCTAAGCTCAAATTTCGAGAACAGCTGAACCGATTTCGATAATTCTTTTTTTAGAATATTCCTTGAAGTACGAGGATGGTTCTTACGCAGAGAAAAATTAAAAAAAATGCCTGAAAATGTCCAAAAACGACACTACTATACTCCCATACAAACGATTCCAACCACGAGTCAATTTGAACTTTAATACCATACCATAAATTTCCTATGTTAGTTTAGAGGTTACGGGAAGGCAAAACAATTGAGTGACGTGATGTCAATAGAAGTTTGGAAAAGGCAAATATACCATTTTCAGTTTTTTTTATAATTATATCAAGAGTCATTTTAGTCTACACTACAGCTCTACACCGAAGCGATGCGAGGGCGGGCCACTAGTACAAAATAAATTTCGACTTTCCAAACACGAATAAAACATTTTGTGTACATAAAGTAATAGTTTAATGATTTTGTTGATTTAACAAATACTCATTTCATGGTAATATTTTTGACTTTGCGGCCGTTCACGTAAACTTGTGCAATGTTTCTGTCGTCACCCAAGTATATGAACTTTTCAAGAAGGCTTGTTGCGCGATCTTCAATGGCAGCGCTTGAGTGTTCATACTTGTCTATGGGCCCATCTTGAGCGTACGTGTCTATGACAAGCGCATCGAACTCTTTACCCACTTCGAAACTGCCTATCTTTTCTTCCAGTCTTAATGCTGTAAAGAGTATATTATAGCTTAAGCAAAGTAATTTCATCCATATTCGGAAATATGTAGTTTAATTAAATCTCTTACAGTACAACATTGTCTACTATAATGGGAGAAGAGAATAATTTGCTAATACGAAATCAAGCTGACTCTACAATTTCCACAGCATTTATTTTAATCATTTATTACTTATATAAATCAACACTACAATAATTAATAAAACTCGATATTACTTAAGATTCAGAACGATCACTCACATTGATAGGATATTTTTTGTTCGAAAACTGTACTTATAATGCTTGTTCACACTTGTTTGCTTGGATGACTATTTTGATCTATTATGTGATTTCTGAATTGTGAATTAGACGGCAGTTTCATCTTTTCATTTCATATAAAGCGTAAGGATATACTGCTGTCATTAATTTTTCATTGTATAGACTGCTACAAAAATATAGAAGAAATAAATCACATAAATAAGCAAGCATACGTATGTATGTATATGTGTTTGTATTATAGTTTGACAGAGTTGACTAGAAAACCGTAAACAATCATTAAAACTGAGTGTACTTAAATCGTAAGTTTCAATTTTGTTTTTAAAAGTTATATTATAAAATTGTAGTTGGGCAAGGTAAGTACTACCTACCACCAGATTCATTCAGATGTTGATCGCCCGGCCTGACAGGCGCCCCCTAGGGCCCAGTGCCCGGGTGCGGCCCGCTCCTATGGGAAAGACGCCCCTGTGCTAACATGAAAAAACAATAGTCTGTGAATACCTTTGGCCCCTCCAAGCGTGGCGAGGTAGAAAGCCTCCGTCCAGCTGAGTGACGCCTTCTCGTGGCCCTGTAGCTCTAAATGCATCGACACATCCATTGTGCGGCGCATCGCTTCCAGGATCGATGACCCGTCGCCTCCCGATACATCTGATACCGGCATTTGATTACAGCCAATAGGGAATATGCAAGTTATTCAAATAAGCTTATTTATATATATATATATATATATATATATATATAACTCTAAACTATTTTTATATATATTAATTTTAATTTGTACCTCCACCAATATTTGTGACGTCACACCTAAGCGTTCCAAAATGGCGAGCGTTTAAAATGTCCGTGCGAGGTGGCTATTTTAATTTTTTTTATAAATTTATTTCTTCGTTGGCCTTTTTTATACTATACTAGTGATCCGCCCTCGCTTCGCTTCGGTGTAGAGCTGTAGTGGTAACTATACTTTTTGTTCTCAGGCTTGTGCTATAAAGAATGACTTTATTTATATAATTACACGTGTTATTGTGAGTCAACCATAAAAGATAGACATATGCTGTTGCGGGATATTTTTTAGACAATTTTATCCTTACACGCCTGAATAGCTCGCAGATTGCAGAATTTTTTCAGACTTAAATGACATTTATCGTTATATTTTGGACAATTCACACAATATCTTTATAAATTATAGCCTATGTGTTATTCTGATCTATAAGCTACATTACTGTAAAGTTTCATTAAAATCCGTTTAGTAGTTTTTGCGTGAAAGAGGAACAAACATCCATCCATCCAAACAAACTTTCGCCTTTATAATATTAGTAAGGATAAAGGGGATGTAAACTACTATAAAAAATAAAATCATGCATATTCCCTATTGTTTCCAAAACGTTGCTCCATAAAATATGCACCAAAAAGCCAATGAAGGCTTTCATCAACACAACCATAGACAATGAAGGCTGCATACAAGAAATGAAAAAAACTTGAAAACTGTCGATGTTTTAGATGTTTTTGTTGGAAACTTTGTGATGACGCACTGAAATATGTTTTATGGAACAACTTTTGGTAAGATTGGGACTAAAACTTGTTTTACAAATACTACTACTAGTTTTGTTTCTAAATGTTATCTTAATGTAAAATGTACAAAAAAAGGTAAGTAATATCGGTGATGAGATGTGCTATTTTTGTCTCCATAGAAGGTTTTCATGGAAGGTTTCAATTAAAATCTTGAAAACAAATTTTTCTTCAACATAACACATGGCAAGTATCTATGTAGTTAACAAGCCAACGATGGTGCGACAGCTACAACGAAATTGAGAATTTAGTAAGAATATGACTTAATATCATGCTTTTACAGAACCATCTAGGTATAAGCCGAATAGAAGTTACAAAAATATTTGAAATGAATGACCATTTGGCTTCTTTATTAGGCATAATTATTTATCTTCACTAAGTAGTTACTAGGAAATCAGGGCCGGTTTTAGAGACGTGGAGATCATGGGGCAACAAAGGCGGCCCCCTAAATCTGGTCCGGGCCACTTATAATAAGAGAATTGTATCTCTGATGTACCTACAGGATTCGTAGGAGCGCCAACAGCTTTCTTGATGTTATCGGAAAAAAACCGGAGTGTGCTATTCTGAGGCAAATTTTATGTTCAAAGTGTACTTACATAGATTTTAAGGTTTTATTGTTACTAACATTTCTATGGATCTAGAGTAGACATGGGCGTTTTTTGTTTTGAACGCAAACGGATATTTATCGGATTTCAGATTTCAAAATCGATTTTAAAATCCGTTTTTAAATATCCGATTTCAGATGTGCCGAACTTAGCCAATTCACTAGTTTGTGTTATGATTTGGTTTTATTAGCTAACGACAATCACAAACAATTAATTGTACGAAGCAAGCATACTCGTAGATTTGCGCGATTTTCCTTTATGCTTTAAATATAGGCTTAGGCAAGAGTATATATTCTGTGGCTTAGGACTAGCAGAAAAGTTATCTTTACGGTTAAGAGTAAAACTTTTGCGGCGCATTTAAAAATCGGCTTATATACACAATGATTTCTTTTTACATATTTTATTAGTATTTTTTTTGTTTTTCTGTTTGTTTTTATTATTTTTCAAACCATTTACAAAATAAAACCTAATTACTTCAGGTTAGCGTTCAAAAAATGTCAGTTGCTCGACTTTTGATGCTTTTAGACGACATCTCTTTTCAGTGATAAATAATCCCGCCTTAGAGAAGAGCAATAGATTTCCGTAAACAGCAAACCGAAATCGGACTTCCGAGCACGAAATCGGACTTCCGAAAACGAAAGCACGAATTTCGAATCCGATTTACATTTGGATACTAGTGGTGGTATTAGATCGCTAGCGTTTTGGTTCGGTTAGATTTCTGAAATCGGATTTTCTCGTTGAGAAATCGTTCGGTATCGATTTGTGTTTGAAATCGGATTTTGGATTCGTTTTGATATATCGGACGCATACCTAATCTAGAGGTCCGGAAATAAAGTATTTATTATTATAACTATGACTTGCACCCTCCCCACTTGTTGGTGATCCGTTTGAAATCTGTTTTTTTTGTCTGTTGAAGAGGTCGCTCTTCTAGGGGCCACAGAGCCTGCCCTGCCTTAAATCCGGCCCTGTAGGTAAATAAAGGATTCATACCAGTCCCCAGTCCAACGATGAGTTTGTTATTAATATATTTCCTAACGGGACACAGGCCCGACTTGAGCCGCGTGTTGGATGCGGGGCAGTGCGCGACGGACACGCCCTTCTCTGCGAGCGTCTTTATCTCTTCATCGGACAAGTGTATCGCGTGCGCCATTATGCACTGTGATCCAAAGTTTTTTTTTATGTTAAAAGGGTGGCAAACAAGCATATGGCCCACCTGGGGGTCAATTGCCTAACGGGATTGCTATGGCTGTCGCTTACGATTTCATTTTGTTATTTCTGGCCCCCGAAGGTTTTCAACAATACCTCACGCTCATTTTCTTTAATAAAAGAAAAAAAACGAGCGCAGAAAACAAAATGAAATAGTAAGCGACAGCGATGGCCATGGCAATCCCGTTCGGCGATTGGCCCCCTGATGGTAAGCGGCTCCAATTCGAGCGGGAAACCCACTACCTCTTGTAGTAAGTCCACCAAGATCAATGAATTGAGTTTATTGTATTAAACGAATTTCTTAGCTAATAGATTCTACTGATATGTTAAATGTATATAAAACAATCCCTGTTATCCCCATTAGCTTAAATAAATTTAATTATTAATTACTTCAGTTGAGTATATTACGTTTTCTTTAATAAAATAATCCTAAAAGAACGATAAAAACTGTAAGTATTAATCAGTTAATTTTATTATTTTAAATCAATGATTTACTTTGTTATCTAACAGATTCTACAAAAAAAGTTCTTTAAAACTATTCCTGTTGTCCCCATTAAGTTAGAGGGGGTATAAGAATAATTTTTATTATCTTACTTTCTGTAAGTTTGAATACTTAATGATACTATTTGAAAATACTTAGACTTGCCCTGTTATTCAGAATGCGGCTGTTGTCGTAGATGTCAGCGTAATTTTTGCACTGTGGGAAAATTTGTAGCACATACTCTACTTCACTTTGGTTCTCTGAAATATGGCTCTGAAATGAAAATAAAATAAAATATGATGAGATTTAATAGAGTGTAAGTATGTTGTTATTTTTCTTACCGAAGGCCAGAGGAGGGACCGTTTATTCCCAGCCACCAAATTCTTATTAAACAAATTATTAATACCTTAATCTCTCTGATTGGGAACTTTTCTTTATGTAAAGTATTTCGCGATATTTCGTCTGTGTAAGCGGATCATCCACTTACACAGACGAAATATCGCGAAATCATTTTCTGCCACGAGTTGAGAAAATTATTTTCATATTTGTTTCTTAGGTTTTCACGCACATCACTCATTAAATAAAACTAGTTTTTACGGGTTAATGCACGAAAACTTTATTTATTTATTGACGTTTCGCAGTCTTTACAGGCTACGTCGTCAGAATAAAACTTTTATTTAATTTGTCGAGCTACCTTCGAAAGACTTTCTTAAAAACTAGTTTTATTTAAATTATTTTCATATTTTGCGTTTTATCACATTTAGTAATGGTTTTTAATTTACACATCTAATATATAGATAAGTTTGTAGAGAAACTATTCGGAATTGATTTAAGACATAAATGAAGCCTGGATGAACAGTAGAATTCGAATAATAAGAAGAAAATCGGTCGGAAAATCAAATAGTTTCCGGCCGATTTTCTTCTTATGTGTGAAACACAAAGTGTTCTACGTGACGTAGCAGGTTAAGCAGATATATCTGCGGAAATCTAATCTCTGCCTTTTGGAGCTTGAATTTTTCTTATGGCAGAAGCATAAACATAGGAGAATAGTGTTATCTGGCTGCCGTTTCAGTTTAAAAGTATTTAGGCGGTTCTTATAAACACTCAAATAGGATTTTTTGATTTACTCGAGCGCGTCAGATTAACATATTCGAGACAAACTTGTAAAGTAATCCCACCATACCTGAGCCCTCTATGTAGAGCCGAACGTCTAGGACAGTAAACACACACAACACAAATTTCAATAAACGACCATGGCATGTGGACACATCCAAATCGTCAGTCTTTTGAATAGGTTCACGTAACGTTCTCATGACGTAAAAATATTGATCTGCTGGTTTGCATCATGGTGTGTGAGTAGAATATAGAAAAAGAAATATTCGAGCACGTCAGACATTGAGAAGGAGTGTTATGTGAACCCTCCAGTACGTCAGATTCATAAGACTGACGATATGAACGCGACCAAAAGCCATGGTCGTTCGGTGTAATTTATATGTTAATCTGCCGCGCTCGAGTAAATACAAAAATCCCTATTATTAAGCTTGGGCTTGCTTTTTGACCTAATGGTGCGATTACACTTGGTCGTTAGCCCACATACGAATGCCAATGGAATTCGGGAAAACGGCTAGTGTAAGGAGTCGAGTACGCCCGTATTAGGATAAATTTCCTTTAATTTTCCCGACACCATTTCCAGTCCATTATCCAGTGTAAATATTGCTTCGGGTGCCCAAAATCGAGTAATGTCTTTCATGCACCCGAATACGGGCTACCGACCAAATGTAATTGCGGCATTACAAAGAAAGACTGGGATACTTACCTGAATTAGACAGTTGTAAGCGTCTGATATATCTGCAAGTCCGCTCATCAGTTCTTTATCGCAACTTACTGCGAATCTTGGAGTAATCACTGGTTGCACTAAGTCATTCTGAAAAATTACGTTGTAGATTTTTTTTTTTTTTTTTTTTTTTTTTTTTTATAGTTAGGTCCGACAAATGACTCCTCCCCACCTGATGTTAAGTGAAGGTGAAGTCCAGACGCGAAGATAGCTGATACAGCAGTTCTACCTGCCACACCAGCCATCCTCACCCTGCCGGCCTGCATGTTGCTTCTTCACGCCTCTTTTAAAGGATCCCAGGTTGTAAGAGGGAGGGAACACGTGAGCGGGTGCACGATGAGATTTGATTTAGAATAGCAAAAGAGAATCTACAAAGATGGGGGTTTCTTTATAAGTGTCGCAACAAATTACTTCGCCCCACTTACTGTTAAGTTTAAGTGGAGTCCAGTCGCGAAGATAGATGATGCGGCAGTAAGTGTGCCGCTCCAGCCATCCTCGTAATGCCGGCCTGTTCCTTAGGAGCCTTGAAATCCTACTCACCAGCAGAAACACAACACCACCAAAAGTTAGTGTTATTTTACCATGTTCTTCTTTAAGGTGGAGGTTGCTTCCCCAGAATTCGCTGGCGCTTCAATTCGAGCGCACAATCAGCTGTGCCTAACCGCCCTTAAAGCCAGGATAATTATACAGGGAGGAAAGAACTGGAAATTTCAACTACGGAATTCGTGACCGAAAGAGAGATCTTTTCCCAATAGTGTGACGCTATGTTTGTTAGTTAGCCTTTACCTTCATATTGTTTTAAACTTTCATGGTCCCTAACATTATAGTAATTTAAGTTATTACCGGATTTTACCATGTACCTTGTTTTTAGCGAGTTTCCGATATTTCGGCACTGTTGCAAGCGCCATGATCACGGAGAAATTCGCTAAAAACAAGGTACATGATAACAATCCCGTTAATAACATATATTACTTTACCTTCATATCCAACACGTTTTTGATGAAAGTTTCGACTTCCGCGAGCTCCTTAGCGGTTTCGTTGTAGTAACCCGCTTCGTTTTTGAGATTCATGCTGACCTTGCCCACTAGCGCCCTCTGGTGGTGCTTGGCGACACTCTTCGCTAGTTCCAGGGTCCCGTTCAGGTGCAATGAACCGAAGTAGCAAGTGGTTGTGGTGCCATTGTTTAGTAGTCTTTTCTGAAAATTGTTACTAAGTATGTATTAGTATTGACGAGCTCGAAGGCGCGGGTGTTAGCGCGTTCGGCTGCGATCGTTGAAGTTAAGCAACTTTCGCAGTGGTCGGTCATTGGATAGTCGACCAAAAATCTTCAAAAAATATTGTGCAATATAAGTAAAACTACTTAGTAGATCTCTAAGTATATTATTTATCCAAAAATAAATATCAAAAAAGGAAGAATTTGCTTTTACATAGGTATTTGAATAAGATTGTATTTGTCTTTCGAGTGGACATGGCTAAATACCTATCTGAGAAGCCATCACCGAAATTACGACTGGACACGGCACAAATACAGAGTAATCCGGGTATCTTATTTGTACCGCGTCGCGACTCGACTAGTGTTAAAGGTATGGCTTCCCAGGATCGCAGTGCCGTCGTTCAGTAACCGTCATATTAAGGACGCAAAAAGACCTAAAGAAGAATTACCTTAACATAAGTTTACTGGAAAAAAATCCACGCAGACCAGGCAGCAGAAGGAACGTCCCGTCTCCGGAATCGATTGGCGTGGAATTTTCTCTAGTAAACTATTTTTTAGATTTAAACATCCAGCGGTTAAATGTTTAAAAATAAAAATATAAGAATTACCTTTCCAGGAATCTTGGCCTTTTTGTTTACGTAGACAACGTCCTAGTGACGTCAACGACGGCCGCTCTATGACGGCACAGCTATCATAGGAAATCGAGTTTAATAGAAAGAGAAGACGGAATAGTGCGGCCAGAGATTTTATTTTGTATAACGACATTTCGAAAGAGAACTTTTTAAATAAAATAGGTCTTATAACATACTAATTTAATTTTACGTCATGCAGTTGTTCCGCGAATTTTACTCAATAAAAAAAGAACGTTTAGTAGGGAATAAAAATGGACGATTCAAAACACTTCTAATTAGCTTCCAATTTCAATAACTGACTTAATATTACGAAAGGTAGATCGCGCCACTGGTAAAAGATATAAAAATATAAAAAAAATAACATACCACGACTGTATCGTACACTTTTGCCGCGAAATTCGTATCGCCGTAACGACTTTCTAGCGGGAACGTGTACTTTGCCAACCATTCGAGTAGGGGCCGGTCCAGACCCAGCCCAATGTTGGGGAACTGCGGGGCGTGCGTGTGGCAGTCCACGAAACCTGGTATGACGAACTGGTCCTCATTGAGCTGGATAATTTTGAAGTTCGCAAACGCTCCAGTCTTTTGTTCAGCCTCATAATCCTTTGCACTACCTATTCTGGTTATCTATAAAAATATTGAAGACATAATGAAAATGAAATAAAATCTTATTTCATTAATTATCTTTTTTAAATACATTTCTTTATGAACGCATTATATTTTCGTCATTAGTGCATCCTAACACAAGCAATTTTACTACTTAAAAAGATGTACCAACCTCATAATATTGTAGTAAGTTAATTTACTGAAATAAACTATTTTGTATATTTTTTATTCGTATTTTGTAATGTTCTTATTAAGGAAATATAAAGACAAGAAAATAATTAAGAGAAAAGGAAATGCTTGTTAACAATGAATTCATAAATTATTTTAAATGAAACATCTCATTTTTTTGTAAATTATTAAGAACCTACATAAAATAACAAAAAAAAAACCTTAGTTATGGTATTAATAAATTTATAATTATAACGCAAGTGATCGTGCCCTGAGAAATAAGATGTTTATGAGATTGATAAATAAGTTATCTTGTTGCTAACTTACCGCAATAGTGATCTCCTTTATCTATATATTAAAGTTAATATAATAATTCATTTAATATACGAGTAAAAAATACCTTTCCATTTTCCACAGCTAAATATCCACCGAATATAGATAAATCATTTAAAGATTTCGCCGACGCGAAAGTGCCAACAAATAATAAATTATTTTCAGACATGCCGTTCCTTTGAAACACGTTTCTTACAATACAAAAGCATTAGGTTTATTGATACTTTATTAAAGTTAAATTGTAAGTTAAACAGTTGATAAGGCCCACGATATCGTATCAAAACAACTGAACTGCAGACTGATTCATGCTATTTCGTTCATTATGAAGTTGCTTCAAATAAAATACGGATGTTTTTAGGTTAAATACTTTGTCCCTATCCGTAGAATATGATCAGACAAAGATAACAGCATTGTTGGTATACAAGTTTGTTTTGTGGTAGAAAGTGCTATCTTTCCAAATATTTAAGAATTAAAACTCTACATGTTAGAGGCTAAAGAGAAGTTGTTGAAGCAGAGTTCTGTCATGATTACGTTGTGTGCTTCACTAACTAGATGGCGCTTAAATATAGTCGCTGAGTTTTAACAACATTAGTCAACTATCACATATTAAAATAAAAGTAAGATATCTAATGACAAAATATATTTATCTAGATTTCTATTCTCACGGCCGTTCTTAATATTTTATTCCCCGCTAAAATATTTTTAGTGGGTCCAGGTCCAGTTGTCGTAGGTGGTAGCCAAATAATATAAGAATGTTATCTGCCCTTTATCCGTATTTTATGTGTGTATATTTATATTAAATATACAAATTCTGTCTCTGGATCCTAATCTCCTAAATTCCGATCCAACCTGCATACATTTCCTACTAATTTTTCCCTACTTTTGACACTGGCAATGCACAAAACGTGTCCTGCTATTTAAAAAGAATTAGTAGCTAGGTACCAAAGAAGTATTTTGCAAAACTATTTTCAAATTCCGTAAATAAAATACGATCGACACAAAAAATATAGGAAGCGTGGGAATTTAAGTTCAAATTACCAATGCGTGCGTCTCTTTTTTCACATTCCGCCTAATATCATGGCCTAATTGCTTCGATCAACAATACTATTATGAACCACACCACCACACAACAATAATTATAGTGTTGTTGATCAAAGCCTAATACACTAAATAAGAAAATATAAGTGTACTATAATGATTAAAAGTTATTTTATGCTACAGCTAGCTGAATTGTAATGAGTTTTATTTTTAATTTTATGTATGTGCTCTTATAAAGTAGGTCTTTATAAAACTATCTTTAAATTCGTTATTTGAATAATTCGTCATGAGTAGATAATAGTTATTTATTATACAAGAGTGGAAAGTTCCTTTTTAACCGCGTGCTCGATTTGGATGACCGAGCAAGCGAAGGATTCTAAAGTTGAATCACGAGCGCAGCGAGTGATTCTAAATTAGAATCCTGAGCGTCAGCGAGGGAAACAAACGAGCACAAGGTGAAAAATCTTTCCACTCGAGTGCAATACGTAACTTTTCATCCCACCTCAGCGAGGAAATGACAAAATGAAAAAGAAAACAATTTATAATGACAAAATATTTAAGCAATAAAACGTGAAAAACTAGAATGGCGCGAAGCACGCAAATAAAACAAAGAAACCAAGAAGGTTCCAAATTTAAATTTTTTCACAATTTAAAAAGTTCTAATCATAAATTTGGCACCATAGAGGTTACATTAAATAGGTTTAATGACGTTTTGAATTTACAATTATATTGAGTACTCATTATATGTGATGTTCTAAATTCAAATCTACTTTGCCGCTCAAGCGAATAAAATAGAATTTTCCAGCCAGATTTCGAAGCGCAAAATTACACTTTCCGAGGTGGTGGGATGAAAAGAATATTATTATTTCGTAGTTACTTACTTACTAAACTGCTTAATTTTTCGATGGAATTTCGTATCTTTGTCGCTGGCAAATGCATTGGTGGGAACAACAAGGGTCATCGGTGACAACATCGCAAAGTTTTTCACATATTCGTATGCAAACAAACTCACAACCGAAAATACTTTACTTCAAAAGACGAGCCTACTGCTGCCTCGTTGTAGTGATTCTGTACATGATCTGGTGCCACGTGGTCCTGGCGTGTTCGGCGCCGGTCTGCCAGTCCGGGAACCCGCCGGAGCGGGCGCTCTGCACCCAGAACTTGGAGTTAGTCAGTGCAGCGCGCGCCAGAGATTCCTCAAGGCGGTTGCAGATGAGTCGTGCCTCTTCCGTTGCCTAAGGGTGTCAAACAAAGACATAGAGAATGGACTTGTGCGTTCCCTGTCCAACTGTAAAGTAAAACTGGAGGAATAAAGGTCACGGCTCATTTTAGACCCACCCGGCATCGCCTCGCTTGCATGCTGTCCGCGCGCGGACGGTGGGTAGACAACTCAGTGCTCGCATGCTTACCGTGTTCTGGCCGCTGGTTGTAAATGCAAGATTAGCGAGCGGAAAACACACGTGTAAATCGAGTGGCAGATTTCTTACACACTACTTAATTTTAGCTAATAACACGGAGTTAATTACGCGGCGGCGAGGCGTTCACCCGTTGACTACCTGACGTTCATAGGTTGACAACGAAGCGTCCACCAGCGGCCTACCCGGCGTTCTTTTATAACACTCTATAATTTACATTTACCAACATTTATATAATGATTACTTTAAGTTCTGTTTTAATTAATTTGTTAATTTATTAATCACTCAATGTATTATTTAGATCATAAAAGCCTGAAATACAGGTACAATTTTAACTGTAACCTAGTTCAGGCATCCATTATTTTGTACTTTATATTGTTATTAGTATTATTATGAAATTCAAAAAAATTCAAAATTCAATATCGTTTATTCAGTCTAGGCTGTTACAAGCACTTGTGAATGTCGAAAAGCTACGCCATCGGTTCGCAAATCTACGGCGGGAGACCTTGTACTGAGAAGAACCGGCAAGAAACTCAGCAAGGGCTGTTTTTTTCTCCCTGTATTATATACAGAGTCGTCAAATTGAAAAATTACTTCAATATGAGGTAACTCATAAAGTCACTTTTCATTACAAACAAAAAAAAAAATGCAAATAATATAAAAATTATGACTATAAAATAAAAAATTAAAATATGTAAAAAAAAAAGAAAAAATGGTTTAACAAAGTTTAGGAATGACGTGTCCTACCGTTTAGGCAAAAAAAAAATAATAATAATGAAGATTAAAGTTTAGAACAACGATTAATAGTAGTACCCAGTGAATTAAGAGCAGACTCATCTCCGCTGGCAGCACCCGTTCACGAGCATGACGCATGAACCAGCCATCGCTTCGCTCAACCATTTTTTAGGGAACGCAACGACCCGCCTCACACGACACCACCGAAGAGATTTTTAAGAGAGCATGACTACTCATAACCACACATGGATACTATGTTACTAAAATAGAAAAAAAAATACATATAGGTACCAGTGTACATTATTATAACAAACTATAAACACAACGGCAGGACACATGCATGTGATTACCTAAACACTGTTGTCGACTCTGGCAATACTCTCCCAACCCAAAACCAATCCAACATCAGTCCCCCCCTTTCAGTCTGTATAGAGAATGACAAGGATACACCGCTGCAAAACCAAGTTCAGGTCTAGAAAAACATACCAGAATTCACATCGCCATTAAATCTTTATCAGAGAAATAATATATGTTCACTTACATTTTGATTGCTGTGTCATACAGTATAAATACAAGTTGTGTAATGTAAAATACAATCAAAATTTAATTATGCAATGTATGACCTTATTTGAATAAAGATATATTTATTATTATATTATTATTATTATTACTTATTTATTAATTACATTTCAAGTTCATGAATATAACATAATTGTGATGTAGAGGATTCGATAGTTGGTAGAGTAGGCCCATCAGAATCTGAGGCCGCGTCGAGATGCAGCCAGGGAGGTCGAATGGGTGGGAAAGACAGGGAGAGGAGAGGACGGTTTAATAATAGTGAGAGGCGAAAGGAAGAGAAGAGGAAAGGAAACGAAACAGAAAATAAATAAAAGGTTTAAAGGATGGGAGTAAGAGTGTAAGGGAATAGGTTTAACAATCTTGCATGAAATACAGCCATTGACGGCGTTAGCTGTTTGACATTGCCGCGTCCACCTGAGTTTGCTCGTCAACCACAAGTGGATGTCGCGCGACGAGGCGGTACCAGGTGGTTCTGATGAGCTATGATCTTAAGAGCGGACACGAGCTGAGAAATAGGTATTTGAAAAAAATATTGCTGTCACGCATTGCCTAATACCGTGCGATAGCGACAAAAGTAGTTAATGCTGAGAATTGCGTATAAAAATTGCAAAATTTGAGGTTTGGCTCTCGACGATTTCCCCCTCGATAATAAAATATATGTAAAAGAAGTTTTACACAAAGAATAATAAGTAGTTATACTATGCCTTATGTTATGATTTTTTTGTAAATGCTTATTAAATCTCCACACTAGACGTCTTTAGTGGTGATAAATATTTAATTTCGGGCTTTTTCGAGGGCTTCTGGTTTCTTTGAAACACAAGTTACCGAAAAAAGGAAGAAATAGGAGCATAGAATGAGTAAAATTATATTTTATGTACGGAAACCTAAAATCCTCCTTTCTTTCTAATTTCTCCTCGATTTTTATCACTAAATAATACTTTAGTGATAAAAATCGAAGAGGAATTAGTCGAGAACGTTTGTATGGACAAAACATAGGCGAAGCGATCATAATTTTATTTATTACCAGTATGCAGCACATACAAATACGACTAACTAAGACATGACAGGAAGTATTTTCTTATACTAAATAACCTACATAAGTTAATCATTAATTAGTATTTTTGTACTAATTACTATACATTAATTATGAGATAAGTACTTAATAGAAATACCAGTACCAATTATATAGGTATATTGATAAGAAGATTTACTACCTACCCATTAAAACGCTACTCTATTGACAAGACAGTAAAACTCAAAAAAGTGAGCTTTTTATTTCATTTTCCGAAAAATTCGGCGCTAAGTTTATCTATTATTATATATAGGTATATTACTAGTGGCCCGCCCTCGCTGCGCTTCGGTGTAGAGCTGTCGTGTAGACTGTAGTTTTTGTTTTCAAGCTTGTATTATACACAATGAATTTCTTTTTTTTCTCAACTTTTATAAACCTTCCCTAGACGAACATTTCTAGACCAAGTTAAGTTAAATCCGTTCGGCCGTTCTCGAGTTTTAGCGACACTAACGAACAGAAATTTAGTTATGTATATATAATTAGTGTGTGTGTATATAAAAAAAATGCCTAACTTTTGTTATTAGTAGTAATGTAATCAGAGAGTGGCTTTTATTATTAAAAATAGTATTTTAAAGATTAGGTGTAACGATATTTTTTTTGAAATTTGTTGCTGGAAATAATTTCAGGCTGTCCAGGCAGCAGACGATACTCTAACCCGCACTCTCCGCTAACCGGGCGAATGCACTGACCCTTGCTATTAATTTATTGATAGCGGAAGGCGCGGATTGGAGTCACGTCTGATGTTATAATAAAGTAGAGTCTTACTTGGTTAAACATGTTATTCGCTGCCACTTGACGACCAGACAACCTGCAGCTGCTGGCTTTGAGGAGGATCCAGCGTGGGTACACCGTGCGCATCAGCCGAGCACTTTTCTCCATTCTGGTGAGCTCCCGGTCAGCTAGCGAATGTAGTTCTACCATGTCTACGACCTGAATAGTAATAGCTTTAGTGGTGCAATATAAGATGTATTCGAAGATGTGCCAAGCAATTCCTGTTCCTCACAATCGGTCAAAAATAACTACAAACTGTACTTCAAGTTATAAAGTTTTTTTTTACTAAAATAATAGTACAATTTTAAGGTTAAAGCGATATAGAAATAACTTACCCTTTTCAGGTCATCTACTTTTCTAGCGAGACTTTCCAACAAGCCATCAGCTAACCGCAAAGCACTTAGAAGCTCCGTTAATGAACAATCCTCGTTGTTATAGCTGGCCCAACTTAATGCTTCCTTTTCGAATCGCTTCGCTTTTCTTTCGAAATCTGATCGGAGCCAATACGTCCACAGCCCAAGGACTAAACGACGTCGGCTGGGTCCCGCTGATCTTCCTCTATCTAAAGCATACTCTGCGAATCGGCTGATTTCGTAAGGAGTTTCCAATTGAAAGCCAGCATCTAATATCATATCGATACATAATGCATAGTACCAAGTTTCACATTCATGCGTAGAATGAGACTGACCCATTTGAAGCATGAGTTGAAGAAGGTCTACAGCTTCTTCTATTCGACGCCGAGCCAAAAGAATATAAAATAAGTCGGGTACTATCTCGATAGTAACACTGTCAGCTTGAAGAAATCGACTAATTGTTAAAGCTCGAAAACCAGACCTAACACTGGCAGCGAGTTGGGCTCGTCCCATTCGCACTCGAAAAATTGCAAGAAAGACTTTCCCCACAGCGAAAAGTTCATCTATTTGGACTGGCCTTGGTAACCGCTCTAATACTTTACAGGCCAACCATTCAATTTCCACTGTAGACTCAATTGCGTCACGATCTATTTCTACTTGAAAGGCATTGGTGAAAGCATCGCATATATCTATGACTCTGCAATCCACATTCTGTATCACTTTTAGGGCTCGAAAAGCAGATATTCTCGAGATTTTCTCTTCGCCTATAGATGAATACAATTGTGTTACAACATTTAGGCAAAAAACGGAGTCTGATTTCAGAATCGTTTCATTATGGCGATCACTTTTCTTTTTGACTGCTGACGCGATACCTCGGAAATTAAAGTATTGAGTCATGTTGTAAAGATTAATACGATAAATACGTGTTGCTTTTTCAGCTTCCATTTTAGCTGCTATCAATTTATCGGTCAACAAAAGTACAGCAGCTCGTATGGAATGTATTCTTCCTAAGCACTTGCGTCTTTCGAATGAGTTTATTTCGTTTTCTGAATTACTTCTCTCGTAACACATTGACTCTGCTGTTTCTAGTTTAGGTAATATGACATCATAATAATTATTAAGAAGATTTAAATAACAATACTGAATTATGAATTCCACCCCTTTCAACTTCATTTCAGCTTGAATCGCATGGTGAATTAATTGTTCATATATTATAATCATCAACTCTGAACACGTGCATTTTGTAATGTTGGTTGTAGATATACCTTTTTCAATTTTAATACTAAACAGCCTTTTACTGGATTTTTCCTGGGTTAGGTCATCTTGACTATCTATTAATCCAATATTATGCCAGTCACTTAAAGTTTTAGCTTCCACTACTGGCCTTAATAAATCGAAAAGTTTTATATCTGTGTCTGACTCAATATTAATTTGGCTTTGTTTCATTAAGTTTGACATGGTAACACGTTTTGTACGTCTGCTACTTATGATACTATCGTCATGAATGCGTGTTTTCAATATAGAGGTAACGCGTGAAAAACCGTTGTTTGATATATTACTATTGCGCTGTGTAGTATCACTCATAACCCTGGTAGTAGTTTTAGGAACAGTTCGTATGTCATTCAGAGATTCACATTTAATTTTATTAGCATTTACAAACCCCTCCGGTTTATTTTCATTTTCGTCTTCTTCAAAGCATTCATCATCATTATCATCAAACATGTTAGGATTTTCAGATATCTTCGAATATAAACCATCGATGCTCCCTTCATGTTTAAAGCTCATCGATGACCGTACTACCGTTAACCTACCCCCACAATCTGTACATTTGTGATAATTACTTTCCAAATATTGAACAATTCTAGAATGAAATTCTTTTTTTTGGTTCATTGGCAATAATTCATAGCAAGTTTTCCTTGTATTTTTATTTCGAAATTTCATTACTTTGCAAAAAGCATATTTTGGCAGGTTTTCATTTTTACCTGTTTCGTAATCCAAAAAACAATCACATGTTAAATTGGTGTCTTTTGGATTAAGAACATTAGCACAAGATAAGACTTTCATATCAAAAAGTCTTTTTACAGCTTTTGCTGTTATTAATATATCATTTTCATACATAATATTTTCCAATAGATCCCTTGACAATATATTTCCTATAACAGAAGCTATTTTGAGTAGTAATTGTTGATACGGAGTTAGTGAGTCTATCTGGATCATAACAAGAGCATCAATGTTCTGAATATCTTTGACAGCGTTGAGCTCTTCCTTACGAATAATTACGCAAATTGAGATTTCTTCTGAGGTATCTTCATTTATTAATTGGTCTAGAGTGTCTTGATCTGTAAAATTTATAGCTTGAGGATGCAAAAGCCGTGCATCGGGAAACTGTAAATCTTCGTCGGTCCAATTTTGTAATTCATCTGTATTAATTTTTTTCAGCTCTAAAGCTCCGTTTGAAAATAAATGGATGATAAAATTTTCAATCATACCAGGCATTCCATTACAATTTATTCTAAGTGCATTACATAAGTCACTTGGCACAGCAGCAACGTCTAAAATTTGACATGCAAGTGGTGCAATCCAACCAGAAGATAGCGGACCTAAAAGAATTTTCCTAATACTGTTGTTGATAAACATGTTATAAAGCCATCCTTGCATTGAACCATACTTTCCACGTGTCACTGAAAGTACTGTATATATTTTTAAAGCCTTAAACATAATACAAATAAAATCCCAAGATGAAGAATCCAAATTTTGTATGTCATCTAAAAAAATCACATATGTTTCTGTTACTGAATGCATCAGCTTCAAAAACATTTCATGGGCTTTCTCTTTTTTCCTCTGCTCATTTTGAAAATCTACTCCTTCATGGTATGCAAAACGAACTTTAATTATATGATTGAGGTAACATAGATCATCACTATAGACTTTTAAAAATTTTATAATTTTTTCTTCTTTAGCAAAGCCTAATATAGGTTCTTGTAGTCCTAAGATTTGATTTATAATTTGAGTAAGTGCCAAATAAGGTGTTGCTGAATGAACTGATGTTAAACTAAGAAAACATGTTTTGTGCCCCTGTTTTTGGGCAACCCTTGCCATACATTCTAATAACCGTGTTTTTCCTATTCTAGGATCTCCTATCAATAACAGGGCGTCAAAATCTCGGAAAGATGTTTCATTATTGTTAAGCCAATTATCAAAATATTCTAATTCATCATTTCGATTTAATAAAGGAGGTGTCATTGGTATATCGAATAATGCTTTTACTCGTATTTCCTCAGAGTATTCGTATATCTTGCCTGGTTGTATGATGCCTTTTAGTTCAATTTTAGGTTGAAGTGTAAATCCGTTACTGGACATTTTACTCTTGATGAATGTTGTTTCATCACATGTTATTTTATTTCTAAAGCCACACATCAGTCTCGCGGCTTTATTGACTATTGCACCTATGACAGTAAATTCTCTTCGCAATGGATGTCCAATCACACCACAATATACTTGACCCGTTGTTACTCCAATAGATACTTCCAGAACACCGTCAAGGGCGGATACTGATTTTTTAACACTGTATGCACATTTAAGAGCCGCTTGTGCCTCTGACTCATGTTTAAATCCTCGCAAACCAAATATAACCAAAATCATAACGTCTTTGTCAAAAAGAATAATCTTATTTACACAACCCATAGATTTGTAAACAATTTCGCATGTTATTTCATAAGAATTATTTACTATTGTTATTAATTGTAGGGATGGGCAATCTCTAGGTTTAAGGGTTACAAATAACACGGACACCTGTCTCATTTCAGTTAGATATTCCAAAGGTTGGTGTGCATCTACTTGAGTGAGTACTGGCCGTATTATATATTTTCGAATTTCTGAACCGATATTATTTTCTTCCGCATGTAATATTGCTTTTCGACGACTTAGTATTTCATTTCTGTGTATGACCTCTGCAGGGTTTAAATTATCGGGTGCCTCCCACAAATATGTTGGATAATTGTCAATATTGAACCTCTTAAACTGGTTCATGAGGGGTCCAAAACCGACAAAAGGCTTCGTAACCTCCTTTTCACGAGGATCGTATAATATTGCTCTAACTGTAACATGCCCATCGTTATGGACAGTATGATCATAATTTCTAGAGTAGCAGTGGCCCCATGCATTTGCAGTAAGTTTAACTTCTCCAGAAGCACATACGCTTTCAGCCGCTTTTGCCTCCAAAACAGGCAGGCCAAAAATTATATAATTCATATCAATACCACGACCAATCGGAGCAAATATTAAATTCCCAGCTGATATAGCTAGTTTTACTTTTAAATTAACTTTGACGTCTGTTTCGTAAGTGGCATAAGAGTGTTGTATTATAAGAGCACATGTAATAACTGTATGAATAGTATGACACAAGAAAGTCCTTTTGTCTGTTTTCCAAAGAGCTAGAAATGCATCACCAGCAAATTTAAGAATATCACCTCCATGACTGTAAATTAATTCTACTAGAGAACCGAGGTAAGTATTTAGTGTGACAGTAAGACGGTATGTGCCACCTTTTCCGGCGTTGTTGTATCGTTCTGATAAAGCTGTGTAACCAGAGACGTCAGCCATTAAGAGAACACCAACAAACCGTTTCGGTTCCATACTATCGAATCTGAAAATGCAAGTATTTTAATCTTTAAAGAGCCTATTATGCTAGCCATAGACGGAGTAGGTTTGTAAAAAAAATCCTTACTTTTTCATTAGTAATAATTCATCTGGGACTAATGTGGATAGTATAAGAGTTTGCTTTCTTGTTAAGTTTACTTCTGTGTCCTCAGGATCAGGTGCGTCAATTTCACTTTTTCTTTCAAAGAACTCATCGACCCAGTCTTTTATTTCATTATACTGTGGATCAGCATTATCATCGTCGGAATCTTCATTTAGATAGTAATCCTTACGTGATACCTTTCTCGTCTGTTGCCATTTCGCTTGGTTTCTCGATACGTTAATAGAAGTTCTGCGGGACCGCCTTCCTAGGAAATTCATGTTTTTTTGGAATTTTATTCTTCATTACATTAATTTTGTATATAGGTGTCCAAATAAATATATACACTTGCAACTTAATCTATTTGTCACTTAAAATCTATTTGGTCTCGAACTGTGATTTGTTAACGGGATCATATTTGTGAAAAGTTTAAAATATTGTCACAATCCACAATTGCAAAGATAAATTTAAAAATTATAAATAAAGTCTACTTGGGATTATATTATCAGGATGACAGACAAGTCAAAGATTACTTGCTCAGTGGACAAGTCTACGTGTACATGACAGAAATCGCAGACAGACAGTCACTCCAAAAAGGATATTACTTACGCTATATAAAATTATGGCAACAAACGTAGGTGACCATAATATTAGAAGAATATTTAGACTATTTTGTGTAATATGCGTTCAAACTGGGCAAAATTATTGAATGAAACACTTATTGAAGGAAGTTATTAGCGACCACGGATGAACATGTAAAAGATCTGAAACGGCAACAATATAAACCCACTAAAAAGCATTGGTAAGCGTGAAAAAATAAACATATGGACTAGATTAACGGAGAATACAATAAGATTTATAATTTTCAATATGATAATATTACATACTGTCGAATAGTCAGATCTCTATCTGAAGAAATGTTCTGTTGTGCATATGGATCCAACTAGCAACAAACATCTACCCGTGTGTTAAGAATGGACGCTTTTTGTGACTATGCACAGATGTCATCAATACCTCAGCCTTCTCATGTGAATTCATCCATGTGGACCTAATATAAGTTTATATCTGAGAATCTATGCCCTCAAAGAAATGTGGTAACTCATTTTTTGTCGTACTATTCGCAAGTGGAAGTCTTTACCCGCATACCTATACCATCCTTGCTACAATCTGGGGTCCATTAAGAAAGGCGTAAAGAAGCATTTCTGCAGGCCGGCAAGGTGAGGTTTGTTGGTGTGGCGGTTTACAACAGCTGTTTTCGCGTCTGCACTCTATCACCACTTAACATCAAGTAAAGTCATTTCCTTACCTAGATATAAAAAAGAAATGCATCATAGAGTAAATTATTCTACGACGAATAGGAGAAAAAAATGCTTAATATTATTATGCTCTTGAAATTAATAAGGTTGACATTGTGTTTTGTAGGTATACACATGCTACTTGTAGGTGTCCCGGCCGGGGGCGTCGCGGAATGGGTGCATCATTACGCCGAACCGCCGAATACTAGGGGCCGCCTGAAACTTTGTCTGCGTTAACTTAAGTCTTTGGAGAATCTCTCAGGAAACTAACAATTTCCCAGGATAAAAGGTGTCCTTTGTCTGATTCCAGGTTCTTAACCTTTGATGAAAACAAAAATTTATTTTAATCTAAGTTCTTAACTATAATTTTGCATCGTACCAAATTTCATCCATCCATTCATCCATACGGCAGTTTTAACGTGATTCAGACACACAGAAACATTCAAACTACATGAAAAGCAAAAATAAAATATTTATAAATATATCAGTAGAATCTAGTAGAGAAATCTATAAAATAGAAGTATAATTACTAACTTTCGAGTTAATAATCGGACTCACGGTCAAATCCAGTCATATAAAAAACTTCGGCACCGTCCAAAGACAAAAAAAATAAAAAAAATAAAGAAAAAGGTAAAAAAAATTAAAGAAAAAGCTCATAACATTGTCTTTGCAGCCTACTCTTCTACAGAACATGCCGTCTGCTTGTGGAACTCGATGCCAGCAGAAATCAGAGACAGTCAGACCATTTCTACCTTTAAAACTATTGAGGGAACACAGGTAGTGTTATATTGCCTTTTTATTTTCTATCCTTTCGTGGGTCTGCTGGAAGAAATTTTAATATGAAATAAGTAGTGCCTTTGTACTATCTATTGTTTTTTTTATTTTTGTGTGTGTACAAAATCAATAAATAACAAATATAGGCAAACTTTATAATTTATTTAGATAAGAATTCTTATCTTGTTTTAAGTCTATCAACTCAAAGAATTAAATTTTTCATACGAACTTCACCCCCTTTTAGAACCTTTTAGGGGTAGTTTTCGAAAAATCCAGATAAGTACACGTTATTGTTTGTTTCAGGTCTTTAGTAAAAAATACAAGTTTCGAGTTAATTGAAATGCGCGTTAAAATTTAACCATATAAATTTTCGACACTCTCCCAATGCTCTTTAAGCGGCTAGTTTAGGAAAATGAAAAATGACAAAGGACAATGGGCAAAACACACCCAGCTCCGCCAACAATGTAATTAATATGAATCGATAGATCTATGAAAAACTAGCCTTTTTATTATGATACCGTAAAAAAATATCCTGGTAATCAAAAGATATGACTCCGTAAAAAAATATCCTGGTAGTCAAAAGATATGACACATGGGCATATTTAAGCAGCTAAATAAATTCATTTTATAGTACCTTCATTTTATATTATTAGTAACCATAACAATATGCCATATCGTACTATACAATTAGATAAACGACAAAGCCTGTCGACAGTCCTGCGCTTACTTACTTACTTACTGAGACACCTCAAAATGGTTTACGGAGGTTAAAGGACTTGCAGTTGCAAATAGTCGACTCGTCTTACTTCGTTGTGATTGTGCGCTCCCTGTCACTTGATTGATTTTTATCTAACATTTTGTCTATTAGTATGGATGAACTGGAATCATGTTTTCTCCGAAGCGTGGAAAAGTTTGTGTGATTTGTGGTCGTTCCATTTTACATAGAAGACAATTTACTATAACGAACAGAATGTTTGAAGAAATCCCAACCCATGAGGGGAGTTTTAGATTTACTCTAGCGCGGCAGAATAACATAAGGGGGCACCCTTGCACCTTGTGAAGTACTCCCATAACTAACTTAATTAATTCCTTGTTTCATTAATGTTCGTTCTTTATAGTACTTGTACCTATTTAACTTAAATTAACTAAAGACCCCTGGGATAGAATTTGATGCGCTTTGGCACAGATGATCATGACTATAATACCTTTCAAACAAATGTAGTTTAAGCCGTGGCGGACGTGGATGCAGCGTCCATACATTTTTACCCAATGTCCTTTTATAACTAAATAATAAGTATTTCTAGCAAGTTTCAAGTCTTTAACCCAACTTATAAGATTATTAATACAAACTTTCATCCTCTATTTTAAACCCTTTGGGGGTGAATTTTGAAAGATTCTTTCTTAGTCCACGCCTAGAACTCATAGGGAACTTACGTACCGAATTTGGAGGCTCTAGACCCAGCGGTTTGGGCTGTGCGTTAATATGTCAGTCAGTTTCTTCTTTTATTTTTAGATATACCGCATCTTAAGATGATGACGATTATCAACGGGGTGTGGTAGTTTGCCACACTTTTCACTTAAAAATAGCGCTTTGTAATTCTGCTTAATATGTAAGAGCTGCGCCTCAACAAAGTATTATGTGTAATCACAATAACCTTCTATGGTACTGCAATTTATTAAGATGATAATTTCAAAAGATTGTTTATTAAAAGTTGATTAAGGACGGAAAGATAGTAAGTACTGTGCGTAGCACAAGGTACTAATTAACGTAACTAACGATAAGGGAGCAATACACCCGTTAATTGTGCAATAATGGCATCGTTAACGCATTTACTAGTCGTCGCAATTGTCATTGGCACCCGTCCGTCGCGGTAATTAACACGTTCACACATAATGAGTAATGGAGATGTTGACGACATTTTACAAGTTTATAAATTGGTTCATGTCTGTTTTTGGTCGGCGGCCGCCACCGCTCATATTTAGTTTACTTTTTCACTTTCAGTAATTTGAGGTTAATAAATTGTTACTTATTTACACAGCTTTTTAAAAAAAATACATCTTTCTTGATACTACTCAAAAGTTTCAACTTTTTTTGTAGTCAAAATTAGCTGAATTTTTTTTTACCTTAATAAAACGCCATAAATAGCTATCACTAAAGAAAGTACAAAATTTAACGATCTCGGATCGAACACGTAAACCACTATCGAGCTATAGGTACTACTATAAGTAGCTAAGTCTCCTAAATCAGTAACGTATTACTGATTTAGGAGACTTCAATTTCTCTTATAATAAGACCTTCACCAAGGTTAGCAAATGTACATTGTTAAAGTTGGTTTAGGTCTTACTTAACGTCCGAAAAGAAAAGTTGCCAGCAACAGAATAATCTCCTGAAGTTGAATTATATATACTTAATAGTCAGTTTTTTTTGAGGTAGGCAAATAATTTGACCCCACCTGATGTTAAGTGGTGATAAAGTCCAAACGCGAAGATATCTGGTACAGCAGTTATAAACTGCTACACCAACCATCGTCACCTTGCCGGCCTGTAAAAATGCTTCTATGTTAAGTATGAACGGAAAGTTTGCTAGAACACTACAAATGTCCTTTAAACCCAATCTGCAAAATCCTGTATAAAATTCAACACCCACACAAAGCGAGGAGCATGGAAAAATTCTACAAACCACCACGCCGAACGCACATGTATGTAGGTACTGTCAACAACAGGCCAAGCTAACCAAAACTTGCATTTCCAAGTGACTTTTACCTTTATTTAGTTTAGAAATAAGATTCACAATTGGTTGAGCTTTGAGGCTGTACTTAGTCGAGTGCATGGCAGTTAATGCTTCGGATACATAATAAACTTACGGCTATCGTAGCATGGTCTCGCTTACACTACACAGCCACTACAGACAGTGCCGTTGTAACATTTGCCTTGCCCGCACTGTTCTAATGTTGACCGTACAATAAAACGACAATGGAGACGAACGGGCATACGTTTTTGAGGAAAGCCTTAAAGATTGTGGAGGAGGAGAAAGCACAGACACCACTAGTTCGCTTCAAACACCCCAAGGAGTTAGAGGTCAGTGAAACTTCTTCTTATTTTTTTTGTTTTAAGGGACTTTCGGACCAAATTGTCCATACCAGCCCCATCGTAACCTAACCATACAATTTTCTTAAAATTACTTAATTATTACATAAAATTTTTTGCTACCATATTGCAAAGCACACCAGCCCCCTCCGATAGGGGGTTGGCTAGGATGCCCTGCTATATGCCAGTTTCAAACCTATTAATTTTAAGGATGGAGAATGCATGTCTCCTTTTCGCTTCATTTTTAGCGCATTTCATAGTGAAACTTCTATTTTGTAAAGGATTTTCAATAAAGAAGAAGTTTCTTATAATTCGTTCAAATAAGGAATATAAAAAAGGACAATTACATCTTGCCATGCCCTAAATAGCCGGCCTTTTCTGGTAAAAATAATTCATGTGCAATAAATGAATTGGCGAGATGAGAGATAGAGCAGAAATAGGTATTTGAAAAAAATATTGCTGTCGCGCATTTGTAAATACCGTGCCATAGGTACAAAAGGAGCTAACGCTGAAAATTGAGCATAAAAATGGCAAAATTCGAGTTTTGCTCTCGATAATTTCCTCCTCGAAATTTAGATAAGTATACGTAAACCCGAATACGGGCTAACAACTAAATGTAATTGCAGCATAAAGAAACGTACAGTCCGTATCAAAACTTTATTATTCGTTTGTAATAATGGGAGGTATTAGTTATTGTATGTAAGAGCCGCCATTACATTACATGCCATACACGGGCAGCTTGAAGCAGTCGAGATCGACTGCTACAGTCTTCGAAGTACACACATACACTGACCGCTTGAGCAGATATTAATGGCAACTTCAACCTGTTGAGTCTGACCGCTCGAGCAGTCCGTCTATGACCGCTCTAACCTGCGGGGCTATTCTGTAAAATTCTAACGTTCCCCGTATAGATTCGGATCCGATGCGGTTCCGCGCGACACCGGCTGGGGTCCAAGTGTTTTTGATGTGTAATTTAAATAGATTAGTCATACAAATATTATAAAGAAATAAGATTGAGCTATTATTGGGACGTGCAAAGTTTTTGCTAAAAACAAAAACTAACTATATAAACCGCTAGATTCAATATTGAAATGACGGTGCTGGCTGGGTCAGTTTTAAACCCAATATTTGCGCACGCACAGACGAGTTCATTAATATTTTGTGAGCGTGTAAGGTCTTTGTCATCTATACTATTATATAAAGAGAGAAAAGGATAGGTACACTGACACTGGTGACCTAATGAACTGAAATTATTATCTTGAACCAATTGCTTCCAAAGGCAAATTAATTCTGCTGCATATGCAGTCGATGGCTCCCACCAATCCGCGCAAGGCCCTAGTACTGGGCCATGCCATGACACTTCTCCCCATTCCATCTAACTATGACCCGTGGGAATAAATAATAGGTTAATGATGATGATAAAATATAAACTATATATTTTACTGTGTAATATAAGGTACAAAAATCGGCCAAGTGCGAACCAGTCTTATGAATGAAGGGTTCCGCACCTACCATTAATCTCTGAAATATTAGAGACAATATAAATATCGATCAAAAAACGGCAAAAATATCACGTCTAATTCCTACTCAACGAGATCTAGACAATGATGTGTCACATTGTTACTCGGGTGAAAAAGAAAAATAATATAGTCTGCTTATCGCTTACGGGAAAATATTTTTATAACTGAGTTTCTAACTAATAATAATTATTAGTTAAAAATATTACTCGGCTTTGCATTCCACATAAAATACCAAAATTTCAGTTCTGTAAGTAACTCATTTTATTAACGATCTAAAGACCCGTGATATACGGGCAGATAGCCGACAGATTGACAGCAGAAGAGAACACTATGTTCTCTTTTTATCCTGTTGTATCCAGTAAGGAACCTTAAAATTTTATTTGTCATATGTTATTAAACCGACCTAATGCATGGCGTGCTATAAATATAAGCTACAACTTATCTTCGGCCAGTCTCTTTGTTCTCATAAACCTGTTTATTAGCATCTTCTTGGTCCATTAGGGTCACTCAAGGAGGACGTTTGTGATTTACGATAACTTGTTATTAAACTTAAAGTAAAAAAAAGATTACTTAACTCAACACCTATTAATTTGGTAGCAGTTTCTTTTTTATTTTAAAAGGGTTGCAAATAAGCATTTGAGCCGCTTTATGGTAAGCGTCCACCATTGCCTATAGACGCTTCCGATACCAAAAACATCACTTGCACCATTGCCTACCCTGACGCAATCCCCTGCCCCGTGGAGCCCTGGAACCTTAGTCACGGACAGAAACAAAACACCATTACAATGTAGTGTTGTTTTACTGTGCTCTTATGTAGGAGGTGACTTCCGCAGACGGGCGCTCCAATTCGTGCGGGAAATCCTCTATTCTGTTGAGCAATTATAATTTAGATTCGTTATTTTTACAAGGCTTTTTGATTTCAAGCATTGCTAGATTTTCATATCTAAACAAAATTTTATACCAAAAAAAATCATTTCGGCCTAGGTCTGGCTTGCCTGTTTAATTCGGTCCGATGTGAATTTGAGTAAGCATAGACTTGAATATTCTCTTGTAAAATATTCTTTTAATAATAGAACCAGCACTCCTTGATTTGGACGTGAGTAGAGAATCTGAGCAGGCCGCTCTAATCAATCGATTCTTTGTTGTATCATAGACAGTTGGTCCGAGTTCAATATCATCTGGAAAATAAAATCATCATCATCTATCATCTAATAATGAATTCCAGGCCCTCCTTGATTTGGATGTAAGTAAAGGCTCCACAGTCGCTAAGCAGGCCGGCCTAATCAATCAAGTCTAACTTGTATCTTAGAAAGTTCTTTCGAGTTGAACATCTTCTTAAAAAATAAATAAATATATATGTAAAGAAAATATAACTAGAAAAAATTCCACGCGGACCAGGCAGCAGACGGGACTCGAACCCGCACCCTTCGCAATCCGGGCGAATGCACTGACCAATTATGCTACCGCGGCCCTCACGGACCGCGTCGAAATTCTTTCTAGCTATTCTTAAGCTGCAAGGCAGCGCCATCTCTTCGCATTATAGGTAAACCCACAATGTCAAATGAATACTTTTACAAGTATTAAACATTTGAAAGAAGAAATAGCAATTATAGTTATAATTTTTATTATTTTTAAAGCATGTAACTGCTTGATGTTTAAATCTAAAGAAAATATAACTAGAAAAAATTCCACGCGGACCAGGCAGCAGACGGGACTCGAACCCGCACCCTTTGCAATCCGGGCGAATGCACTGACCAATTATGCTACCGCGGCCCTCACGGACCGCGTCGAAATTCTTTCTAGCTATTCTTAAGCTGCAAGGCAGCGCCATCTCTTCGCATTATAGGTAAACCCACAATGTCAAATGAATACTTTTACAAGTATTAAACATTTGAAAATTTTTCTAGTTATATTTTCTTTAGATTTAAACATCAAGCAGTTACATGCTTTAAAAATAATAAAAATTATAACTATAATTGCTATTTCTTCTTTCAAATGTTTAATACTTGTAAAAGTATTCATTTGACATTGTGGGTTTACCTATAATGCGAAGAGATGGCGCTGCCTTGCAGCTTAAGAATAGCTAGAAAGAATTTCGACGCGGTCCGTGAGGGCCGCGGTAGCATAATTGGTCAGTGCATTCGCCCGGATTGCGAAGGGTGCGGGTTCGAGTCCCGTCTGCTGCCTGGTCCGCGTGGAATTTTTTCTAGTTATATTTTCTTTAGATTTAAACATCAAGCAGTTACATGCTTTAAAAATAATAAAAATTATAACTATAATTGCTATTTCTTCTTTCAAATGTTTAATACTTGTAAAAGTATTCATTTGACATTGTGGGTTTACCTATAATGCGAAGAGATGGCGCTGCCTTGCAGCTTAAGAATAGCTAGAAAGAATTTCGACGCGGTCCGTGAGGGCCGCGGTAACATAATTGGTCAGTGCATTCGCCCGGATTGCGAAGGGTGCGGGTTCGAGTCCCGTCTGCTGCCTGGTCCGCGTGGAATTTTTTCTAGTTATATTTTCTTTAGATTTAAACATCAAGCAGTTACATGCTTTAAAAATAATAAAAATTATAACTATAATTGCTATTTCTTCTTTCAAATGTTTAATACTTGTAAAAGTATTCATTTGACATTGTGGGTTTACCTATAATGCGAAGAGATGGCGCTGCCTTGCAGCTTAAGAATAGCTAGAAAGAATTTCGACGCGGTCCGTGAGGGCCGCGGTAGCATAATTGGTCAGTGCATTCGCCCGGATTGCGAAGGGTGCGGGTTCGAGTCCCGTCTGCTGCCTGGTCCGCGTGGAATTTTTTCTAGTTATATTTTCTTTAGATTTAAACATCAAGCAGTTACATGCTTTAAAAATAATAAAAATTATAACTAAATATATATGGTTTCCAGGCAATTATTATAAAATAATAATATAGCTGTTTCCAGGACCTCCTTGATTTAGACGTCAATAAAGACAATACACGCGCTGAGCAGCAGTATCATTCCCTTAGAAAAAACTCAATTTCACCGCGGAACGAAAAAGTGTCACGTTCCGCCTCAGCCTGAGCGTGCAAGGGAGAGCGCGGAACAAGCGATAGAGAGGCACAGTCGACCCTAGCGTCGGCTTGTACCAAAGGCTTGTACACATTTATCACTCTTCTCGCGTGACGTCAGAGCTAGCAATTATGCAATTTTTTATCAATGTTTCTTTATGACGTTATCACGTTAAATTATCGTCCGCAAACCAACTTAACAGACAACCTCTTTTTATTCGTTTTCTAATTTTAAATCACTCCGCGGATTCCGAGGTGAATAGTGACTTTGTTGTTACAGAAAAATATCAAAAGCCGGCCTAATCAATCCATTCTAAGTTGTATCTTAAATTCGTCCAAGTTAAATATCTTCTTGTAAAAGTTCCTTCTAATAATGGATTCCAGGCTCTCCTCGATTTGGACGTGAGTGAAGGCGCCACAGACGCTGAGCTGGAGCTATGCGTACGTCAAGTATTGCAGCACAGCGTGAACACAAGCAGGCCTACCTTCAGAAATCAGCTGTACGGGGGCACTGACCCTTATGGGCTGTCAGGAGCCTGGATCGCAGAGGCTTTCAACACTAGCCAGTAGGTACCATATAACAAATTATAGTATCCGAGTGGAGAAGTAACTTTCGCCTTACATAATACCACACTAAAATTACACTAGCTTTTGGTGGTATTTGGCGTTTCTGTTAATGTGTGGTTCCAGGGCTAAGCAGAGTAGACGCGGAAGAATCCCTAAACGGGGATCCCGCAGTTTCGCACTAAGCAGGTTAGATGGTATACGCAGGTTTTTTTAGCAGATATTATGCCGTAAAGCACCCGTAAGAGTTACGGGGCCCTTAGTGGGCAGCCACTGCTGGGGCTCGTGAAGCTTGCGGAAGCCAGGTGTGAGGTCCGTGCGGCGGTGTGCCTCTTAAAGGTGCCGTCGTCTTTAAACAGTATTTTTTGCCTGCGTATAAAAAAAGGGCTAAGCAGAGTAGGGGATTTGGGTCAGTGTATGCAGGTGCGAGTGATAGCTTTTGTATTGCAAGCGTCTTGATAGGCTATGGTGGCCGTATAACATCAAGCAGGCTATTAAGTTGTTTGCTACCGTTTTAACATAAAAAACATGACTTTTTAGATAAAGTAAAAAGAATAAACTAAATTTGAAATATATATATATGTATATATAACCGTTTGTGCGTTTGTCTCCAATTTTAACTGTTAGGAAGCGACTGACCTGTATGACCTATATCAGGCCTCTGGATCGAATAGACGTTCAACTCTAGCCAGTAGGTAACAAGGAGTAATATTGTAGAATTTTCTTTTTGATCATCATCATCATCAGCCTGTTAATTGTCGCCACTCCTGGGGCACAGGCCTTCCCTATGAATGAAATAGGGAGATTAGGCCATGACACCACGCAGGCCACATGCGGATTGATGGGTGCTAACAACTGCAGTTGCAGCCGGTATCAATGGCTTAACGTGCCTTCCGAAGCACGAAGGAGCTCGAGATAGTAAATTTTTGGTCACCCATCCAATGACCGACCACTGCGAAAGATGCTTATCTTCAACGATCGCAGCCGAACTCGCTAACCACTTGCTCCATCGAGTTCGCTCGAATTTTCACACTCACAGAAGAATTATATATATAAAGATTAATGTGTTTGTTCGTTTGTTTTGGATTACCCAATAGAGTTGCATTATACTCCCAATTTTACCTAATATATTTATTATTTTTATATGGAAAAGCATTGAGGTGTAACTAGTTAGGTAAGTTAACAAAGTTGCAAGTATGCACTAGCAGGTTATATTCAAATTATTTAATACGGACTTGTTTGAAAAGTTGTTTACCTTTGCGCCACTTGATACTGTACCTATAGGAATTTCAAATGAGCCTAGAGTAAGTACCTACTACTTGTAAAACTTTACTTAGCCCTTTATAAAATAATCACGATCTAAACGCAGCGATGGATGGAGGATGTAGCTCTACATTCCGTATAGCGTTGTCTCTCATTCAGTTCAAGTCAATTGAATGTTGGTCAAGGATTGCTGGATAGCATAAAATATTTTAATCTTCCACACGTTCCACATTATCAATGTGTTGCGTGGCTATCCACAACCATGCCGATCAGTCAGGTGAGCTGTTTGCTCGTATGACCCATAAAATATAACAAAAAGCAAATTGAAGAGTTTATACATGTTATTATGTGTCTGTTTTTTCTGATGGCATGTTAAAAATGTATACAGTGCCTTAGTCTTTGAACAGATTATAGATATAAAGGGAGGATCTTGAGGAAGTCACTCTTTTAAAATTGTAGAAGATTCTTATGGAAATAAACAAGAAAGTTGCGCGAAACTAAAGTTAACGGGGATGAAGAAGCGAGTGGAAGCTAGTTAAATATACTTAATACCTACATCGCTGACAACGGCGTGGCATCCTTTCGTAATTTTGTAAATGGTAAAAGTTTCGTGCATTAACCCGTAAAAACTAGTTTTATTTAATGAGCGATGTGCGTGAAAACCTAAGAAACAAATTTGTGAATGGCGTTTGTTTATAAGTATATCTCGTATTCTCTATTCCAGGTACACCTTCGAGGTGGCTCCCGCTTTCACATTGATCGAAATGAAGATGCTCCACCACATTTTGGATCTATTCGGTATACCCGATGGTGACGGGATCTTCAGTCCCGGTGGGAGTATGTCATTGCTGTATGCAGTAGTTGCTGCCAGGTTTAAGGCATTCCCCAATGTCAAGAGTCAGGGCATGAGAAGTTTGCCCGAGTTGGTTTTGTTTACTTCTGAAGATGTAAGTTTGGAAATTCATTGAGGATTTTAGATAATCCAAAAAGTTGCCAATCTATTTGTTGTGGAGTGGTGGCTGACTGCTTGTAGAAAACGTAATCATTAATAATAAATAAATATTGTTCACAATAAGAGGAAAAGTGAAAATAACGATTACCTAAAATTACCTAATATGTCAAGTAACTAGCGGAAACGAGCACCCGACAGCATAGAACAACATGGCCGATGCCCGAAAGATGATGTTCTGCCCGATAAAAATATCAAAAAATCGCATTTCAGTGTCAAATTGGAATTAAGAATATGTAACAATTACATATTCTCTTCTACCTTTCTATTATTTAAATTGAAAGTCGAATCATATTACTTCGTAATTGATTTTAAAGTATCTACGTAAAATAGAATAACTCCAATATTACTATCACAGATTACTTTAACCGGCTCTTGCTAAGTAAAAAAAAATGTTACATGTGACATTTTTTTTTTACTTAGCAGAGCCGGTTTCATTAATCTCTTGTATTCCATTGTATCATTCCCTGAAATTATCAATTTCAGAGCCATTATTCAATAAAGAAAGCTGCACACTGGCTAGGATTTGGAACCGAAAGTGTGAAGGTTATAAATACCAACAATGAAGGACAAATGTCGCCATCTGAACTGGAAGATGCTATAGAGAGGGAACTAGAACTAGGCAGAAGACCTCTGATGGTCAACGCCACCGCAGGAACAACCGTACTCGGAGCTATTGATGAATTGGAGGCCATAGCTAAAGTTTGCCAGAAGTTTAATGTTTGGATGCACGTTGATGTAAGTAAAATTAGATGGTAAATCGCAAGATAGGTCTACTTATCTAACTTTTACCTCTACCTATGGTAAAATTAAATTATTTTTTGGTATTAATGGATAAACAGAATTGTACAGAGGAACACGTTCTCTCGCTGTCGTGAGGAGAAGATAAGCCAATTAAAAAAACACTTTACGAGAATGATATCATTAAAAATGTATTGGTAAATTTTCAGGCATGCTGGGGTGGAAGTCTGATGTTATCTCCGCATCAAAAGTTAAAATTGAAAGGCATTGAAAGGTAAGTGATCAAACGATTTTAATTATACCCTTCTCTCGCGGCCTCTATATCTGAAGATACAAAGTTAATCTCGTTTTGAAATAACCCTATAATTATTGGTAGCTGTCCACTATCTGCGAATTTTCCCACCTGGAAAATTCTATTTTTCTTTAGGGCGTATCTAACAGAGCATTAAGAGAGCAAGCATAACATGCTAAGGGCAAAGCATTCCCCGTATCGGATGAGTGGGCAAAATTTTATCATCTCGAAATCAACTGGGCTTCGGAAGGCACGTTAGCCGTTGGTACCGGAAGCATCTGCAGTCGTTAGCTCCCACCATCTATTGTCAGGTCGTGCCCCAATCTTCCTATTCCATCCATAAGGAAGGCTTGTGTCCCAGCAGTGGGATATTTAAAGGCTGAAAATGATGATACTTTATAGCACCAATAGAGCCGTCATCCTCTCTTTCGGCAACGTGTGAGTGGTATTCTTGATGCTGCAAGTGTCTATGGGCGACTACTTACCATCAGATGGACTGACAGCTCGTTTACCTGCATTAACATAAAATAAAACAATTCCTTTAATATTTGTTATCAGAGCAGACTCGATATCGTGGAACCCACACAAGATGATGGGCGCCCCGCTGCAGTGCTCAGTGTTCATGGTACGCGAGCGCGGCCTCCTGCACGAGTGTAACTGTGCGGCCGCCCAGTATCTGTTCCAGCAGGACAAGTTCTATGATGTGCGCTATGATACGGGGGACAAGAGCGTGCAGTGCGGGAGAAAGGTGCTTTGTTATGATTCTGTTATTGATGTGTGAATAGTGATTTATTTATTTATTTTATTCTAGACAAAAATCCACAGCATTTTTTTAATATAATACAGACTTTTTAGAAAATCCTCTACCAAACAACGGCGAGATATGTGCAATGTGCGCGCGCCATGTACATGTGTGTGTGTATATATGTATGCATGTATATGTGTTTCATTTTTGTTTGTATATTACCAAGCAACCAACAGCCCTAAAAGTTGTTTTTTAAAAATTGCTTTTATTTGTTTATCTTTTTTTGATGCGTGATGTTTTTTAGATTCCAACCAGCAGGACAAATTCTACGACTGACGTGCGCTGTGATGATAACCTTATCCTGGGTATAAGAGCATGCAATACGGTAGAAAGGTGTATTGATAGAATTGATGTTGTTTATTGATGATGTGTGAATGGTGAGGTTTTGAGTATTCTCGACAGTGAATCTGTTCCAGCAGATAAGTTCTATGAAGCACGGGCAGTGCGGTAGAAGGACCGGTTGGGTAGAGTTATATTCATGATGTATGAATGGTGATGTTGTTATTGTAGTATCCAGTGCAATATAGTGTTTTACGAGTGCAACTTTGCAGCCGCTTAGTATCTGTTCCAACAGGTCAAGTTCTATGACGTGCGTTATGACACGGGGTATAAGAGCATGCAGAGCGGTAGAAAGGTGGGTTGATGATGACTGTAAAGATGATATCGCAGTAGGCAGCCCAGTATTTGTTCCAGCAGGACAAGTTCTATGATGTTCGCTACGGTATGGGCGATAAAAGCGTAAAAGTTAGAAAGGTGGGTTAATGATGGTTGTGAATGGTGATGTGTTAGGGTAACACTTATACGGATCCGAACCTTTATAGGATATCCTTGGTATCAGTCCTTGCGTCTGTGTAGATCTTTTTTCTCACGAACATGTGGAGATATCAAGTTGAAATAATCACTTAAATATAAATTCTTCAGAAAAATGTCTGCAGATGTTTCGATACTTTCAGGTGCATTCACTCTTTAAATTTCTTAAGTGAGCCTTCTAAAGTCTATTCCCACCAAGTTTAAACCTCAACCCCCTTATTAATAAACAACGAATGAGATTGGATTAGTTACTCTATATTTTGTTACTGTTATGTTTAATACAGTAAGATGTTTATTGTATTTTTGGTTAAAATATACTAACACGTGTATTTGTATTAGTAAATGTATTCTGTCCGTTCATTCATCCCGCATACTAACTTTAACTTTATTAGTAAATCATCTCTTAAAAAACCGAATTTGTTAAATAACGTCGATCTACGGCTATTGTTGATGGAAGTTCTATTAATTTATATGTCACTTAAGAAAGTGATCTGTTATACAAGTTATTGTTAATTGCTGTTTCCTTATTTCCAGATAGATGCTTTTAAACTATGGATGATGTGGAAGGCTCGGGGCGATGCCGGGTTGAGCAAGCTCACCGACCACACCATGAATATCGCCCGTTTCTGTCGGAACACAGTGGCACAAACCGCTGGCTTCAGGCTTGTCACTGCGGAAATGCAGTGCCCCAACGTATGCTTCTGGTATATACCGACTTTCATGAGAGAAAGGGAAGAGGATGATGGATGGTGGGATCTGATGCATAAGGTATTTTATTTCAATGATTTTGAATGTCGATTTGAAGGTTATCATATTTATCCCCAGCTGGTATCCCCGGCACGGCCTTCCCTATGGATGGAATAACGAGAATGGGCTATGATAGACCACGTGGGTCTAATGCCGATTGGTCGGTGCTTATTACTGCGTATGCAGGCAGGACCAACGGCTTTACCGCCATCTGAAGCACGGAGGAGTTCAAGATAGTAATTTTTTGATCACCCATCCAAAGTCCAGGTACTGCGGAGTTTGCTTAACCTCCACAATCACAGACCGAACGTGGTTATCACTTGAGCTCCTGTTGTCGATAATATTCGTGTAAAATTACAAGCAGCCGTTGTGGTTAGTCGACCGGGTTCCGAGGAGTACTGTTTTATACAAATATAAACTTTAATGGCTTACTATTTATTTAGTTGCATAGAATTTCGACAAGAGAAGAATCGAAAATTATGCGTGCGAAATTTATGCGAAACTTAAATGGTTGCCCAATACACTGGGAGCGAAATTATTTTCCCAAGAGCTAGGAATATAAAGTACTATCTATGTACATTATTACACTATTATAGACCCCTGATAGACTTTAACAATGTGCATTTGAAAATAAGCTCGGGTGTTACTGTTGTTTTAAACCAGAAAACATAGTTTTATTTTCATCTTAGCCAAAGCTGTTGGCTCCTACGCACGACTAGCTGTTTTTTAGATTAATTAAAGTTGAGTATTTACTGCTTCAAGAAGAATTATATTACTCAACTCCAATGACAAATTATGATTATTTAAGAAATACAGATTCAGTTATTTTTTTGATATTAAAATATAAGACACGTAGACATTTTCGTATTTTTCATTTATTTTTTCAACAGGATTTGCAGTTGAAAAAATAAATGAAACTATTCTGCTATGGAGGACAGTACATTTATACATATATATAACATGTAACATAAAAGAAATGAAGATTTTCACACAGATAACACCGAAGATCAAAGAGCTGCTGACACTGTCATCTCAGCTGATGGTCGCTTACACGCCTTTAAGGAATTACAAGAACTTCTTCAGGTTGGCCTTCACCTTTCATCCGGTCATAGATGAAGACCACGTCCTCAACATGCTGCGAGCTATCCAGGAATGCGGGGAGAAAGTCACTTTAGAAATATTATGATTGAAGTGCTTGAAAGAATTTAGCCGTACCTAAAATTTAAATTACAATGCCATAATTTTCATTATATAAATGTACATTTACTTTTGTTATAAAGAAATAAAATCTAATATAAAGAAATCTGGTTTCGTTATAATAAGTGATGTGAGAGAATTAATAGAGAAATGTAGGTTCATGAAAAAACAGTAACGGTTAATGTATGAGGAATATATACCTATATAGATAGGCTACTTGTTTCATCTGTAATTGAATTTGACTTTTGTCAAATATTTATTTTTTCTGTAGTATTGTAACTAAAAGTTAAATTTAACTAAAGATGAAACAATAAAGTCTTAATGTTCTGACTAACTCTTGTGTCCACCCCAACTCAACCACACCTCAAAGACAGCAACGAGTAATGCAAAAGGAAATCTAGTTTTAATGTTTTAAATAGGTCGTTATCATTGCACGTTGCCTTGTATTCAACCCAACCCAATAACAGCTAAAAAAACGAGCGAGCCTTGTGCATGCAGTAACTTTCAAGATCTGGTACATGAGTGGTCCACCGCTGCCACCCTGAAGAAGAAACGAAACAAATAAAGAATACAACAACTGACTTTTTATGACATTTAATTTATTGGACTCCTCAGTGTGCAGCCTTTAGTATTTTAACAAAGTTCTCAGAATAGCACTTTATCCTGTATCCAGCAGAAGTAGGTTCTTGTCGATGCGGGTGTAGGTAATGTTTTATTAAAGTCATTAGAACACGTTGTCATGTATCCAGCTGAGATTCTTGTCGACGCGGGCTTAGGTAATATTTTGACCAAGTCCTCAAAATTGCACGTTCTCCTGTATCCAGCCGAGATACTTGTCGACACGCGCGTAGATGCCGGGGCGGCCGGGCTCGCCGCAACCCTTGCCCCAGGACACCACCCCCACCACGGTCCAGCGACCGCTCGGCATCTGGTACATGAGCGGTCCGCCGCTGTCACCCTGAACGAGGAAAAACAATTAAAAGTTGCAGGTTGCAGCTTGCCTTTTGTTTATAAACAGCTGCTTGTCAGCATTCGCGTTAGACTGGGCGCACTTGGACGGTTTCCTGATTGGGAATGCCAATACGGAAACCTGAATGCACGTCCTTACTTACAATATGTTCAATAAGGCGCACACTATTCTTATTTTTTCAGAATAGAAAAAAACGAAACGTCTGCGCTAGTTTGGCGGGATTCTGAATCAGTTCCTGATCAGGAAACGGAATCAGGTAACCGTATATGTGCACACCCAGCCTTATGTTCTATTCTGTCAGTGTTACAATTACAAACAAATTAATTACAATATAGTAGTGAACATCATTAGTTAGAACTTATTTACAACTTTTGAAGACACACGGAAGATAAGCAACTCGCGCTATAGCCACTCATCGCATGAGTGGCCATAAGTGTTTTATCTTGAATTCTTCCGAGCTTTGTAAGGCACATGTCATTTGTCACGGTTTATTTAGCTCCCACTAATTCACCCTATTCGACCCTCAAGGCTGCCTGCCCGCCGGAGCGGAGGAAAGGAGAAATATTAACCAAAAAGATTGCACAGAATCTGCCCCCCCTCCTTCAGTGGACAGATTTTGTGCCATCCTATTAGTTAATATTTCTCCGTTTCTTCGCTACGCATTCTCCCTTCGTTCCGGTGGATAGGTAGCCTTAGAAAGGACTATGCTCCAGCAGTGGTGATGACGATACCTGACAAGAATCTCTGCCTCCTTGAGGAAATCCTGCGCAGATGCTTTCCTCGAATATAGCGTCTACGAACGCCTCGACGCAATGCTCGTGCGCCCACACCGGGACTGACACCTCCATCAACACGTTGCTGTGAGCACCACCGAAGTGTTGCGTACCCCATCCTGGAAAACCAATAAAATTATTACTCTCTAAAATTTTAAAATAGTAATCTCACCGTAGAGACGGTTCATATATCATCTGCAATTTTTAGAATTACATGCTAGTTGCTATACAAACTGTTTTTTAAGATGTATTAAGAATATATATTCTAATATTTTCATCAAGAGCAAGAGAGTTTTAGAATGATCTAAGATAGATTCAGCCCAATTATACAATGGATTCACGTCTCTTGTCGATTTTGATTCGATTCTTTTGGATAGATCTTTCTCTTTTTTCTCTAATTACTCCCGAAGGCCTCGTAAACGCTTACCAATAACGTAAACCCTTTGATTAGTCATATTGAGTCCCATGGGCGGCAGGCAGATGGGCCACACGTAAGTGTTGAGGACTGCAGCACGGTTCAGCTTGAGAATCGCGATATCGTTGTGGTAGTTGGGCATCTCGAAGCCGGGGTGCTGGCGTATCTCCACCACTCGGAAGTCGTAGGAGCGGGAGTCATTGTTACGCGTGAAGTCGTATTCACCCAGACGGACGTATAGTTCTTCCGCTTTCCATCTGTAGTAGGAATTCGTACAATATTTATAGGTGCTTATTAGGCATAACATTATATACTTTGCGAAGTGGCAGTCCTGGCAAATCACACTATCCTATCTCGTGTTTATCGTGAATGGAGTCGAAACTTGAGGAAAGCAGAGACTTGTCAACTTTTCGAAAAACGCAGACATATTCACGCTCCGGATTTTTATTGGAATCGTTCTGTGTTTTTGCCAATTTCTGAACAGATGATATAATAACAAAAACACAAATTGGGTTCGCTAATACATAAGGGTAATTAAATAGTGACCTTTATCGTACTTTTCGTGGGTAATAAATTTTCGTGAGTAATAAGAGGGAAGAATGAAAGAAAAACGGGACCAGTGTAGAAGAAGAAGACTAGCCTCCTATGAAAGAAATCCATTTTTCCCTCAACAAGAACAGAAGAAGAAGACTTACCTCCTTGTGCAGTGTGCGGCAGTGAGCACATGCCTCTCGGTGATAAGGGTACCCCCGCAGTACTGCATGAAGCCCTGGGGCGTGATGGACGCCATCCAGGGCCATTCCCGAGGGTTGGTGGGTCGAACACCTACTTCGTTTACCTGCGACCTTGTGCTTAGCCCGCAACCTAACAAACGGTACATTCAACAGTACTTCATATCTACAAACTACTGAATTTGACTTAAAGGACCTAGTCAGGAGGACATATTTAGAAAGATCAACAATCCAATTGAAATCCTAATGTATAAAATACGTTTGACACTTATAATTTCAGATACTGTTTGGGTATACTACTGATGGTAATTGGAATGAAACACATTTTTTTAAAACAGAGACGTTTAATAATAATTACGGACCTCTGTTCTCTGCCCTCTTCACCTTGAGAATAGCCTCCATGTTTTCCTCTCTTGGAGCTGTGGCGGGTAGATCACCAGCTAAACTCCTCTCATTGAGATCTGCTAGTTCATCCGGGCAGCACACACCGATAGATCTGTATAAACATGAATATGATTAGGAATATTTCAGACAAGAGATCACTGAGATTTAGGCATAATATAATTCTTGAAAAAAGTCTGCATTAGGAAGTATCTAATAATATCGATTAATACTGAACCGGGAAATTGTAGCTATATTCCAGAAGTACTCTGCATCAATCACGATATTTTTAACAGAAGTTCTCACAAAAATATCGTGGAGATGCCTAAAACAAAGTAATTCAACAACTATGTTTGCTATATTGCAACTAACTATGTTGCAACTCAAGCTAAATATATAATAGCTTGAGTTGCTTCCCATTAAGATTTCAGTGCTTGCATAGATACCTACCAGGTGCGCTAGAGTTTCAGACTTCAGTCATAGCGAAACTCGTGTCGTTTTTATTTAAGATATATGAGAGGTGACTTCGTTTTTGTCTTCGCATAGAGGAAATGTTTACGTAGCATGTCTAAATTCTAGTGACTACGTATACAAATATTAACATACAATACATGTTAATGCTGCGTGTGCTGATAAGAAAGTATCTGAGAACACATTGACATTGAGACGACTACAATCTATATACTTTTTATGTCGGCATTACGTCTACTCTCCTGCTTGATACTTACGACCGTTGTATGATGCAAAGGTAGTCAAGGAACTTGCTGAAATCTGACTTGAACTCGTTCTGTACGCAGTGGTTCAGGTGCCTGCAGTGGCCCGCTTTACCGTTGGGCATCATGCAAGCTTGATGGGCTACATTAGGCTGTTAAAAAACATTAAGTAAAGTAGCAGATAACATTCCAAACAAATTATTTATATTTATGGATTTAAAGAGAGGTAGGGCTCAGGAGACCTTGTTAGTGGATGTTTACGCTCAAATTGGAACCCCGTCTGCGGAAGTAACCATCACATTACAAAAGACAACAGTGAAAAAGTGAAAAAACTTTTGGTGGTGTTGTCTTTCTGTTGGTAAGTAAAGTTAAAGTGTTTCATATGGTAGGAGATTGAGTTCAGAGAAGCTAGGTGCTAATGCCTGATGCGGTATTTTTTCCGCCATACTAGATGACTGCGCGACTGGACTCCATTTACACTTAACACCAAGTAGGGTATTTGATGCTCCTTGTATAACAGTAGAAAAAGAACGTTAATTCTAATCATATCATTTACGCCGAAGGTGTCACACACAGCATGACCTTTAAACAAAAGAATACAAATGTTTCAAATGTTTTTATCGGTAAAAAAGATACGTATTAGTAGTCTGTCCCTTGATAGATGTGTCTTCATAGGAATATAAGTAGCTGTTAAAGTTTAAGGTATTAAAGTGGCATTTACTATTTACTTTCCATTAGTTGTATGTAATGTTCACCCAATACTTTATTGATATCAACGCAAGTATTTACTAAAGCACTCTTATGTAAATGCAAATTAGGAATATGTAGTCTTAGAAATCAACTGGCCAGCCAGTCGTTTGCGGCCGCGCCATAGAGGCGCCACTCTGACGGAATTTCTATCGGTCACCTCGTGAACGTAATTGATTCTCCTCGCCATTCTCCAACTAACGACGATTCTGTCATTTTAATGTCACATAAACTTAAATGAACCTGTAGTAAACACTTTTTCTATGGATTTAAAATGTTCTTTATTCTTAACGTTGCGGATCCTTCACAGGCTTAGCGGTCTTATCATCTGTTGGTGGTTTTGTGGTACTCATGGGACCATCATTATTCCTGACTTTTCTGACATCAGGAAAATAGTAAAAGTTAATGCATTGCTCTTCATACCTGTTTTAATAATGTGTTTTTTATCGAGTGGTGTGCGTGAAAACATAAGGAATTGAATAAAGATTTCTTTACCACAATTTTGGGTTTACGATTATGTTGATTGACCATATTCGTAGGTGCGTGCGAAAATTTAAAGTGGTTGACTGCGACTGCGTCTGAGTCTGCGCCCACCACGGCGCCGGCTCTTAATTATTACAGCTATCGCGGAGATTGCGATCAGTTTTGACCACCTGACAAATATTAATTGCTAATGCTGGTCTCGGCAATTAAACGCGACCAACATTTCGAGAGCATTTCCACGTCGAATTCAATTGAAACCGCAACAATTATACGAGAGCTTTCTAGCGGTTGCCTCGTTGTCGTTGCAATAAGTTTTATGTCCTTCAGGTTGGTTTGAGGTCGCCAGTTGAATTAAATCTCAAGACTAGTGGAGCCATTGCTTGTTTCCACCAATGAGGTCACGAGGATGTCAAGTACTAATAACCCTACTTTAGTGGCTCAGTAACGATTTACTTTAAAATGTATGTTTATAGTGGGTATCTTGTCTGCATTTCTTATAACAGTGCTTTTGTAGCTATATGTATGTGGCTGATAATAATGTAATACCAAATAGAACGGGTATTATTTATTAAATAACGCCAGATGTACTTTTTTTAAGATTTTTTGAATAAACATGCATATTATATCAATATAAATGAGAAGCCATGATAACATTTTTGCCGTATTAGTCACGGACCGAATAATTTCCTTAACTTTTTAACACTAGCACAAATTTACTATGAGAAAGTTTAAAACATAACAATCATTTGTTAGTATTACGACTCATTAAAGTTCAATATATACAAGTTTTATTTTAAAGGCTAACTTGGTCTTTGTCTCACTTGGTTAGGGTTCATCTGAACAAATCTCTTAGACCTCCCGGCTCCAATGTGCATGCCACCAGCGGAGAACAGTTCATCCCACGCGGGACCTTCGAATTGCGCTGTCAACAACATAAAAAAAAAGTTTTATCACCATTCTTACCACTACCACGGTACCGCGTTTACTCAGTTTTCGCTACACCATCAAAAACTATTGGTTTAAATAATAGATTTCTCACACTTTGTAGGCACTTTATGAGGCGTCGAGTTTGTTCGCGAAATCTCGTAGTAGAGGTTGTGCGATTGACATTTTATTTTGTTACATCTATATTGGCTTCAATTGCGGTGGTCTTTACGTACTTATCGACGGTAAAGTGTTATTTAAAACACAATAAGCTGGGGAATTCGAAGCGATTTCGTTGGCTTGCGACTGTTTCGAAAGGATACATTTAATTGAAATAGGTAGATAAAGTATGTTGGTAATAATAACAAACCCTATTTGGATCACGGAACATAACAAATAAATGAGCCTTCGTGGAACGCGAACATCTGGCAGATATATAAAGGAAAAAAAATAGTAAAACAAAAAAACTTAAATACTAAAAATACATTGGAGCAATCTTTTAGTATTGAAATCTTTCCTTGCTGCAATATGAGGGACCATTTTATCGCAGTCTAAAATTTCTGCCTTAGTAACGTACGATGCATCTTACTGCTCAAGTAAATACCAACTAGTATTTGCCATAGAGCGAAACCACTCACTAGAAGTGTTCAAGTTTTGTCGCAAAAGATGTTTACATTAAAAGTTAATTACTTGTAAAAGTTAGAAAATCAGTCAGTCGTCAGTATTGCCGCTTTCTATCAAGGCTGAAAAACAAGCAGACAATGGATATTCTTTTGCTTATCGCTTTCAAAGTTTCGATTTTTATGATACTCGAGTCACAACCACAATAAAGCCCATCCAGGGTTCGTACCCAAAAGGTAAACACCTATTATTATGAATCCACTGTCTGTTTGTATAATAATATTTTTTTTTTCATGCCAAAAAACATATAATGTATGTCTTTCACCAGGCTGTATCTCATGAACCATGATAGCTATAAAATTGATTATTTCACAGACGACGTAATTCTGTTGAAGTTATAACAAAAAAAAATTAAAAACTGAGCAAATTAAATATTTAAGAGACGCTTCTAGGTAGATGCTTGATATATTCACAGCATACTTAGTTTTATATTCGCTTTAATAATAAATAATTGATTTAATAATAAACATCTAGCAGTTACATGCTTAAAAAATAAAAAATATAACTATAAATAATTAAATTAAAATAAATATTTAAGGGGAGCTCACATACAACAAACGTTAATTTTTTCAGTTTTTTGCTCGACTTTATAATTTAGTGTATAATGTTGTACGGAACTGTTTGTAAGTGAGTCAAACTTGCAATTGACAGTTTTTTTTTATTTTTCGTGATTAGCTAGTATGCTAGTGATAAATTTATTTTTTATAATTATCTAATCAAACTTTAAAATTTTTAGTGCAGCAGACCAAAGCAGTGCCAAATGTGGCATAAATTAAGTTTTTCTACCAAAGAGTTATTTATACTAATGTATATTTATCACTGTATCATTCTGTTGCTCTGGCAATCCCGAAATCAATATTTATGGCGTGTATTTAATATACGCATAAGAAGAAGACACAGCCACAGATGGAGACGTTTAATATAGACAGTGCCCTTAAGAAGCGATTCGCATTATAAGTAATTGGTTAGTGAACCACGATACACAGCGGACCTTGTGCTAGTTGAATGAGATAACGTCGTGCAGATGCTTATTAGGTGTATTGAGGAGTTATTGCAGTTAGGTAGATAATAATATAGTACTGCTTATTTATCAAATTGAAGTAAACAAATATAAATCGAAATAAAAAACTACTTTTTCTTCTTTCAAATGTTTAATACTTGTAAAGGTATTCATTTGACATTGCGGGTTACCTACAATGCGAAGAGATGGTGCTGCCTTGCAGCTTAAGAGAGGCTAGAAAGAATTTGACACGGCCGTCAGGGCCGCGGTAGCATAATTGGTCAGTGCATTCGCCCGGATAGCGACGGGTGCGGATTCGAGTCGCATCTGCTGCCTGGTCCGGGTGGATTTTTTTTAGTAACATTTTCTTTCGATTTAAACATCGTGCAGTTTCTTGCTTGATTACACAGTAAGTTGACAGTACTTTAGAATAAATTTTTACTTCTTCTATATAGGTAACACTTTGATATTATAGCAATTTATGTTATTTACGGGATTGTTACCATGTACCTTGTTTTTAGCTGGTTTTCGATATTTTGGCACTATTGCAAGCATGATCATTCCGTGATCATGGGGCGCTATCCGTGATATAACACAAATTACTGTAATGTTTTTTTTTAAATATTAAGCGCTGTGACCATGAAATTTAAAAACAATATATAACTTCGATAGTTGTAAGTTTTATACTTTTTGAGAAAAGCTAATCAGAGTTCCAAGGTACTAGCGGGTGATTCAGTTTATTTTAAGACTAACGGTTTTGGACGATATTTGCTACGCATATAGTTTATGACCTGGACCTGGACATAGGAAATACTTTTTATCCCAAAACATTTTAGGTTCCGTGGAATTATCAAAAAAACTAAAGTTAACGCGGAAGAAGTAGCGGGCGGTAGCTAATTATCTATACATCTATATCTATACAACTATACACATCTAAATGAAATTGGCGTGTCTGTTTGTAATATTGAAATAATATATATACGGTACATACACCAAAATATTTTTTTTACACTATTTGTCTGTCTGTTTGTTCTCTAAACGGCTGGACAGATTCTGACGGAACTTTCACTGGCAGATAGCTGATGTATTAAGGAGTAACTTAGGCTACTTTTATTTTAGAAAAAATATTTATTTTTATTAATATCCACGCGGACGAAATCGCGGATACGGCTAGTTAATATATAAAATGAAAAACTCACAAGTGAACTCATCTCCATTGACACTAAACAAAAGAAAGAATAAAACAAGCACACTCGCCAACATTGTGGCTGTCGTAACGTCTTTGGACGGCGATGTGAATGTGATGTACCCAGCCCGTCCTACCAGCGGATATGGCAGTGATAGCAATACTCATACGAATAATCCACAGGATGCAGTCGCGATAGCGAATGTTGTAATTATTATATTTTTATTAAAAACATGATTCAAATATTTTTTGCACATTTGGGTTTTACACGAATGTGAGTGAAAACTGGTGAGTACTTTGCAGTTGAAAGCTATTTGTCTATTGTATTTCTTTCAGCAGCCTATCAAAGTCACACGGGCTCAGTTCGGATTGGTGGATGATAACGACAGCAGATGCAGCAGGGACTAACAACTATATCTTTAGTCTCAGGGGCCCAATTCTTGGTTTCGGCCCAGATACTGTCTTTGATTTGGGCACCCTTTTTATATGTAAAAAGTTGAGTCACCATAACTGATTTCTTCGTTTTCCACCACACCTAGTGGCATGTGACTCGTATATTAGTAGGAACAATGACTGGTTCCACTTTTCCCCGAATCTCTCATCTGCTCCTCAAAACAGATCAAGCGTGGAAAAGCTCGAGTAAGGCCTTAGCCTAACTCTCGTCGCGGTTTGCTCCCGCGGCTGCGGGATCGCAATTCGTGTAGAATGTGAAATTGTAGGTAAAACGCAAAAGCACACACAGTCACAGCGTGATTTGCGTCCGCAAGCGCGCGAGTGTTTGCGGCAGTCGCTGTGAGCGCGCGGGCACGGTAATATTATCTATACAGTATTGTGACTCCGCCCTGTCCTTGAAAATAAATGCCTACACCGAACGCTGCGTTGGCACGCGGTAGGGCCGCCAGCCTACAGTATTTTATGTAGTTTTGTTTTTAACGCGAGTGTAGGTAGATTACTCGTTTGTCTCTTTTTTCATCCTAACCACTTATTTATATATTATTCCAGATATTTTGCCCGATGGAAAAACCGAAATACCTAAATATTAGAAACAAATAACGTACTAGTAGATAGGTATATAAAAAATATTCTATAAAGGTAAGACACCTTTCCAATATTTCAGGTAATTTAAAAAATGATATCTCTGGGTGTGTTATTGAAGAGTTCAAGCAACCAAAAACAGCAATTGTGCTGTTGTACGATGTTGATCGTCGTTTGTTCTTTTCCATACTAAATTATGTAGGTATCTACTTAATTAAATCAAATATTTACAATACAAAACGCATGTTTAAGCACGGCTAACTGCATAAAAAACAATTCAGACTGTTCGGTCGTCGTTGCGGCGCGGCGGCGCATTCGCGACTGGGTGCACGCCGAGCGCACATCGAACTCGAGTGGCGTAGGTATGACTCGCTTTCCGACCGTTTGTATGAAGATAGAATACTGTATGATATTATTACCGTGGCTCAGGTATGGTGGGATTACTTTACAAGTTTGTCTCGAATATGTTAATCTGACGCGCTCGAGTAAATCAAAAAATCCTATTTGAGTGTTTATAAGAACCGCCTAAATACTTTTAAACTAAAACGGCAGCCAGATAATACTATTCTCCTATGTTTATGCTTCTGCCATAAGAAAAATTCAAGCTCCAAAAGGCAGAGATTAGAATTCCGCAGATCTATCTGCTTAACCAGCTACGTCAGGTTGGGTAGTCTTATCCCCTGGTCTGTGTAGCCCTTCACTTTGTGTTTCACACATAAGAAGAAAATCGGCCGGAAACTTTTTGATTTTCCGGCTTATTATTCGAATTCTACTGTACATCCAGGCTTCATTTATGTCTTAAATCAATTCTGAATAGTTTCTCTACAAACTTATCTATTTATTAGATGTGTAAATTGAAAACCATTACTAAATATGATAAAACGCAAAATATGAAATATGAAAATAATTTTCTCAACTCGTGGCAGAAAATGATTTCGCGATATTTCGTCTGTGTAAGTGGATGATCCACTTACACAGACGAAATATCGCGATATACTTTACATAAAGAAAAGTTCCTAATCAGAGAGATTAAGGTATTAATAATTTGTTTAATAAGAATTTGGTGGCTGGGAATAAACGGTCCCTCCTCAGGCCTTCGGTAAGAAAAATAACAACATACTTACACTCTATTAAATCTCATCATATTTTATTTTATTTTCATTTCAGAGCCATATTTCAGAGAACCAAAGTGAAGTAGAGTATGTGCTACAAATTTTCCCACAGTGCAAAAATTACGTCTTATTGAAGAGTTCAAGCAACCAAAAACAGCAATTGTGCTGTTGTACGATATTGATCGTCGTTTGTTCTTTTCCATACTAAATTATGTAGGTATCTACTTAATTAAATCAAATATTTACAATACAAAACGCATGTTTAAGCACGGCTAACTGCATAAAACACAATTCAGACTGTTCGGTCGTCGTTGCGGCGCGGCGCATTCGCGACTGGGTGCACGCTGAGAGCACATCGAACTCGAGTGGCGTAGGTATGACTCGCTTTCCGACCGTTTGTATGAAGATAGAATACTGTATGATATTATTACCGTGGCGCGGGTCTCGATTACCCGCAGACGCGGCTGGTCTTGCCTGTTTTAGCAGACGGAGCGGCACAGAACGCAGAGTACTGCGGTCCCGTGAGTTTTGAAACAAAGCAGTCCGCCGCGGGTGTAGCGGCAAATAACCGCTCCGTGAGTTCTTAGTCTAAATATTCGATACCCATACTACGACCAGTCATTGCTAAAGTCTCTTAACTTCTACTGCGCTATAAATCTTCTCTATCTATGCCTAAATGCGAAGATAAAGTAATTAACGTTTTACCTAAATAGCGAAAAATCTCAGACAAGATAAAGGCTTGTGCTTGTGCTTGTATGTAGCCTTAGGCGTTCAAGTAATTTGATGAAATAGGCTGGTAATTTTGACCAAAATTTGCCAAAAATCAATTAAGTAACTAGATATCATGAAAAATATGAATTACCAAAGTATTTATGTAATGATCTAGCAACTATTAGATTTAGAATACAAATCGCTTATGCCGAAAAAAAATAAAAATAATGTAGTTAAGCTATGGAAAGCAAGCGAGGAACATTTAAAAACAATAGAAAGTACCTCCGCAGGTTATAACATTAAGTTCGGATGTTTCTACACCTGGAACTTAATGTTTACGTAACTCTGGTTCCCAAGGTAGGCATTGTGCCAGCCTTGACGGCCGAAATGTATTGCCGCATTCCTTCAGGCATTGTTTAGCATACTATGTTAATATTCGAAATATTACCGCCCATAACACCGATACATACAAACCGCATGTTAGAGCGCACACCTGTGCTATAAATAATGCGTTTGCATAAACTATAAGGACTGATTTTAATTAACTATATGTTATTGTATGTTAAGTACTTGTTATTATAAGTTTAACGTATAATTTGATGTTGCATTCCATGCACGAAATTAAGCCGTATATTGTGGCATTAAGGTGTGATTCCGTCAATTGTGATTTGATGAATATAGGCTAATGTTTAGATGAAAATGATAATTATTATTTTTTGATATAACGATAATTATAAACCTTTACTAACTGTACTATAAAAATAAACAAAAACCTGAAATATGATTACGATACAAATCGGCAATTCTACCAATTTGAAATTGATTTCGCAAATAATTCATACCAAATGTTTTTTAAGAAAATCTTATAAGGTACCAAACATACTAAATGTTTCCTTTTTGGAAGAAAATCTTATCTAGGTAAGTTTTTGACAAGAGAGGTTAACTTCTTCTCGTTTGTTCATAATCGCCAAAAATATGAACACATTTTTAATAATAATAATAAAAAATATTCTTAATAATTCGTGTCAGTTCAACTGCATGTCGAACAACTGTAACTTTTTGCAAAAAACATGATGTCCTGTCTCCTTCGATACCCGCAAACGAGGGCCGTGACCGGCAACTGAACATGAGCTGTGTTTCCGTTCGAAGAGTATACCAGCGCTTAGATAGAGACAGGTGGCTATATCCGGAGACATGGGTCCGGTTATTCTGTCGAACTCTTTGAGAAATCGTTTCTCTAACGCTGTTAAGTAGCAACAGCAGCTTCAGGTAATTCGTAGGCGCACCGTGAGGGTCTCTACGGTTAGAAGAAGACTGAAGAAGAAAAAGATAGCGGCCCACAGAGCTGCTACAGGTCTGAAATTGAAAGCAGCGCATCGGCGTGCCCGCTTACAGTTTGCTCGTGACCACGTCGATTGGCGCCCTGGCCGCGCCCGCCCAGTGATTCCCCTACCTGTGTGAATCCTCGCTGCCCGACATGGCGTTAGCTATGCCGGTCATCGACAGATTTCATGACGGCAGCCCTCTCCTGTAGTTCTTCTCTACATAAGAGGGTCGCGGAAGGCCCTAGAGCGTAGAGTTTTTGAGCGGATAATGTGGCGTTACGGCATTACGTTTTTCGTTTCGCTTGTAAATTAAGGTTTTGCCTATGTAAAAAAAAAGGTTATTTTTCCACAAAAAAAACCTGAAAATTTTAACAAGTGTCCTCACGTAACTCAATAATTGTGCAATGATGAAACTATAACAGTTTTAACTATTTTAAATTGATTCTAATAAAACTGCTTTTAGGATATACACCTATTTAGTTTAAATTGATGATAATTCAATAATGGTGTCGATTCTGGCATGATTCTTTTAACTTAAAACTTAATTTAACATAAGCTTCTCCATTTCTTTCTGTATAGAGAATGACAAAGATACACTGTTGTAAAAAATATTTCAGGTTTAGAGAACAATGTGAAAATCGGCACCAAAAGGTATGTTATTTACTTTGCGCCGGTTACGGGTATTTTGTAAATGATAAAAATCTTAAATTTCGTATATGAACCATTATCTAATTCGAATAGTTTGCGAGTGCGAAAATTCACATTTTGTATGAAAACTTGAACAGCAGCGCCACAAAGTACGTAAAGAGAACTAAAAATCAGTACATATTTGACAATGACATTTCGGACTCGCAAACGTTACGAATTCGATATTGGTTCATGCTAAGGGTACTG